CTTTTTTAGTATAGTAGAGTTTTCAAAAGAAGTTTAATTATTTATTATCATGGTAGAAATTTTTCTATTATGATAAAGGTTTGATGATGTAAAAATGATTTATTGAACTAATAATTTGTGAAAAATCAATTTGAAAATTTAGAGTGTTACAATAAATGCCTCACCAAGAAAGTCATCCAAGATAGGTAGGCATTTGAGGCAGGGCCATGCCGTGTTTAAAGGACTTGATAAGTTCAAGGTGACAATGAATAATTTAAGGGCTAGCAGTGTAAGGGAACAAAATTTGGTTGTTGATTCTGTTAAATAGGGAGATGCAGCATAATATTAAAATTTGAAATTCCTTATCCTGACATGGACCGAACGAAATTATTTAAGTCAAGGTGAAATTAAGAGTTATTGTAACACACCAAAAAAATTTTTTTTAAATAATTTAACTTAACCATAGTTGGGTTACAGCCATCCAACACATTTTTATATCAATAATTTCAATATAAAATATTTTATAATTGGCTTCAACTCACACACTATAATATTTCAGATAAATTTTTACCTCCCACATGCCATTAGGCTAAATCACATTTGTCCATCCTTATACTCCCAACAAGTAAACTAAATCACATTTGTCCATCCTTATACTCCCAACAAGTAAAATAAGCAATTTAATAAATTTTTAACATAAGCCAGTTATTTGGCCTTATAATCATGTCATTTTAACCAATCCAAAGTAAACCAAATATTAAAATTACAGTCATTCAAATTGTACCAAAAATAGAAATAGTTTGAAAGGCATGATTACATTTATATATTCATATAATTGATAATAAACAAAAAGCCCTAATATTGACAATATAACACATTATAAATCATAAATTAAATACCCAAAAGAGACAGTGGATCTATATCACTAAGCTTCTGGGACTCCTCCACGTGTCACTCGTGGCTCTTCTCCTGAAAATTGTTAACCACATAATGAGACTTAAAAGTCCCAGTAATCAAAGCTAATTTATGATAGTGTATACAAACAGTTAAGTGTGTGCTTACTAGGTGAGAATTAAAAATAATATAATTCTAACAAATATAAGAAATATTACAATATACACAAACAACCATCCTTATATCCTTCCATTAACCTTGAGCCGTAGCCCTCACTCGGTGCTAAATTACCCGGCCAAAGGTAGATTAGCCCGAACCCTTACAAACCACCTATTGAACTCCAATAGGGGCGTACCACGTGGCACATAAATAAATACAACAACACCTAATAGCAAGTAACACTAATCATAAATTAAAAGCATGGTTACCTTATGACTTTTTCAATAAATTAAAATTTCTCTCTCACCACAATCTTCACCAGTAATACAATCTACAAATAACATATTATTTATAAATATAGTTTTCAATTTTTGAAACAAATAAAATAATTCTAATAATAGAATTAAAAATAACATAATTCCTAATCTTAATCAAAGAAACATTAAGTAAAATTTTTTTAACTCCTCTTTTAATTATCAATTAATAATCAAAAATTAACTTCTAAACTAATTTCTATTGTCAAAATTTTCTTTTTATTTCATAAATTCGTACCTAAAATACCCAAAAATTAAAAATTGAGTCTCTAGCTTAAAATCATAATCCTATAGCCATAATAATTCATTTCTCATCCCAAATAATCATCTAAACCTCAATAATATCAATATATATTTTCAGATCTAGTTTAGAATTTGATCCATAAGCCACAATTCAAAGATCATCAATAAATTTATACTCTAGAACATTTATTATACTACTGACAACCTCAAAAACCATATTTATTCAACATAAATTTATCCCTCTTCCAGATCTTAAATTTTCTACCACTACAAACTCAGAAATCAAAGAAGAAGGATGACTAAGAAAAATTTTTAGAATACTTACTTAGTCTTGAAAAGCTTAAAATCACACCCTAAATATCCTATTAAAAACTCTTACCTTAAAACCCAGCACCGGTGAACTTGGCTCAGACGCTCTCTCTGATCGCACACGAAAGAAAGAGAAATGAAGGAAAAATGAGAAGAGAACGGTGGTTTTTTAAAATGAATGTGGGTCCCATAATTTTTTTAATTATTTTCCTCTTTCCTCTCTCTTCTTTCTTTTATTAATTATTATTATTATATAAATAATGATTACACGCGCACAGCCGAAGAAAGTTTTCTTGTTTTCTTGTTTTGTTGTTTGTTTTTTTTACCTTTTCTCTTTTTTTTAATAATAATAATTTAATAATATTTTTTATTTTTTTTTATTATTTTTTTAAATTTTTTTAATTTTAATTTATAATTATATCCTAAGTTAGATTTAAAATCATCTCTTACTAATTTTCTTACCTCTAAAATTTTTTAAATTTTATTAACCCAAATTAACTATTAAAATTTAAATTGGGATGTTACAGTTATCTTTTTCTTTTTGTGATTCACGTGCGTTCTCTTCAGAGTCTAAATCTTAAGAACTGATAACATAGATTTGCTCCCCCTATCAATATCCACATGAACAGCTACTCAAACAACGTGCTAATGCACTCAACATTCATTCTTCTTTGAACGTTGGTTTTCTTTCTCTGAGGTGTTTAATAGCTCTCAAATTATTTGGTTTTCGAAACTTTTCTAACTCTCTATCTTATACATGTCCTCTTATATCTATTATATATAGATTAGAGTTTTTGCCTTCCTCTTAAAGAGCCAATTGAGATTTAGATTAAATTTATTTTATAAATAACATCTATAATATCGTATCTAAATTAAATTTATCTTATACTTTAAACTATAAAATTGATATGATATTTTTTCATATCATGTTAATTATTAAATTTAATCTATTATATAAAATTAAATTTAAAACTAACACAATATAATATAACATATCACATATACATATTATATATATATATACGCAAAAATATATATAGACATGTATATTTCAAATATATTATATATATATTTATTTTAATTTTATATATCATATACATATATATATCAGACACACACACACATGAATATATATGTATTTTAAAAATATATATATAATTATATTTTGAATTTTATATTTTATATAAGTATTTTTTTAATAAATATTCAAATATATATATATATATATATATATTTATAAATTTTATTCACCCTATATTATATTCATTAAATCCGAATATTCCAGGTTCATTAAAGTTGGACATTATAGTTTGAGTTGAACTGTTCTTGTGTGCAACCCTATAGACCCATATGAAGTTAGTAGTGGGTTAATTATGCTATTAGTCACAAGTCACAAATGACTTCTAGCAAAATATTACAACTACCGAACCATCCAATTCATATGGGGATCGATAATCTGATATAACCTATCATGTAACTATACCACATCCTTTTTGTTACGCGATATTTTAGTCAAGTATAAGACATGACATTGTCATTCTCATTTACCTAACTATTACTTTTTCAATTTTGAGTGGACTGATACAACAATAAAAAAACCCTTTTCATTATAATATGGTCATATATTTTCTTAGTATTATTCATTGAGAGGCCCGGTAATATTTCTCAATTAATATGAGGGAAAAATTTTAACTTGACCACTCATATTTCTCTGCATGAATATCACTAAATTCAATCATAACCTTTATAATCACTCGGTCAAAGGTGATGCTTAACTAGGTCAAAGTTCAGTGGCCATCATATAGGAATCCATGATGATCTTAGGACAAAGGGCTTAGTGATGTAGTTACATATGAAATAAATTTAAGATTTGTACCCATGCAGCTTGCTCATAATAGGTCGGTCAAACACCTTATACTATTTCAAGTGTCCATTACTTTGATTTGTATCTCTATAATCAATTAAAGTCATATTAATTTTATTTCATAGGTGATTTCTTATAGATGACTGACCAGGAACATTTAGGATAATCACTATAATTTGTCTAAGGATATAGTTATCATAGTAATCATGTAATTGATATGATAATAAAAAAAATTATTAAATAATAATATGTATATAATGATTGGTCATAGGGTAAATTTTTTAACAAATTCTCTGGCTAAAGAAGGAATTTCAAACGCTTCTCTCTTTTTTGGAGGGATCTTGTGCTAAAAGATTGTTTGGACTTCAGCCCCTAGCTTTCTTTCTGTTCAGTTTTTGTAATCTGGGTTCTGCCCTCGTTCTTCATATATATGTATATAAACAAAACACTGCATGGGAAGCGATTTCACCATATGTTCATGACACGTGACGTTGCAAAATCATTGCTATTTCATTTGGTCAAGAGAGGAGAGTCAAGACATGGTCGAATGATTCCTCTTGTCAGTTTGTTGTGATCTTTGTTTGAATTCTTGGATCTTGAGTGTTACTTCGCGGGAAGATGACAAGAACCATTCGTCTTTATTTGCTGGGACGCAGAGGGCTAGGACTTGGGAGCAGGTTGAGGAGGAAAATAATACCCAAACATGCACCACCTCCATCTCCCACATCTCAATCTCACTTCGAATTAATTGACATTGCCCTATTGTAAATACGAACATCAGTGTAGTCTATATATATATAATACGGATTTAAATCTTTGAATTTGAAAGTGGTAAATTTATGTAAAGTTTTTTGTTAAAACACGAAAAGTGAAAGAATTATATTTTATAAAAGATAATAAAATAAATAAACATATTAAAAAGAGAAAAATTTCATATAAATTTATCAATTTCAATTTTAGAAGATTCCATATAATACAATTACAAAGAGACGATGTAAAGCTGTAGACAATAGTAGGTAGCATGCCAAACTCGCTTGCGCACTACCGTTAATTTCTAGGGATAACGGCGGGGTTATAAAAACTGATGATCGGGGCTGATATTATCTTTTGATTTAATTTAAACGATTCTGTTTCCTTTCTTATAACTTATATACGGGTGCCTTATATATATACATATTCGCCAAAATCTCTTCCGTGTAATATATATATTACTTCTCGTACAACAATTAGGGTCCTGTAAAATCTCTTCCGTGTAATATTCGGAAGGGAGACCTCCGTCGGTTTCAAAGATGGAGAAAGAATCGAAGGGGAAATGGGAAGGAAAGGTATCGGCGACTCTGAGAAATGCGTCGGCGGAGCAGACATGGGAGGTGGTGAAGGACTTCTTCAACCTTCACAAATGGTTCCCCACTCTGGCCACCTGCTACGGCATCCACGGCTCTAACGGTGAGCCCGGCTGCATTCGATTCGCCTCCGGCTCCTCCATCCCTTCCGATGGCGCCGATCAGCTCGTCAGCTGGTCGAAGGAGAGGCTTCTTGCCATCGATCACGACGAGCGCACGCTCGTCTATGAAATTGTGGACAGCAATATCGGCTTCAACTCCTACCGCTCAACTATGAAGGTGTCGCCCATGGTCGCCGACGGCCGGCACGGATCTTTGATAGAGTGGCATTTCTCCCTCGATCCTATCGACGGCTGGGTGCTGCAGGACTTGATCGCCAAATACGATCTTGGTCTTCAACGGATGGCTGCCAGAATGGACCATCATTTTCATACTGCAAATTCACTCAATGCTAAATAGCCCTTCTTTCTGCAAATCTGTAGCAAGACTGCTACTCTTTGCTAATGCGCTTCCCGTAGTCTTGCCAGTAAAAGTATTTGATTTAATTTATGACTTGTTCTTTATTTTATTTTATTTCTCTCCGCGTTCCAATTGATTTCTGATGACTTGTTTCGCTGATCACTCCGAAGACTCCCCCCCCCTTTGGATTTGCTCCATTGACAATTACAACGAGATTGTATTGTTTTCGTCGAATTGGGGATTCAAATTAAACTCTAGATCATATGAATAACTTTATAATAATTCACGAGTCATGGGCAGTAAGTACTTTTCATCAGGTTTCGAATAAGCCTTCTGTTCATCTTTTAAATAATTAAATGTGAAAAAACACACAATGGGTAGTCATACCGTGACTATAAATTTGAGATGCTACAATTTTTTTCAAAGAAAACAAAACTATCGACTGATTTTAACCATTTTAAAGTGTTGTGATACTTTTGTTGAAAAATATAAAATCTTTAACTAATTTTAAGCATTTTTTAATTTATATAATTTGGTTAGAAGTGTTTTAACTATTATCTTTTCTAAATTATTCTGCTGCCCAGTACTTATGTCTGCAGTTATAAATCTTTGATTGTTTGGAAAATGAATTGAAATAATTAAAAAAATCTTGTTAATCCCGTGTTTATATTTAACATTTGATGTCAAATAAGATTATCTTTTTATGAACCTGTATACAATATAAAGAAATTAGAAAAAACATAACTTTTAGCCCTTGCACTTTGTTCGTGTTTTATCATAGGTCCTTACATTTTTTTTTCAATATTTTGAGCCCTTATACTTTCATTTCGGTGTTTTATGTTCATTTAAGTTATCTACAGTTTGATCATTTTGATCATTTAGGGATCTAAAATAATGAAAAATGAAAATGTAAGAACTCAATACTAAAAAAATACAAACATTTATAATAAAATATGAGTAAAGTGTAATAATTAACACTTATATTTTTTTAAAGGATTTTTTTTTTGGGAATTTTCCTATACTACCGTCTACATGTACATGGGGACATATTCTATCACATAAACTGCCAGCTCATGCTTATCTCTCTTAAGTCTTGATAGGAATGAATTTATGAATATACAGTCAACAAACCCATTAGGACAAAACGGCAAAATCAAAACCATATGCAGCCGTTTTTTTGTTTCTGGGCAATCTTTGCTAGGTTCCACTTTCTTCCCAAAAGATTTTGAATTTGGACTCCGATGCTAAGATTCTCGATTTGCATTCAGTGCACAACTCACTAGGATTTAGAGCAATCCTGACTCAAATTAATTTTTACTGTTCATTTAAATATTTTTGATATTATATTTATTAATTTAAAATTTAAAAAATTTAAAAAATATGTTAATTATCAATACATATTTAATCAAACAGTTCAATTTAACATTAAATTTTTTTCTAATTTCACAATTTGATTATTCGGATGAACTCTGAATGGTTTAGATATAATTTAAATGACTTAATTTAATATTCCTTTATTTTAAATTATAAGATACTTTTAGATAAAATCTCACATATAAATAAATCTTATTAAATACACTTAATGGCCTTATCTTTTCAAAATAAAATATAAACTTTTAAAAATATCAATCATTTAATATATTAAAAATAAAATGGATGAAAATTAATTAAAAAGAAAAAAATAATATTAAAATCAGCTCATTTAATGATACTTTAATTTATCAAAAATATCTTATAATTTAGAATTGAGAAACTATTAAAAATTTATAAATTTTACAAATTAAACATCTAAATGAATTCAAAATAATTCAGATTTAATATTAAATTTTTTTATATTTTTTATTTTAATAAATATAATATTAAAAATATTTAAAAATTAATTCAGATGGGCTGAGATTAATTTGGATTGAAATGGGGGGCAGGACCACCGAAGGCGGATCTGACGCAGCCAACTAATCGCGTGCCCATCAGTCATCACACAGAAGCCCCAACACCACCCAGGCACACCCCCCCCCCCCCACACACACAACACCCCTTCTCTCTCTCTCTCTCTTTCCCGTTAACTGTTGCTTTCCTGACTCGTGGAAATGGCAGAGGAACCCAATTCTAAATGGGAAGGGAAAGCCTGCGTTGAGATCCCAAATACAGATACAGAGCAAGCTTGGCATCTCCTTGAGGATTTCTGCAACCTTCACAAATTGATGCCCATTGACACTTGCTACCAAGCTGACGGCTCTCCTGGTCAGCCTGGTCTCGTCCGATACTGTGCTTCCACCGTTCAAGGCCAGGGCGAAGCTGAGCCCACCGTCAAGTGGGCCAAAGAGAAACTACTCGCCTTGGATCCCATCCAACGTTGTTTGACCTACCAGATTATCGATAACAACATCGGATTCAAGTCCTATGTGTCCACAATCAAGGTGTTGCCCATGGAGGCTGACGGTGGCTTGCAGGGATGCAAGATCGAATGGTCGTTTGTAAGCGATCCGGTGGAAGGGTGGGCATTTCAAGATTTGATCTCTTATATTGATTCTTCTCTTCACCACATGGCCAACAAGATGCAGCAAGCATGCCCTGCTAACTCGTAATCAGTCCGACTTGACGGCCGCTCAGTTATAAAGTGTTTATCGGCTTGCGCTGATATCTTAATTATTGTTTTTTACTTGTAGTTTTATTATTTTCTCAGGACTATTGGCTTCCTTTTTGTTGCAATTATTGTTCTCGTCAATTATCACTATCCGTTACCAAGTTAGAAAACTCCGGACAATCTTGTTAAAACCCAGAAAGCATAAATCTCGGCTCATCCACATTCCACATATGTCAAATTCGTGATCTCCTATGCGAAACTGCCAATCTTGCGTCATGGATAAGCAGCTAATGGTAACAGAAGGTTGTCACAGTAAGAGAGGTCAATTCTAGTAATCTAGTTAACAGGGCCACGATGAATATGTTTCCAGCAAACTTTTATGTCCCTCCGTTTGATTTTTCCGGTAATTAATGTAGTAACACAAAGATACGAGTACTCACACCATTTATGTTTTCTATGTGGGCATACAGCTTATTGCAAGTTAATTTCTATTTTCATTACGAGACAAGCAAGTCCGTTAGCATTATCGTCAATCCAATCCAATAAAAACAAATACTTGTATAAAATAGCAAGAAGTCACTATTTATTTATTTATCATTTGTAGACGTGGTTTCTTTTCCCCCGTGATGTTCTGATTGAATTGTTCCCTTGTTTGCTTCAACGACCAATGCGTGAACGCGCAAGAGAACAGCTCCCGCGACTTTCATGAACGATACGACGAAATAGAACCCCATCCATACACGAAAGGCAAACGAGGGACGAACAACATGACTTGTAACATCACTAAATACAACTTTCCCGACAAAACAAAATCACACACGTATATATAACATCCAACATGAAATGAATGACCTATCAGACTCCCCCAAACCATTATCCCGAGGGGCCTGTTCAGTGGTGGTTTACCTTCCGGTTATTCCCTAGTATTGACATTTTCAAGATATATTTAGTCTCTCTTCCATCCAATTAATGATGTCCTGTGCCTGTGCTACCTCTTCACGCTCAGGTTCAAACAGAAGGTCGTGCAATAAGCCATCATAAAGCTTCATTTCTTTGATCCGTGAAGCTGCCTCGTTGTACAGATCCCGTGAGGCAAGTGGATCAGTCACCTTATCAGCAGTTCCGTGGAGAACAAAGAATGGTACTGTCACAGATTTTAGGTTCTGCATTAAGTAGGAAGAGATCCGCAGTATTTCATACCCTGTTCGGACCCTTATGGGTCCTGTGTAGACGAGAGGATCAGAGTACTTGACCAGCAATGCTGCTGGATCCCTGGAAACTGGAATACCCCTTTTGTTTGCTCCTTTAAATTGCAATTTTGGAGCAACCAGGGAAAAAACTGGGGCAACAGCCTGCATGCATCCGGCAAACAAGTGATTATCAAAAGCAAAAACACATTAAATAATACCCCATAACACATTTTAATGCAATAATCTTCAGGATTTTTTCCTTTCTCTTCCCCGTGTAGCATGTTCAACAGAGGACACACTAAAAATAAAAATTTCAGGGCACACAGAAGACTAACGAAATAAGATCCAAGTATAACATCATTCTGGCCAAGAGTTTGAAAAGGAAACTTTCACACACGGAGAGCATGTTGGGGGGATTTCTATCTACACAAGCATATTGATTATCAAACCAAGAGAATGAAGTGCCAAGAGAGGATTCCTCAATCATCATGCATCCATGCCATTTTGGACATCCATCTTTATACGTCTATACCCACGCTCGGTACCCTAAAAAAGTAACTGCTGCAATCCCCAAATAAAACAACACCAACGACCGCCTGTCCATTCTGGTCCAGTAACAAATTGGAAGTACCAATTCATCACGCCTATTTTTGACACCGTTCTCCAAGCCTCTGAAAATTTTGACGTTTACTACCCCAAGAAGTTACCTGGTATGATGTCAAGGTAAAACAAAACCTACAACTACTCATTTTTGATCTAATAGAATCAAACCCTTTCTAAACTGGATCTCATACATATGATGATTTAATTAATTTAGCAATAACAGATGATTTCCTAGGTCTCCAAAAACGAAGGCAACTAATCACAGCCTATGAATGCAAAGCTTACCCTAACAATAGGATGAGCAGGCTTAACACGCAAAGCTGGTGAAGTCAATACAATTCCTTCCACCATCTCTTCAACATGCGGGTAGAAAGCCGCCTACACAAAAAGTACATGACCTTTCAAACTATATATATATATATATAGAAGAAATGAAAAAGAAATCAACTCATGGGAGTTATACAGAAGAAAAACAGTTCTTTACCTTCAAAACCACAGCTCCTCCCGTGGAGTGACCAAAGAGAAAGCATGGAACCCCAGGATTGTCCAACTTTATCTTTTCCAAGAATGCCCCCTGTTTAAATTATCGCTTGTCAATGTTAAATGATCAGGCAACATTTGAAAATTATACTATACCCCAAAATTTTAAAGGAGGCCAAGCGGAAAATGTGAGGAACAACAAAATTATTTCTGCTTCTTGGTTATAGTAAAGTTTTTAAATGGCCAAGTGACACGAAATAACAAAGTTGAACCTGCATGAAGAACTTTATCCATGTCCAGGCATGCTCAAATTAAAAGAGAAACAAGAGATAGTGATAAGACCCATTTACACCAATGAGAATTAAACTCAATCTTATGCAATTAAATAGCTCTTTGTATGATGAATTTTATAAATATCACGCCCATAAGGTTTCACAGCAATTTGGAATTGCATTGTACTCCATCAATATAAGATTGATTAAGGACAGAACTTTTTCAAGTATGAGAAGTCGACTATTCAATAATTAATTACATAATTAATCTCGGCTAACTTTTACCATTTGGCTTACATGATCTACATGATAGTTGCTTCATGTTTCAATGGTTGGATTGATGAAAATTGCATTCTATTGTTAAGTTATCTAATGTTGTAATCTCACACTGCATTATGACCAAATGTTGTGCTTCTGTCCATCTTTCCAAACATTGATGTGAAAACCACTTGTTAAAGTTTTAGCCATAAAAACAAAAAGAAATGCAGTCAAACATACTATGTCTGCAGCAACATGATCAAGTGATGGAACATAACCATGCAATCCATCACTCCCTCCATGACCTGTAAAAAGAAACCATAAATATAAACCTTCAGACAAGAGAATGGCAGAAAAGTGCAGAAAAAAACTATATGTTTAAATTACATAAACAAAATCCTTTCTCATAACTAGGAGGAAAAATAAGCATTGCAAAGAAGAGGGTATATCCATTCCTTTTACTACATTATCTAACAACAAGTGGTTAAATCTTATTTCAACAAGATAGATATCTATTGCAGAACAGGGAAGTATTATTTAGCAGTGAAGAACACATTGATAGAATTAGAAACAATTCTTAAAGATAGTAGTCACCTATCCAGTCCATCGCATAGACACCAAAGTTGCACGAAGTTAATTGCCTTGCAAAATGAGCATATCTTCCACTGACAAATGAACACTGAGTCAGGGAAAAGGCATAACTTTTATATGCTCTTAAAAACAAACAAGGGCAATCAAATTTTTTTTGAGAGGGCAACAAAAACAGGGAGGATTTAATTGTATTAATACTGAACTGAAAATTCTCATGAACTATGGAAAAATAAAAGCTGCGTCATCTCTTAAGCAGAACTAATCACTAAACTCTTAACAGAATCAAGTTTCTGTAAGCTGATCAAATTAAGCTTACCTGTGTTCATTAAGCCCATGAATGATTATGAGAATTCCCCTGAAAAAACAAAAGAGGAAAAAAAACCCTGAGAAATGTGAAACAGGGCAGCAGAACAAATGGCAGCGAAGGGGACGGACAGCTGTACATGACAATCAGAAAAAACGTAGGATATGAAAACGAAGGGAAATAAATTCAAGAAACCAGAACCTTTAATATCGTCCTCTGAAAGTGCCTCTTGAACTAATCGAGAAAGGGAAAAGTAACATCTTGACACCATTGACATGACAACTACTTTATCTTAACAAGACGACAATTACATTCCATGAAGCTTAAGTTTGAACCTCACTGTTACATGTTAGTTGTTCAATAGGACAATCCCAGAATGGAGATCAGAGAACAAAAACGCAATCAACACAGAGATTAGAGAGCCACATAATCTGAGAATTGGAAAAGCCGAATTAGCATTTTTCTAAAAGAGGGGATCGTTTCAATCACTTTCACTCCTATGCATAATGAACAGTTCAGAAAGAGGCCAACTCAAACCCATGTCCAATTTAGCTCATTCCAGCTTCGTAGTTTTTGGGGCTGGAATGATGCCACATCCAAAATGGGACCAAATAACTTCTCTTAAGCTCATTACACAGCTTAGCTCCTCCACCAGCTAAGTTTTTTTCAATTCTACATATTTCCAACGTGAAACTGGAAAACAACATCACCAATTTTCAATCCGTTCAGGCCAGGAAAAAATAACTTTCTTTTTATAAAGGGGGAAAAAAGGAAAAATAACTTTCTAGTTTTCTATACGTTACACGTAGAACTCCAACAGGGACAACAGACCCACGAAAAGGGGAAAAAAAGCATGAACAAGTTCATAGAACAGAACAGTTCTAAGATAGGAAATTTGCGATCGCAAATTTCACTCTTTTAACCCTTCCTTCTCTTGAAAGTGAACCCAACATTCAGAAACCGGGGGCAAGGACTTAAAGACTAGAAAGCCAAAACAAAAATATGATGAGGAGGACAAAACATTAGAAGACCTTACTTAATATCATCGGAAACAGGAAACCAGGAGCGGCAAAACAGAGCGTTACTGCGAAGACCAAAGAAGAGAGAAGTGGCCCATCGGCAAGTAGCATCATCGCGGGCCATGCGCACATCTTCGGCAAAGCCCCTTCTCCTGAGGGAGTCCTCCTCCTCTCGGATCAACCACAGGGACCTCCGCTTGCGATGCTTCCGAGGCGAGGAAGGCGGAGTGCCGTGCAAGGGAGGGAAAAAAAAAGCGACGAGGACGAGGAAGGAGGAACCACAAGAAGGAGAGGAAGAAAGTGTAGACGAAAATCAAAGACGCCCTGAGGGCTTTGAGAGTTGGAATGATGCGGTTGCTAGCACCGGAGGTCAACTGGTCCATTTCCATCTCGGCGGTAGACATGGCGAAGATGGAATGAAGGAAGGAGAGGGGAAGAGAAAGAAACGAATGCGAGAGGCGACCCTCGTGGTGGCGAGCATTTATTAACGGCACAGCGTTAACGAGTGCTAGACGTGGAGGTAAGGTTTCCCACGGTGTAGATTGAACAAGCAAACAGCGATCTGCGAGAAGGCATTGATGAAGGAGGACGTGGCGCGACATGATTGGCTAGAAGAAGCGCGTGATTCATTGACAGCTCCTTATTTTTACGAAGTCGTTGAGGGTGCGGTGCAGGTGCGACAGCGAGTAAATAGGTCCTCGCCTGATTTTGTTTGTCAAGTCAAATGAGCCTTGGGCGTTAGTTTGTTTTTTTTTTCGGATCGCAATGTATACCCCTATTTCCTTTATAAATCACATTTTACAAATTTTATTATTCTTTTTTAATCAATCAAATAAATATTTTTATAAAATTTTTATTTATAAAAAAGAAACATTATATTAATTTATTATATAAAATAATATTTAAATTTTTTTATTTTTTTTATTTTTTATTTTTTTATATTAATACTAGTGAGGTTAGTAGAAATAATAATTTATAAAAAAAAAAATTGAATGAGTATCTGCTATCCCTGCGAGATTACCACAGATGAGATGGGAGCGGCGACAATCCACGCGGTTTCAGGGTTTTTTTAATATTATTATCTTAAATTACTAAACATTTACTAAAAGTAAATAAATTACTTTTTTCATTTTAAATTATAAAAAATTTTAATAAATTTTTCATCCTAAATATAAAACACTTTAAGTAAATTAAAGTTTTATTAAAAGTATCAATTTTAATATTATTATTATTTTTTTATAATTAATTTTCATCATCACTTTTCTTACCAATATATTAAATGATAAGTGTTTTGAAAATTTTATTTTTTAAAAAGATAAAATTATTGAGTACATTTAATAAAATTTATTAATATATAAAATTTTATCTAGTGTTATAATTTAAAATGAATAGAGTAATTTATTTAATATTAAAAAAGTTCACACATTAAAGGATGCCCAGACTTGTGTTGCCCTTATATTTCATGACTATTTGAAATTACCCTTACCGTCTTACAGCAATAAATGGGAACGGTGAGCCGTGTCTGGTTTCCAGACAAAGGCAAGGCTAAGCTGTTATAACTAATAACTACTCTCTTCATTTTTATGTATAAAAATAATAACCATTATTTTTAACTTATTTTTTATATGAGCAAAATTATATTTTTAATAAACATTCATTATAAACCTTTTAAATTACTTTCATAATTTTATTATTTATAATCATAAAAAATAATTAATAAATATTTGATTAAAAAAATTAATAAAGAATATTATGATTCAATTTTTTTATTTTCAAATATAATTAATATAATTAACTGATTTTTTTTAATTGAGTAATATAAATATATATATATATATTTTACGGATAAAATCGGAGGGAGCGATGAAAACCAGACAAGGAAGCGAACAGCACCGCGTTTGATCATGGATCTATTCCATTTTGCGCCAGGCAACAGTTAATGATTCGAGCCCGAACCTGTGTGCGCCACGTGTCATCAATCATCTGTCGCCAGTTGCCGATGTCACTCCTGTAGATGGAATGCAGATTGGCGGTGTATTGATTGACCAAATTAAAAAGAACACACCGCCCGGCCCTTTTTCCACGTCAATCACATATCGGAATTTGATTTGTATGTGAACCGAGCAGGCGAGTACACATTGTTTGTATATTTATTATTATTAATGGATCAAATTCAGCCAATGACCTCAAGCAATGTAGCAAGATACTATTTGACTCCAGTACGTACTATATTAGATACGAAGCCTCACGCGTCCGTGAGGATCAAGAACCCGCGTATGGAGGCCATGACGATTAATATTGATTTTCTAGGAGCAGGCGGTATTAAAACAATGAATTGGGTATTAATGAAATTATGAAAATGATAATTGAGCATAGGTTGATAAATGTTGTTTGGGTGGTTGGGGGAGAAAACACATCATCATTGAAAAAGGTTGCAAGCAGGGCAACAGGGCGCGACGATATTCCGGGTTTTTTTTTTTTTTCGGGTGAACGCAGAAAGGAGGGGGCCTCGTTGAAAAAGTTGCAAGAGGAGGAGGCCCACAAAAGACGAAAGAATGAGCCTATTGATTTGGAAGTGCGTGGACCACAACGATCCCAAAAACAGGTCAACATCAAGATTTTTTACTTTTCTCATCTCAGCAACGGTTTTTTCGTTTGATGTTTATCGTATTCGAATAAATGCTTCCCCAACGGGAAAAGAGTGAAGTTGACGATGATCCCCATGGCATCGCTGGGGACATTGCTGCTGATCCTCTTGTAAAAAGCACAATTGATAACATGCATTATGGCTTGGAATTAAAATATTGTTCTAATTTTAAACGTATTAATAATATAAATAACATTTAAATAAAATAGTTATGCCAATTAATCATGCAAGTAATAATATGTATTGATTTCCCTAAAATATCCTTCCTTTTAATTATTTATATCGAGAACTACCCTCGTTGACCCCGTGCATAGACAAGGATAGTTTCGAAGAAAGTATATAAAAAATAAAGGAGATTGCTATCTTATACTCAAAATCAGGATAAATTTGTCAACTAATTATTATATTTAGAATTTTAAAAATAAGTTGGGATTAGGATAGGATGCGGATGCAATTACTTTGCATCTCACTTACCCTCTCTTTTACTTTTTTAAAAGCAACGATGCCAGTCAAGAAGGGACCACGGCAAACCCGAAATATGGAGCGAGGGGAAAAAAAAAAACGCAGTGGATGTCCGGATCAAAAGCCCTCTGAATTGACGATCAGCTATGTTTTCTTGCAAAATATATGCTCGTCACTCATCGATGAACAAATATGGCGTGGACCAGGATCAAATCAAGAAACGCAAGCGGGCGCTGGCATGTTTACTGTTTCACTAATCTCATTTATAAGCTATTATCAACACATTTTAATGAAGTCGAGAAAAGTTTTAAAATTTATTGACTTTATCTTAAAATGTATTAATTATTAATTTTACTTCAATTAAATACATATGTTTAATAATATATTTTCTCTTTTTAATATTTTGTGAGTAAACAAGAAAATTTATACTGAAAATTTAACGAGATAACTTATAAATAAAATTAAAAAAAAAATTTTCTATCTGTTTTATAAATAAAATCAGAAGGAATATAAAATAAGAAAATCATGAGCAAGGTGAGCAGATGACCACGCATTTAAGCACAAGTATCAACGGCATCTCGGATCAATGTCAAGAGACATCGGATGACTGTCCTTTTGGTTTCCTTTTTCAACCAAAAAAAAAAAAATCTCCTGACAGTTCGTCTTTGAATAAAAACTGAGATCAATAATGTCCATTCATTATGAGGTTATCTTTTAATAAAATCAACTTTTATTTCATTTTACACGTACCATAAACCAAAAATAATTTGATAATAAACTGTTAAAATATAATTCATATGCTAATAGACTTGTTATCTCACGTGCAACTTTATTATATTTGCTGAGATAAAGATTTATTCTGTTAATATTATCTTATCTATTAAGGTTTATCGTGTTGAGGTTTATGAATATTAGGTTCATTTATATAATACGAGCCTTTCATATCAATAGTATGTGGACAGCGCTTTCCTCATCTCCTTTTCCTTCTCTCTTGACTTCTTTTATTGCTAATCTCATTAACGAAAATCAAATTGATAAAAAACGCCAGGATACAATTTTCTTTTTCTCTTGAAAACAATTACATACAAGGGTAAATTAATTATATACATTAGGGCATTTTGTTGAGGCCGGGATGAGATTTGAATAAGTATTCAATCATCAATTATGGCTGTTACTTGTTTTCATGACAGGGAAAGACTCAGGATATTATTTACGAAGATGTGAAGGGCCTCTAATATTTATGTGGCCAGTGCTGGAAGATAACAAGTCCGTGGCTAAACAATGGTATGGTTGGTCGTGATCACTTGTCTTTCGCTTCCCGAAGCTGTCAGTCTCAAACTATCAACATCGTCATCTCCTTGGGATATATTTCTTATACACTAGATAAGCTTGGCTCTATTCAGCATCTCGTCACCTAGGTCTCTTCTATTGCAGCAGACCCAACACTTACGGGACCTACCCCACCACAAGAGAACAGGACCTTATGGGGACTATGTGTACAGCTCAAGAACCATTCATTCAAATCCAATATGAAGTTTTATGAACACTGCATTCGCCTCTCTAAGTTAAATACGCAAGTTTTTTTATTTTGTTTTTGTTTCCCACCTCATCATTTGTCCGATCGGTGAGCAGCTGTGTTTTTAGTTGAGTGCTCTTTTGTGTCTTTTTCTTGGGTCACTTGATCCACTGGACCTGATTATTCTTCCAGATTTCCGTATGGGCTGCCCACAGCCATTCTTATTCCCACGAATTCGTTCCGGGTCCTGCGTTTCGGTAGTTGCAGGCCGCGCGTTCAGAATAAATAAGCCCTATATATATATATATATTTTTTTTTTAAAAAAAAAATCTATATCTATATTACCTAATTATCCACATGTATCTATATTCTATATAATGTATAAATTGCGTAGATATTGATGCACTTGACTTGTGAATAGTGCTGACTTGAGAAGTTGTCATATTTCGCTTCTATTGGGTTGGATATTTTGTTGTTTTGTAACTTAATATCTATTTTTCTTTTCTTCTTCTTCTTCTTTTTAACTTGAACGGCTAAATACAGTTGGATCCCAACTGTCTTCTTTTGTAAAGCACAAGAACAATTTCTAGTTAATAACCCTACACGGAGAGAAACTGACAGACAAGATTTTTCATTTTGAGAATCATGAAATATTTTCCAATTTAATTAAAACGGAAGCTGCATTTTTTTCTTCAAGGACTTATCCGCCAGAGAGGCCATAAAGTAGGAATTTGACCTTCAACCTTCAAGAGAAGATACATGTGAACGTCGTATGCCTTTATTTTCCTTTCTCGTAAATGATAAGCTTGACCTCCCCCCCCCCCCCAAAAAAAAAACATGACTTCCTGTTTTGATTTTGGATTTCTTTAGGATAATCTATTATTTTTATTTTGTCGCCTTTTAACATCCAACTCTATATTGGTTTTGTTAACTTGTTTGAATTTAAATTAAATAACTATACTTAATATAAGTATTGAGCGCCTGTATTATTTGAACAGTTAAAATTCAAATCAATAATTATAAATTTATATTTCATTTGAAACTAACGAGTGAGTGAGTTTATTTGAACCGTTGATTTTAATTTCAGACAGTACAAGCACTTAATATTTGTATTAAGTATAATCATTGAATTTAAATCTGTCTTGTAACCATATTTCCAAACTCTATATCTAGTTTTCCAACCTAAAAGTTCTCTCGTCCAGAGATTAAAATACACAGGTGCGCATCCTAAAGCTTCTATCGTCTAAATTTGCCTGCCCTTTATAGCAACAGTTCAACACCTTCACACCAAAACTCTGCCTTTGTTATTTGTGCATATATGCAAACGGCGGTATTACTACTAATTAATACCCGCTAAACTTTGGATATAATTAAGAAGAAAACAAAGTGTGTTCACTACATGTAAAAAGTTATCCCCCAACTTCGCTTCGTGAAAGACCTGGGTCAGTCCGGGTTTTTCTGTCACGTTCCTTATAAGTTACTAGACTCGACAACTAGAGTCCACATGCATCTTCTTCACATGAGAAATCCTGTGTGTGTGTATAACTACGATCATAAACATGTTGAATATGTCATGGCCTGCCTAACATTTTCTCAAAAGCTATCAGTAGCTAGCTGAACTATCATATTTCATCACCGTGGCTTCAAACCCAAACAAGGCAAATCAACTGGTAGAATCCCATGCAAAGAGCAGTGAGCATATATTCCCAAAGGATAGCCTTGAAAGAACGATATCCGATGTCACGTCGGGACTAGACCAACAGGGCATGGAAGACATCTGGGAGGTGAAGAAAGCCAAGTGCGAGTGTTGCGGAATGTCAGAGGAGTGCAGCGAAGAGTACATAAAGGGCGCGCGCCACAGGTTCTGGGGGAAATTCATATGCGGCTTGTGTGGTGAAGCTGTGAACGAAACGACGCAGAAGAATGGTGGAAAGGGAAAGGAAGCACTGGAAGAGCACATGAATGAGTGCGTCAAGTTCAACAAGATTGGCAGGTCTTATCCTGCGCTGTACCAGGCCGAGGCCATCAAGGAGATCTTGAAGAAAGCATCAAGAAGCAGATCAGCCAGGTCTGTGACTCCCTCTGATGAGGTTGGTCTTAACAAGAGTGACACGATCCTCAGGAGCTCCAGCTGTATTCCTGCAATCACTCGAGGCACCATCAACAACGTCGCGTCTTGATCGACTAGCTAGGTTTCACACCACACCATGTTAATTATCTTGTTCTCTCACTACTGCTAGTTACTTGTCAAAATTAATTTATTACGTTCCTGTTTCAATTGTAATTAGATGTGATAAGCTCTTCATGGCTAAATGGCATGATTTTTTATAACTAGTATTTTATCGAAATTTAAGGGTAATTGTACAGCTGTTTCTTTTGCGCGTTTATATCTATGACGGGGAAAAGCTGTATTGTCTCCTGTATATTTTTAAATAGGTTAATTGTACGGTACTACCTCCGGGCCGATATTACGGTAGTCGGTACGTACGATGAAAAAAACTTGTTTGTGTCGCAAAAATCTAATCATATGTGAGTTCTCGTATTTATCCATGGGATATCACCGGCGACCGGCGTGCAGTCATAGATTCGGAATGCCATGAGTAATTCAGTAGTCCCGTACATGAGTGTGAATTCTTGTGACAAAAGTAGTGTACTGATCTGAAACTCTCGCAGAATATGAATTTCAGACCGCTTATAAAATTAACGAAAACGAATACCATGTTTTATTAATCATAGGTACGATAACATATACGTAGTAGCTAGGAAATTGACAGAGCTGAATAGTGAATATTGTCTTGAAAGCAAAGCGAGGAAAGCTATATTATGACGAGTTGATATTAGGATGCAATAACTCAGAAAAGGAGGGGTATTCTGAGAAAAAATATGTAAGTGTCATCTAATCTTAACCACCCAATGTGCGAAGTGAATTCAAGGATCTAGGCAGCAATACTAGCCTGAACAGATTAAAAGGGATCTCAATGATTTGGTTATCACACTCATGCGCTGGAGCTGCAAATGACTTGCTGATGACAAACAGAACAAGAGCTCAGATAAAATCGAAAGAAATAAGAAACAAGACAACACGAGTGGTCCTGCATATAGATGTATTATTAGTATGATGAACGTATTTTGTCGCGGGGCAACTGAGTGGGGAGGTACCAGCTGACTCTGCATGCGTGTCTTTCTGCGCATGCACGCTCTAGCTAGGCAATAGGAGGAGACTCCCTAAAAGCAAATGGGAAATAAATGGTGGTCTCGCATGTCTCCCCCAGACTTCGCCACACCCAACTGCCTACCTCTGGATACTCGTCCATGCACCTCACCTTACATTGGTTTTGAATTTCAACAATGAATAATTTTTTATCGTCGAAATAATACAGTTGAAATTAACTGATGACATGGAGCTGTATGTATGTATTGATTCTAGTGGTGCAAATATCTAGGTATTTTCAGGTCTCGCAGACAAACGAAATAAGCAGTGGTGAAGTTGAAATTAGGCGGTCCTATGTCGATACATTGAGGCTGCTGCAATAATTGTTGCGGCAAAAATTATAACCTGTGACGTGGGTTGGGCCCGGATTTCACGTACGAAAGTTTGACTCCTCATGAACATAACAGGTCAGAATGGTGATAACCCCGCCAAGAGTGGAGCATGTAATGGTTGATTACGATTTTTTTACCAATATAATGTAAACAATAAAAAAATTATCAAAATGCTATATCATAGAAAATATTTATCTAAATACTACAACAAAAATCATTCAGAATGAAAATGAATTTTTGACTGTGAAGAAATCGTTCAAGCCAAAAGCAATTTTGTAGTCAAAAATTATATTTTTATTCAATAAAAAGTGAAATTGTTTGCTAAATGAATGATTTTAGCTTTTTTATTAACATGACATTTTATTCACTATTAACTACGAGAATCTTTGCTTTCTTTTCTTGCTTTGCTTTTCACACGCGATTCATTTTCAAGTGTGAGATAGATGGCCACTTACTATTGTTGATGTTCCTCCGGTACTCGAAGAATTGGATAGAACATCTAAGTAAATACAATGGTATTAAAGACATACCCAACAATAGATCTAATATATTAGTAGTGATATTGAGTATGCGATAAGTTTTTCACTTTCTTTCACTAGTGTCGTCTTTTTTTTGTATAAAAAAATTGTTAATACCTAATGTCTTATTATTTATTTTAGGCTTATATAACAAATGAGTTATACTGGCTAATGATTAATTCTCATTCAAAATGCTCTTATTGCATTGATTATTGAGATAAGGTTGCTTGAGACCAATGCAATATCTTACTTGTAATGAAAGAACAATAATTTAACAGGGACCTTTAGCTTACTCTACTAAGAATTGAGTTGCCTCATCCATAAATTCTTTAAGTTAGACTAAGCAAGTGATGTGGTAGCTATTTGTCTACTCAATCACTAATTTAAAATGAAAATGTAAAAACACAAGAGCCTTAAAATTTTATTATTAAACTCATTACATGCTAGCCTATCATAATCATTGCCCCCTTTGTCCTCTCTCAATCATGTTCAATTCGAGTCTCATTATGTGCCACTCTCACCATCATCCATTTCTAACTCACCCACTTCTACTCAATGATATTAGTGGAAGAAGGTGAAAACTTACCGCATACCTAGTATCACTACTAATATGCTAGATCCATTATTGGGTATGTCTTCAATATTATTGCGTGTACTCAGATGTTTTATCAAACTCTTTGAGTACTGGAGGAACATTAACGATAATAAGTGGCTATCTATCTTATGCTTAAATGAATTGCATGAGAAAAGCAAAGCAAGAAGGAAAAGCAAATATTCTCAAAGTTGATAGTGAATAAAATATCATGTCAATAAAAAAGATGGAATCTTTCACCTAGTGAATAATTTCACTTTTAATTGAATAAAAAAATAATTTTTGACTACAAAATCGTTCTTGGCTTGAATGATTTCTTCACAATCACTTTGTTGTAGCATTTGGATAAATATTTTCCATGGTGCAGCATTTCAATATTTTTTTACTATTTACAGTTTATTGGTAAAAAAGCCATTGATTAGCTAGTCACACTTAAAGAAATTTTGTCCATTGTTAGGATATTTATAATATATAGTGCCATAGCTAACTATTCTATTCTACACGGGTGGAGTGTAATATAAAGCACAGAGTAGCCCACGGCATAATAATGCCTTGGCTCTGTTTATAGGTACCATTGTTCTGTTTGAGATGTAATAGTTTTTGCTATGTGCGTTTTTTTTATGGGGCAAATGTGCAAAAATATTTAAAAATTTTCTACCAAGAGCACCTAGTATTCTTGAATAAGAATGGTGCAAAAATTTCTATAAACTAGCTTCAATAGGTGCATCCATCTCCAACACGTTAAAGATAACTTATATTGACCGTTAATTTACATATAAGTTATCTAAGCAAATAGTTTGACCATTTTTTGCTGAGGTGGAGTAATAAATTTTGGAAAACTAGTGTCTTCCTCCAAATCCTTCACTCCTCTTTCCATTTCCTCTTCATTGCTTCCCTCCGTTGTAAGTGCCTCTTCTTTGCTGCTGTTTCTCCTTTGCAAACTTACATTTCCATCCCTTCTACTTAGTAGGAGCTCTAAGATCAACATCCATTGACACAAGGGATTTTCATTCGCAAGATTTAAATATATAATAGCGGGATTCCTTATCTAGGAGGGGGAATAAATCAACTAGTCTAGATGACCAGGGTGCAGAAATGCTGGGTCTATTATGTCCAGTTGATTGGTAGGCCCTACTAATAAACACAGTTTTCTTCGTCGACATCTCATCCATTTCTGTAAGGAGTTGATTCAAAACCCTGTCAATAGCTCCCTCATATCTCCCAAACTCCTTCATCATCACACATAGTCATTGTATTGGATTTTAAAACGACGAGTCTAGTGGTGCTAGAGAAAGTAAGTAGCATAAGCTATGCGAAGGATGTGTTAGAGGTTTTTTGGTGTTGCCATTGGAAGGGAGGATGTATGAAAGACTCTTAGAGGTAGAGAGGGGAGCGTTAGAGCTAGACTGCCATATGGCGTGAAGAGGGGAGAGTTGGAGTTGGACTGCCAAATGATGTTGAGAACGTTGAGGTAGACGACGACATTGAGGGACATAGGGCACACTTATAATTGATGTGCACAAAATTTTAAAACAAACAGCAAGTGTTCGGATCTAACGAGATATAGCTAATCAAGGTTGTCTTACAAGGAACTAAATAAAATGAATTTACACAAATAAAATTGTTTTCATTTCAGTTAAATTATCTAATCAACAGTGAAGTTTTTATTACTTTAAAAATATGAAATAAATAAAATAAAAGTCAAAGAATAAACCTGAGTTAAGATAAGCTATCTAAGAGCATCTTAGAAATTTTAATTCCCTTTTACTACTTTGCAGCTCAATTACTTCTAGTTATCACATTTTAATTTAACTTTAAAATCACTTATCTAAATTAGATTATACATTTGTCGATTCTAAAACTCATGATCTAATTATGTTATGATATCTCAAGCAAATCCTAATTCAATTATGTGCAAAACTTAAAAGATTACCTAGGACTTTTGAGTATATTTTTATCTCAAGTGAAAATTAGATTAAATCAAATCTTAAGTTGCTCAATACATGATTTATTTGAGATTTTATTTTGTCGAAGGCAAAAACCAAAATTCAAATAGACACTAAAGTTGGCCACCAATAGCATGACACAAAATTAATCTTATTAAGCATTAAAGCATTGATTAAAATCGATAGTCAAAAAGAAATCTATCTACAAAGTATTAAATGTTCATAGAATCTCTAAGAATAAAAGAAAACTAGCCACTCAAAGCTCTAATATAAAAAATAATTCAAAAACAACACGGAGAACTAAAGACATAATAGAAGAAAGAAGAGAATCCAGATATAAATACCTTAAAGAAGCTTCACGGTCACTCTTCAATATTCAATTTAGCCTCCAAGCCCTTGGTTAATGCTTTAGAGTTGCCGATGCTTTATTTATGACTTGTTAGCACCCCTTTGTCCTCTAATTTCTGTCTTATCTCATATGTTTTTGTAAGATATTATTTAACTTTGCATATGAATTTTAATTAAAATTTTGCCATGTTTTTCCTTTTGTTAGCACGCGGTCGTACTCTTCTTCTCAAGGTTCACGCATGGGCAAATAATGAAGGAGTCTTTTTCGTGACCTCCTCTGTTCGTCGTCGGGTGTCGAGGTTTAGGGTGTCCGCATATAATCTTCACACGTGGATGAGCTTTCAAGCCATGATCTTCCCTGTGCAACTATATCTGTGGGTGGAGAAATTCTCTTCTTTACTTATCCACGAGTGGACAACTTTTTTTGGGCCTATTTCTGGAGCTTTGAGCTAGTACTTAGCATTTTTATCCATTTAGGTGTTGTTTTCGCTCATTTTTCTTGAAAATGCCTAAAAATCACCAAATGAGGTATTTTATCCAAATTTCTCTAATTAGTAAATAAAAGAGGAGAAGATATATATTAATTTATGTAAAATCCCAACTTATCAATCATATTGGCTAGTTTCAGGATGGCCAGTCTCACTTGGTTTCAAGACTCCAATGCAACGAGTGGAGAGTAAGGGAGAAAGGAGGTGGTGATGTGGTAGCTACTTGGCATGGATCGTGCGGTTTAAAATAAAAATTTAACCGATGTCAATTATCGTTAATGGGTTGGAGATGGATACACACATTAAAGCTAGTTTATAAGTATTGCTGTATCATTCTTCAATTAAGGATATTGGGTGTTTTTACAAAAAAGTTTTGTGAGTATTTTTACATATTTGCTCTTATGTATGTGCAATTTACCTGAAGGGAACATCACTGTGTGGGTGTGAATTGAAGGAAGAGCATGAGTAAATGTAACACCCTCAAATTTACAAACCGATTTTTCGCAAATTATTAATTCAAGAAATCATTTTTTTTTCATTGAACCCTTATCATACCCTTATCATGGTAGAAAAATTTCTACCATGATACATCCAAGATAATATACCACAGGTCTTAAAATATCTCAAAAAGCAATTAGAACCATGAGGGACAGACATGATCCTCATAGCATGTTATTTAAATTAGGTCATGAATCAAAAGGGACAGACATAATCCTCTTGGACATATAAATGCATTTAATAAAAAGGATTAGAGTTTACATGCTCCATAGACAAGATATGTCCTAAGTTGGCACAAGATACATTGTATAATCCAAAATAAGAGGCAACGTAAAAGATGGTGTCTCATACACCATAATTACACCTCTGGTGCTTTCTCGGCCGGATTCGCTCCTGTAAAAATATTAACCACGGGGAATGAGACTTAAAAGTCCCAGTAACCAAAAATTAATATGTAATGATGCATGCGGATGTAACTAATCATGCGATTGCTAAGTGGGCACACAAAACATTTAACCGAACAATATTTTCAAACAAACCGAACAAGTATTTAATTGCATGACTGCACCTTATATCCTCCTTTCACCATGCTCGGACGCCAAATCACCCGGCCAAAGGTGAGTTGGACCAAGCGACACGCCACTCATTGGGTCCAATGAGGGCTTACCACGTGGTAATAATTAACCGAACAGAAATTCCCATTAACACCATACATTAAAATACCCTGACAAGTCATGCATCATTCAAATATCCAAACAGGAATATATCCGAACAATAATATCTCATCATGATAAATAAAAAATAAATTTTTAACCCACTTGGCAATAATTTCAAACAAGTATATACAGTATTTATTTTCAATAATTCATAATTTTTCCAAACAACAAAACAACACATAACCATTCACAAACACACTCATCACAACACATTAATAATGGTTACCTTGTGTCTTGAATAACAAGTTCCCCTTCACAACTCCTTTTTCACCACTATCTTTGTCAATATAATCTACATAATTATTTCACAATACTATATATTAATTTTACATTAAAATAAATAACTCTAATTTAAAGAATTAGAAAGTCTTAGATCTATAATCCATATTAACACTAATTTAAGATTTATGCCTCATTTAACTTCCCAAATTCTTTTTCTAAAATTCTTGTACCCTAATAAACTATTTTTTTTATCCTCAAATCACTTCTAGTATCACAATTTCATCCTTCTATATTCTAAAAATTCGTCCAAAAATAAATTAAAAATTTTACAATTATCCTGAAACCTCAAATCACCTTTCTATAACCTCAAAAATACCTATTCATACTTAAATAAATATTTAATAATCATAGGTTTATCCCTACATCTCAGATTCCACATAAATTCAACCATATAGATCTAGATTTTAACTCAAAAATTCTTAAACATGAGTTTCAACCTCAAGAAAATATTCTATAATATTTATTATATCCCTAAGAGTTTTAACCTATATTTTTAATCCATCATATCATCAGATTAACTATCCTATAGAAAAATCCTAACAAAATATTTACTCTATCCTACAAAATAATCATATCATTAGAAAGCTAATATTATTTAGAAAATAACTATAAAATTAATTTTGTAATTAAATAAATTTTTAAATGCTAATCTAAACAGGAAAGTTAGAACATACCTGAAGAAAAAGAAAATAATCCCCCCTTGCGAGAAAACGCCGAGCAACGTGAGAGGAAGAGAGAAAAATAATATAAAAATGGGATTGTGAGTCCCAAAATTATATTAAAAAAAACTATAGGTTTGAATTTAATTATTCAAACCTTTGGGCCAAAAGTTGCAATTTCCTCTAAATTGCATCTCAGCCTCTCATGCTTCCTAATGCACACACCCCCTCCTTTTTATACATGAAGGCACCTCTTCTCTTCCCTCATCTAACCAATGTGGGACTTAGAAACAACAACCTTCCACCCCCTTTTTTTTTGTTCCTTCTACCTTCTCTTTTTTTTTCAACACATACATAAAAAAAAATTATTTATATATTATATCTTAACTAAATATTGCTTATGTGATTTTAAATTTAAATTTTTAAATTCATAATTAAATACCTAACCATAATATTATTTCTAAATAACCTCAAATAATATAAATTCCTATCATTATCATTTTTTTTCTCAAAACCTAAATTCCACAATTTCTTTATTATATAAAAAATCAGGATGTTACAATTCTCCCCTCCTTTTAGAAATTTTGTCCTCAAAATTTAATAGATAAGCATAGAAACTATGTACCTAAGCAAATAAATGTGGATAATCTTGCCTCATACTCTCCTCGGTTTCCCAAGTAGCATCACCCAGGGCTCCACCCTTCCAAATCACCTTCACGAGTCGGATGGTCTTATTGCGCAGTTGTTTGTCCTTAAAGTCCTCAATTCGCTCCGGTTCGGATCTAAAGGTCAAATTCTCCCTCAATTCTACTTCTTCAGGTTCAATAACATGGGAGGGATCCGGGTTGTACTTCTTCAACTGTGATACGTGAAATACATTATGGATACCTGCAATCTGTGGAGGCAATGCAACTCTATATGCAGCAGGTCCAATTCGCTCCAAGATCTCATACGGGCCCATAAATCTAGGTGTCAACTTCTTTGCCTTAATGGATCTACCAATGCCTGTCATCGGAGAAACCTTCAAAAATACATGATCTCCTACTTGAAACTCTAACGGTCGTCTTCTCTTATCAGCATAGCTCTTCTGTCGACTCTGAGCTGTTAGCAATTTTTGCTTAATCATTGCAATCTTCTGGGTGGTCTGCTTTACAATTTCTGGACCAATGATACTCCTCTCACTTAATTCTGTCCAACACAAAGGCGATCTACACTTCCTGCCATACAAGGCCTCATAAGGCGCCATCCCAATACTAGAATGATAGCTGTTATTATAGGCAAATTCAGCTAATGGCAAATGATTATCCCAACTACCTGGTAGTTCAATGGCACAAGCTCTCAACATGTCCTCCAAAGTCTGGATCGTCCTCTCTGTTTGTCCATCTGTTTGGGGGTGGTATGCGGTGCTAAAACTCAGTCTGGTACCCATAGCCTTCTGTAGCGCACCCCAAAAGTTTGAAGTGAACCTTGGGTCACGATCTGACACAATTCTAGAGGGTATACCATGAAGTCTAACTATCTCCTTAATGTATATCTCAGCAAATTTCTCTAATGTAGAGGTAAACTTGATCGCCAAAAAGTGAGCCGATTTGGTGAGTCGGTCTACTATCACCCAAATAGCATCCTTACTCGAGGGTGTTCTTGGCAGTCCAGTGATGAAATCCATGGAAATATCATCCCATTTCCACTTTGGAATATCTAACGGTTGCAGTGTTCCAGCTGGCTTCTGATGTTCTATCTTTATCTTCTGACACGTTAAACATCTAGAAACAAATTCAGTTACATCTTTCTTCACCACCACCTCGCTTCAAATCATGGTACATTTTAGTTATACCGGGATGAATTGTATATTTGCTCCTATGAGCTTCTTCTAAAAGGATATTCCTCAATCTTGGATCATTAGGTACACAAACTCTACCTTTATACTTCATCACTGTGTCCTCAGAGATGGTAAAATTTGGGGCCTTACCTACCACTATCTCCTTCCTTATATTCCTTAAGTAGTCATCACTCTGCTGTGAGACTCTGAGATCTTCCCAGAATTTGCTCTCAAAGTCTGCTACCTGGAGTGCGGCCATTTGATGTTCAATCACATCTACTGGAACATCATGAAAACTGTTCCACAAATGATATTCATGAACCATCAAATGTGCAGCATGAATAGTCTTTCTACTTAAGGCGTCAGCTACCACGTTAGCCTTACCCGGATGGTAATGTAATTCAAAGTCATAATCCTTCAGAAATTCCATCCATCGTCGCTGCCTCATATTAAGCTCTTTTTGATCAAATAAATACTTCAGGCTCTTATGGTCACTGAAGATTTGAAACTTAGATCCATACAAGTAGTGTCTCCATATCTTCAGAGCAAACACAACTGCAGCTAACTCCAAATCATGAGTAGGGTAATTTTCCTCGTGTGGTCTCAACTGTCTGGAGGAATAGGCAACCACTCGGTCATTTTGCATCAAAACACATCCTAAACCCTTTAAAGAAGCATCAGTGTACAGAGTGTACGGCACCACAGGGTCAGGAATAGTCAATACTGGAGTAGTGGTTAACCTCTTTTTCAATTCTTGGAAAGCAGCTTCACATTTGTCAGTCCAAATAAATGGGGCATCCTTCTTAGTCAGCTTAGTTAAGGGCATCGCAATTTGCGAAAATCCCTTAATAAAGCGACGATAATAACCTGCTAAACCTAAAAAGCTTCGTATCTCTGTAACAGATTTTGGCTGTTCCCACTTCATCACTGCATCAATCTTGCTAGGATCCACCGCAACTCCGTCTCTGGACACAACATGGCCCAAAAACTTTACTTCTTGGAGCCAAAATTCACACTTGTTTAATTTGGCATAAAGCTTATGTTCCCTCAAAACTTGCAAGACGATTCTTAAATGTTCACCATGAGCCTCCTCATCCTTTGAATAAATAAGAATGTCATCAATAAACACTACTACAAACTTATCTAAATAGGGTCGAAAGATCCTATTCATGTAATCCATGAATACCGCAGGAGCATTCGTAAGTCCAAACGGCATCACCATGAATTCATAATGCCCATATCTCGTCCGAAATGCTGTCTTAGGTATATCCTCTGCTCTCACTCTCAATTGGTGGTACCCTGACCTTAAGTCAATCTTTGAGAAAACTGCGGATCCCACAAGCTGATCCAGCAAATCATCGATTCTCGAAAGTGGATATTTGTTCTTGATGGTTACTTTGTTCAATTGTCTATAATCAATGCACAATCGGAGGCTTCCGTCCTTCTTCTTTACAAAAAGGACTGGAGATCCCCAAGGTGAAACACTCGGTCTGATGAAACCCTTCTCAAGTAGCTCTTCAATTTGCTTTTTCAGTTCCGCTAACTCTGAAGGGGACATCCGATAAGGAGCCTTAGAAATTGGCCCTGTACCGGGTACCAATTCAATTGAGAACTCTACCTCGCGCTTTGGGGGTAAACCGGAGACTTCGTCTGGAAATACATCCGCAAATTCTTTGACAATTGGGATATTCTTCACGCCTTCATCAATCTCAGCTTGGATAGAGAAGAAAACCATGTAGGCCTGGCAACCCTTCTTCATACATCTATCAACTTGCGCCGCCGACAAGAAAACATGATCTTGAGTCTCGATGGGGTCACCGACAAAGAAGATAAAGACACACTCCTCTCTCTACAATCTAGGATAGCACCATTTGCAGCCATCCAATTCATTCCCACAATTACATCCATACCTCTCAGTGGTAGGATAATTAAGTCCATAGTTGTTTTCCTATTTTTAAACTCGACTACTAGGTTAAGGCATGCCTTAGCAGTCCTTACAGATTCTCCCGCAGGAGTAGACACATTCATATCAAAAGGTAAAATACACACAGGCAAATCAAGGTTCTTTACACAAGTTTCAGAAATAAAAGAGTGTGTAGCACCCGAATCAAATAGTGCAACAATATCATGATGAAGGATTTTGATGTTACCTCTAATGGCATCTGGGGAGTTCATGGTGTCCTGAGTAAGAGCAAACACACGGCCAGAGACAGTAGGATGTTGGGAAGGGTTCTTCATATTTGAGCCCTGGTTGTCCCCACAAAACTTTGCAATGTGACCGGGTTTCCACAAATGTAACAGACCCAGCACTGTCCGAAATGACGACGCCCGCATTTAGTGCACTGTTGAGAGCTCGCTGTACTCGGGGCAGGTGTAGATACTGTTGGGCTCCTCTGTGACCCGTGATAACTACTATGATAGCTCCTCTGTCCTTGGCCCCTTTGAAATGGACCCTTCTGCCTTCCTTGGTTCCATGAGCTACTCGAACCCTGATGGTTTTTCTTCATAATGCCTCCGGTGGGTCGAGGGTAGGTTGGGGGTCTACTATATGAATAACCCCTCTTCTCTCTCTCAACCTCCTTCTTACTGCGAGCTACTACTTGTAGTTTTATGCACATTTCATCATAATCTCGGATATCTAGATGAGCCAATTGTTCCCTCAATTCTGGTCTAGCCTTCTCCAATAAGCGCTTAGCCTTCCATTCGGAATCATCCCTATACTGCAGGTACGTGGAGTATCTAGATAACTCCTGAAACTTAGCAATGAATGTGTCCTCATCGAGGTTCCCTTGCTTAAAGGCATGGAATTCCGCTTCCTTCTCAGACCTTAACTCTGATGGAAAGTAATGCCTGAATAATTTTTCCTTGAATTCCTCCCAGGTGAGTGTAGAATCATCCCTGGGCCCTGCTGTCTCCCACCAATCTCTTGCTCCTTTCACTAGGAGCACTAATGCTACTTGTACTTTTTGATTGCTGGTGCATGTGACTACTCGAAAGATGGATTCGAGTCTCTTCACCCATTCCTCTACCACGGAGGAGGGTTAAACTTCCTAACAGTTTCTCACACATCAGTAATGGTCGGTGGGGCTCTTTGTTCCTCCTGCCTAATTTCTTTCCTTCTAGACTCATGATCTCTCGGAGTGGCAGGATGTGAGGAACTGCCTTCCCCCACATGACTCTCAACATGAGCCCTATCTCCATTTTCAGTTACCTTTTGCCTCTTTAGCTCCGTCAACTCTTGTTCGTATCCTTGAACCTTGTCTGTTAATGTTTTTACAAGCATTCTTAATTCCGCCAAGTCAGGCTCCTCATTTGGCAGTGGCGGTGGCAGGTGCTCATGTTGGAATCCTGAGTTACCACGAGTAACAGGCATTTTCTCTCCCCTCCTAAAGGATACAAGATATAAATAATAAAATTAGCCTAGCTATATCATGGCCATACAATGAGAAGCACCATAACAATGTATATTGCCAACCGACTATATGCTCTGATACCAATATGTAACACCCTCAAATTTACAAACTGATTTTTCACAAATTATTAATTCAAGAAATCATTTTTTTTTCATTGAACCCTTATCATACCCTTATCATGGTAGAAAAATTTCTACCATGATACATCCAAGACAATATACCACAGGTCTTAAAATATCTCAAAAAGCAATTAGAACCATGAGGGACAGACATGATCCTCATAGCATGTTATTTAAATTAGGTCATGAATCAAAAGGGACAGACATAATCCTCTTGGACATATAAATGCATTTAATAAAAAGGATTAGAGTTTACATGCTCCATAGACAAGATATGTCCTAAGTTGGCACAAGATACATTGTATAATCCAAAATAAGAGGCAACGTAAAAGATGGTGTCTCATACACCATAATTACACCTCTGGTGCTTTCTCGGCCGGATTCGCTCCTGTAAAAATATTAACCACGGGGAATGAGACTTAAAAGTCCCAGTAACCAAAAATTAATATGTAATGATGCATGCGGATGTAACTAATCATGCGATTGCTAAGTGGGCACACAAAACATTTAACCGAACAATATTTTCAAACAAACCGAACAAGTATTTAATTGCATGACTGCACCTTATATCCTCCTTTCACCATGCTCGGACGCCAAATCACCCGGCCAAAGGTGAGTTGGACCAAGCGACACGCCACTCATTGGGTCCAATGAGGGCTTACCACGTGGTAATAATTAACCGAACAGAAATTCCCATTAACACCATACATTAAAATACCCTGACAAGTCATGCATCATTCAAATATCCAAACAGGAATATATCCGAACAATAATATCTCATCATGATAAATAAAAAATAAATTTTTAACCCACTTGGCAATAATTTCAAACAAGTATATACAGTATTTATTTTCAATAATTCATAATTTTTCCAAACAACAAAACAACACATAACCATTCACAAACACACTCATCACAACACATTAATAATGGTTACCTTGTGTCTTGAATAACAAGTTCCCCTTCACAACTCCTTTTTCACCACTATCTTTGTCAATATAATCTACATAATTATTTCACAATACTATATATTAATTTTACATTAAAATAAATAACTCTAATTTAAAGAATTAGAAAGTCTTAGATCTATAATCCATATTAATACTAATTTAAGATTTATGCCTCATTTAACTTCCCAAATTCTTTTTCTAAAATTCTCGTACCCTAATAAACTATTTTTTTTATCCTCAAATCACTTCTAGTATCACAATTTCATCCTTCTATATTCTAAAAATTCGTCCAAAAATAAATTAAAAATTTTACAATTATCCTGAAACCTCAAATCACCTTTCTATAACCTCAAAAATACCTATTCATACTTAAATAAATATTTAATAATCATAGGTTTATCCCTACATCTCAGATTCCACATAAATTCAACCATATAGATCTAGATTTTAACTCAAAAATTCTTAAACATGAGTTTCAACCTCAAGAAAATATTCTATAATATTTATTATATCCCTAAGAGTTTTAACCTATATTTTTAATCCATCATATCATCAGATTAACTATCCTATAGAAAAATCCTAACCAAAATATTTACTCTATCCTACAAAATAATCATATCATTAGAAAGCTAATATTATTTAGAAAATAACTATAAAATTAATTTTGTAATTAAATAAATTTTTAAATGCTAATCTAAACAGGAAAGTTAGAACATACCTGAAGAAAAAGAAAATAATCCCCCCTTGCGAGAAAACGCCGAGCAACGTGAGAGGAAGAGAGAAAAATAATATAAAAATGGGATTGTGAGTCCCAAAATTATATTAAAAAAAACTATAGGTTTGAATTTAATTATTCAAACCTTTGGGCCAAAAGTTGCAATTTCCTCTAAATTGCATTTCAGCCTCTCATGCTTCCTAATGCACACACCCCCTCCTTTTTATACATGAAGGCACCTCTTCTCTTCCCTCATCTAACCAATGTGGGACTTAGAAACAACAACCTTCCACCCCCTTTTTTTTGTTCCTTCTACCTTCTCTTTTTTTTTCAACACATACATAAAAAAAAATTATTTATATATTATATCTTAACTAAATATTGCTTATGTGATTTTAAATTTAAATTTTTAAATTCATAATTAAATACCTAACCATAATATTATTTCTAAATAACCTCAAATAATATAAATTTCTATTATTATCATTTTTTTTCTCAAAACCTAAATTCCACAATTTCTTTATTATATAAAAAATCAGGATGTTACAGTAAACTCCAAGAGTTCAAGCTCTGCGAAGTAGACAACGTACAAAGCGAAGGGAAGCGACCTATAAATAGGGCCTACAGCCTCCTAATGTGAATTTAATTCCCTAATCAGACCCTCATAATTATAATGTTTAACTTTCATTTGAGAATATAGATTGAAGAGACAGTCACATGCATGAGTCCCGCTCTATTTCTCTATCCCTTGTTGGATATTATAAATATTTTTTAGTATTTTAAAAGAAATTATTATAAATTAATAATATTAATTATTATTTAAGTCTATTTATTATTTTATAATATATAATTTAAATAATATTATTATTTGAAATTATTTTTTTAATTGTGATTAAGGTGGTTTTATTACCTAACATTATGAGATTTGCCTATAAAAGGCAATGCTTGCCACAGGTTCAGAGAGAGCCTTGATACTCTCGGGTTTTCTCTCCTTTTCTGTTATATTAGTTCATTGTGTAGTTACCTGAATATGTTCTGTGAATTTTTATTGTTTTATGTCTTTTCTTTTAGTAGGAAGAGTCTGTTTAATTATGAGAAACTGCCGCGCGATCAACCCGGTGTGGCAGAATAGCTCTTAAGGACAGTGTCCTCGAGTACGACTCAGACTAAATTTCACCAGTTAATGCCAACAATTTTAAGAGTTATCTCCATCATGCTAGTCTTATTTAGTTGTACTAAGCTTGGTGGGTTTAGATCTAGTGGAGGTGTACGGTGAGTAAGTGAGTTTCAATTATGTTTATGAGCATAATTGGGTATAGGAGCACATGCACATCATTTTAGGTGTAAAGTTGCGGGATGCATACCACAATACTAGCGGAAGAACTACTCACATTGATAGCTGGGCACACCATTTGGTGTGGAGATTCAAATTGATGGTAGCCAATGAAAGAGACACGTGGATCTACTATTGCTGAACTAGTTACCCAAAGATTATTTCAGCCATCTTGGTTTTTTGCCTCGCCAGTTTGTGAGTATTCCGAGAGTACTCAATTATGTGGTTTGGTCTCTTTATTATTTGCTTCATTAGGTGAAACTGCAAAACTTGCAACTCTACATATCATGCAACGTAAATGTGCATTGATTGAGGAATAACTTATTATTTAATCACATTAAGATATCTTCAATGCACGATTACAAATGAAGGTCTTTACTATGCATTTTTTCAAAATTCTTTTCTTAGTTAAATCATCAGTGGCTTACGATTCACCATTCCTAATGTGAGATATTATTGGCTTTTATAAATAATTAATGCCATTAAAGGGGTTGAATTATTTTGGGAGCAAATGTTGATATGTGATCTATTTTATGACTATGAGTGTCATAACCGTGATTAGTCATAATTGAATATATGCTCTTGAAGAAAATATGAAACCCATTTATGCTTTGGATTTTTCTTTTTGGGTTGGTTGACATTTAATTTGCAAGGTTGCTAAGCTTAATCAATTGTTGATTGCTTATTATATAAATTCAAGTGAAATTCAATTTGCGTTTTTCTTGTTTTTTTTGGATGAAATTGTTGTTAATTGAATAGACTTGCGAGTCTATATTTTTAATGCTGCAATTGGCTTTTCAAACTGCCGTTGAAAAGCTAATATATATTCCAGCGAAGTTTTGAAATTATTAGCTTGAATATTTGATACACATGTATGGTGTTTCATCATTTTATTTGGTGCTATCATTAGAGACATGATATGAGAAGGCTTTTGCTGATTTGTCCATAATATGGGAGCATGTGTGGGAGTTAATATGTTTATGGTGGATTTAAAAATTATGAGAAATTATAATTTAATTAGAATGGGAGAAGGTTATATGACGAGATTCTAATTTAATTAAAATTATTATTAATAATTTATGAAAATATTTAAATATTTTTCATATATGTGGTTGAAATATACTTGAAAATGTGGGGGTGTCTAGCAAAATTATTTTGCTTTATTCTAAAGATTGTGTTGTGCCATATGGTTAGCCTCATTTTATAAATGCCAAGATAGTTCTACACTGTGATTCAAAGAAAATATTATATGGAGGCTTTGTTATTTGCATAAATGCAAGAAATGTGATTTTGTGTGGCTTGCAACAAGCGTTATGATGATGGCACAAATTTAATTATTTATCTAGTGTAAATAAATTTATTTTAAATAGGTGCATGATCTATTTGTTTTGGCATAAATATTCATTATTGTGGATAATGATTTATTTATATGTGTTATGGTCTATATGAGAAAAATAAAATATTTTTTTAAATTATGAGATTGTGAATAGTGGATCGTTGTTGTATAAAATACATGGATATTAATTAAATTATTTATTTATGTGAGAAAATTCACTAGTAAGTATCCACCCTTAGTGGTGATGAAAATAAATATAACAACAGGATCATAGAGTTTATTACTTTAAAAAATCTAACACTTAGTATCAACGAGTATTCCCATAATGCTAAAATGGTTAAAAATGAAAATGGGATGGTTTTATTGCTCAATCTATATATGCACATACAAACTTTAGAGAGTTTGCCATTGATTAATATTAATCCCATGATATAGTTATGTTGCATGAAGATTGAGCATATCAAATAGTCTCATAAAAGGACGAGTCAATTCCTTTGAGAGATACCATAAATATTGGTATCATGAATAATGAATTTTCATTGTATTAAAATAATACAATGATGTTAATTGAATTTTATATTCAAATGAGAAAAAATTCATTAGTAGCCAAATAACATGTTATTTGAGCCAGAGTTTATTACTCTGAATTGGCTAATAATAAGACTGAGTAGTTAATAAACTTCTCAATAAATATTTTATTATAAGTAAAATCGACACAAGTCATGTCGATGATTTGTAATTGCCAAATGGCAATAGTTATTGTAAAGAGAATAATGATATAGGTAAATATCGATTGAGATACAATTAAGCATGCTAAAAAAGAAAGTTATTTCAATCAATTAGGTGAGATCAAATGTAAATCTAATGGATCCATTAACTAGTCCCTGGGAAAGAATTTTAATTATTCAAATGTCGAGGGGAATGAGACTTAAGCCAATTTAAAATTAACGATGATGGCAACCCAACTTTTGTGATTGGAAATTCCATTAAGAAGGTTCAATGGGTAAAAACAAGTCACTTGTTAGTTTTGTTAGCACTAAATTTTTTGTCCCTTCTAATGGCTTGAGAAAGCGCTAAAATACATTGATTGGAGGTTGAGCAAAAGCTCTTAGTGTTTTTCACAGTCCTTATAGATGGTGTATTCATTACAGATACACTTGATGAAAACACCTATACAAATATGGAGTGGGGTTGCTGCTATGAGATCGTGGCGAAATTTATATAGCATTTGTTAAAACTAGGCACGCGCATGATCGATAACGTGTAAAACTGCCTTAACAATGAAATTATAGGGGTAAAATGTGACTAATAAGACCTCTAGTACACGACTGAGATCTGTTCATTCAATAACAAAGTTACATCAATTTTTATGTGTGTTAAATTTTATTGGTCTAGGTTTGGTTCAAGCCCAAAGACATCAAATTCGAAGTGATTATCTTCCGTGTGAATAACTCAAATGATAGTGGTCTTTTTGATACATATGGGGGATTGTTGAAATTGTGTCAAAAAGGAAAGTCCCATATTGCTCAAATGAATGGAGGCCTTAATAATATATACTAAGGTATGAGCTTAGGCAAAGCAAATGGGCTTAGAGAAAAAGTGGGCTCATGTAAATACAATTATTCACACACGAGCTAAATGTGGTATCAAACAGACTGGGCATTTTTTTAAAGTTTTGAAAACTATTATGTGGAGTTATAAATTATTTGTATAAAATAGTTTTCAAGAAAATTTTCCTTCCTTTTAAAATATGTGGGGGATTGTTGGATATTATAAATATTTTTTAATATTTCAAAAGGAATTATTATAAATTAATAATATTAATTACTATTTAATTCTATTTATTATTTTATAACATATAATTTAAACAAAATTATTATTTGAAACCATTTTTTAATTGTGATTAAGGTAGTTTTATTGCCCAGCATTATGAGATCTACCTATAAAAGGCAATGCTTGCCATAGGTTCAGAGAGAGCCTTGATACTCTCAACTTTTCTCTCCTCTTCTATTATATTAGTTCATTGTGTAGTTATCTTAGTATGTTCTGTGAATTATTATTGTTCTATGTCCCTACTTTTAGTAGGAAGAGTCTGTTTAATCTTGAGAAATTGCTGCACGATCAACCTGGTGTGGCGAAATAACTCTTAAGAACTGTGTCCTCAGGCGCGACTCAAACTAAATTTCACCAGCTATTGCAACATCCCTCTCCTGTCTGAATGATCAATAGGGAGGGATCCAAATTATATTCATCATGAACTTGACAGTCATAAACGGTATATCAACGTATGATGTTTATATATAACTAATTCAATTTACAATAAACATGTCCTACCAGAGTTAAAAAGAGATGAAGAGTAACATATAGCTTCATTTTACTGATGCGATATAATATTGAAATAAAAAAAAAGACACTTGTTTACAAAAAAGGAAAAAGAAAAAAAGACGCTTCAGGAATATTTGGTCGTTTTGGTGAATTATTGCGTTTGTATGCCAGTTGCCAGGTTTATTCGGGCTCGTTGAATTAGTTTGATGAAAGTAGGCCCCCCCCCCAAAAGAAAAAACACTATTAATTGATAAAAAACCCTCATAAATAAGATTGATATTTTGCATTTAATGATTATCATGCATGTTTATATTAAAATAGATGAAACCTCTTTTCCATTGACACAAAATGTCATCAATAAAAGATCTAGAGTTACAATGAAAATCAAGGTGTGCGTAAAGAGTCAACTCTGGCAAATTCCATTAACACAACATATGTCGCCGACAAACTTAAATTGGGTGCCATTTATCTGACTTATATAAGGTATTGCAACACAATTAAATATTTTGGCACGACCTAAATGGAGCTAAGTGAAGTGTACTGTGAACATCAAAATGTGTGCGTGCATGTGAAAGATCATAATGAACTACTTTAACTTTATTTGAATAAATTTGCAGGGTTGATCGTGCGTGTGTGTGTGTGTATTGATGTGCATGTGGATCCTGGCCAGACTACATTCTGATTATATGGAGAAGTGTTTTTGGATGGGTTTCATGTGCATGATTAACAGAGATATGGACTATAATTCATCACTTTTTTGGATGAACCTTTGGGGTTTTGACACCCATTCATATTAAAAAAACAAGGGCTTACGCCATGCGGTGCACAATTTTGTTCATCTTCCCACTAATCCATCTCTGTGATTGGCGAGGTAATCACCATCTTGGAAAACTCTTTATCCTATAATTTTAGATTGTAGTGCTCCTTTAAAAAAAAAGATATTTTACAAGGGTTAACTTCATTATATTCTCTTTGAAAGTGAATAAGAACTTTTATGTCAAATAATAGTGCTCAATCTGCCAAAGAAATATTAAAGATATAGCTAAGCGCTTGAACTGTACCACTAAATAAAGAACATGAAGCCCTACAAATATCAAAGACAGATTTCAGACCCTTATTCAAGGGGAATTGGTCGGCTCCACGTCATGCAAACCTCGACCATTTTAAGGATGAAAGCAGCACTATTTTTTTGGTGGAAGATAATATACATGCTATGGTAAAACACAACACATTAATCAATGCGTACGTAAGTCCAAGTGAAAGCACCAATCATAGTCTTGGACGGTCATGCTCTTTACAGCATATTGGCATTTACTCACTTTTCTATATTAGGAATCTATGAGGTGGCCATAGATGTTTTATAATCAATGAAAGCTCATCCCAATAATATACATGAGTCCGATAAAAGTGCTAGAAAATTTATTTATTGTACGGAATGGGATATACTCCGGAGTCCACCGGACAGGCATGACTAGATTTTAAGATGGTGGATGCGTGAGTGCTCTAGCATACCATAATCAAATGATTAATTAAGCTGAGTATATATGCCATAGATATATATGCACTATAAATTAAAATATATCAGTGCAACATTAGGAATATGATAAACTGGCAAGCTGAGTTCCATTGAAGATAGTGGGAAAGAAGGACAGAGAGTGAAAAGGAAAGAAAATGGAGCGGGGAAGAGGTAGGCGTGACAGATATGAGAAGAGCGGATAGATACGAAAATTTGGATGATTAGAAGTGTAGAACCCTAGAAAAGCACGCCGAGTGTGAAAAAGACTGCACACTGTATATTCCTTCGAGAAAGACAGAGTAGGTCCCCCAGTGTTCAAAGCACGCAGGTGATCAAGAGGAAAGTGAGGGGTTAATTAATAAAGTGGATTTATGTGCGCACGAGTACTGGTGAGTGTATATAACGTAAAGACTGGACACTTTTTCTTTACATGTTCTTCTCCTCTATCCTTTCCGTTTCTTTTCCTGTTCAGCCGCCCCCACTGCTTCTGCTCTTCCCTCTCGGCCTCTTTCGTAACCTTCCGCTCTGTAATGTGTTATTTTCTACCTGTACACTTTTCTGTGCTTTTATGAGAGCGAGGATCAACATGAGTATCTATAGTCCAAACGAAAGGTGCTAAACAATTTTTCCTCATGACATTCAAATGAAGGAGAAAAGCTGATCTATGCTGCAACCTCGTGTTCATCTATGCATATTACATGATCTGCCCCCATTCCTATATTCACCGTCGACTTAATCGTTTGGTCTAAACAGTGTGTGTGTGTGTGTGTGTATACATATATATTTTCACCGTCGTCAAATGTGCAAACTCGACCTTCGACTTCGAATATCTTTGCTTCCAACGGTTACAGATAATTCTTGTCACTATCCGCAGTAATGGAGTGTCAGTCAAAAGAGTATTTTGTTGGTAATCCGACAAAATCAGAGCCTTTTTCCAACATGTGTCCCTGTTTCCCTTTCAACGTTCGTGTTTCAAAGTTGTTATATCTAAAAGAGGTCAAGGTGCAGTTTCGTAATTATAAACCAACCCAATGCCCCATCGCAACTCTCCCCACCTTCCATCTATTTAAGCTCACATTCATCCCTCTCTCTCACATCCTTCCAACACACTTGAAATAGTACTACTGTTGTTCTATCTTCAACTTCTACCGTCTCTCTCCCATCGATCCTTCACCACCCAACACATCACTTGTCTCTCCAATTATGAATTTTAGGTTCGTATAACTCAACGGTTTAATTTTTGTCCTTGGTCATGATTTAACTTTCATTTCATTCTGGTTGAAGTCTAGCCCATTATCATTCAATTCTACAATATATAATATTTAGAAAGTTATTACTCACATCTTAATATGCGGTTATTTTACAGCTTGGGATCCGGGAAATTCATAACAAGGCAAGGAAGTAACTGATTCACTGGAGAAATCTAATTCTGGTAGCTTGACATGGCCAAAGGAGTTCATCAAACGTTTCCAAAGTCCCTCACGTTCATGTGCCTCGTTATTCTGGTGTTCAACCTTCGCTCCTCACAGTCACATGGAGATCATGAGCAACTGGAAATTCAGCTTCTGTTATCCTTTAAAGCTTCTGCCATGGACCCACGTCAGTCTCTTTCCAACTGGCTCAATTCTTCAGCCTCCTTCTGTAACTGGTATGGCCTCACCTGCGATCACAGCTCTTCTCACGTTAACTCCATACAACTCTCAGGTAAAAACATGTCCGGCACGATTTCCTCATCCATATTTCAACTCCCGAACGTTACAAATATCGACCTCTCCAGCAATCAGTTCGCTGGTGAACTATCTTTCTCGTTCCATTCGTCTCTGTCGTCACTCCGTTACCTTAATCTTAGCAACAACAACCTAACGGGTTCGTTGCCTGAGTTTTTATTTTCTGTCTCGTTTTCCCACCTGGTATCCTTGGATCTTTCAAACAACATGTTTTCCGGGACGATTCCTTATCAAGTTGGTTTGCTTCCTGGGCTGAAATATCTTGACGTCGGCGGAAACGTTCTGGTGGGAGGAATTCCAAATTCCATCACCAATATCACAGGTTTGGAATATTTGACATTGGCTTCGAACCAGTTAGTGGGCGAAATCCCACGTGACATAGGTGTAATGAAGAGCTTGAAGTGGATTTACTTGGGTTACAACAACCTCTCCGGAGAAATCCCAAAGAGCATAGGAAACTTGTTGTCTCTGCAACATCTCGACCTCGTTTACAACAATCTCACGGGATTCATTCCCGAGTCTCTTGGAAACCTCACCAATCTTGAGTTCCTGTTTCTCTACAAAAACAACCTCGCAGGCCCAATCCCACCTTCCATTTTCGACATGAAAAAGCTTGTTTCGCTTGATCTCAGTGATAATTCTCTTTGGGGAGAGATTCCTGAACTTGTGATTAATCTTCAGAGCCTGGAGATTCTTCAGCTTTTCTCAAACAACTTTACCGGAAAGATTCCGAGGGCCTTAGCAACTTTACCTCGGCTTCAAGTTCTTCAACTGTGGTCCAACAGGCTAACGGGCGAGATTCCAAAAGAACTGGGAATGCATAACAACCTCACTGTTTTAGACCTCTCCACCAATCAGCTTTCAGGAGAGATCCCCCATGGTTTATGTGACTCGCGCAATCTTTACAAGCTCATTCTCTTCTCCAACGCTCTTGAAGGAGAAATCCCCCACAGTTTGAGCTCTTGCACAAGCCTACGGCGAGTGCGCCTCCAGAACAACAAACTGTCCGGCCAGTTACCGTCGGAACTCACCAAACTGCCGCAGGTATACTTGTTAGACATGTCTGGCAATAAACTTTCCGGGAGGATCAATGATAGGAAGTGGGACATGCCGGCGCTTCAATTTCTGAACTTGGCTAAAAACAAATTCTCAGGAGAATTACCCAACTCTTTCGGAGTAACGAACTGGAGAACCTGGACTTATCGGAGAACCTTTTTTCGGGTTACATTCCACCTGGTCTGGGAAGCTTACAAGAGCTCGTGCAGTTGAAGCTTAGCAGAAACAGGCTTGCCGGTAGCATCCCAAATGAACTTTGTTCGTGCAAGAAGCTTGTGTCTTTAGACCTCAGTCACAATCAACTTAGCGGGCAAATACCCGTAAGTCTCGGCGAGATGCCAGTTCTAGGGATGCTTGATCTGTCTGAAAACCAATTGTCAGGTGAAATTCCTGAAAGTTTAGGAAGCGCGGAATCCCTCGTAGAACTCAACGTATCCTACAACCATTTTCATGGGAGATTGCCGTCCACAGGAGCTTTCCTTGCCATCAACGTCAGCGACGTCGCTGGGAATGACCTTTGTGAGAGTTATAGTGACAGTAGAAGCGGTTTGCCGCCCTGCGCAAATAGAGAAGATAATAAGAACCCATTTTGGTGGTTTTTTCTGTTTGGTCTTGTTGGGTTCCCGCTCGCTGCTTCTCTCATTGTCTTCATACGCAGAAGACAGAACTTGGAGGTGATCAGAAGGGTGGAAAATGAAGACGACACATGGGAAATGCGCTACTTTGACTCCAAGGCATCAAAACTCGTCACCATCCACGATGTGTTATCTTCTGCAAAAGAAGGAGTCATAATCACTAAAGGACGAAAAGAGACAATGCAATTCGAGGTGAAAGAGATGAGTGACTTGAATTGCTTTTGGGAAGACATTGGTAAGCTTCGGCACCCAAACATGGTTCAGCTGAAGGGAATATGCAGGTGCGGGAAAGGAGGGTACTTGTTATACGAATATGTGGAGGGAAAATATTTAAGCGACGTCGTTGTAAGTTTAAGCTGGGAACGACGAAGGAATATTGCGCATGGAATTGCAAAAGCACTGAAGTATTTGCATGCTCATGGTTCACCGTTTTCTTTGGTAGGCGAGATGTCACCACAGAGAATTTTGGTGGACGGAAAAGATGTTCCTCGTCTCGTGTTGCGCCCTCTGAAGGCTTCCATTTCTTCACCTTACGCTGCTCCAGGTACTGATAAATTCGATCAATATTTTGCCATTTTCATTTTAAAGTTTTTCAGCGATTAATTAACGGGTTATTCAATACTTTTCAGAATCAAGGAACGAGAAGGAGGTGACTGAGAAGAGTGACATATACGCATTCGGGGTTATTCTGATAGCGTTATTGACGGGAAGAAGCTCAGTGGACGCAGAAGTGGGCATGCAGCACGAGAGCATTGTGGAGTGGGCCCGTTATTGTTATTCGGACTGTCATCTGGATACATGGGTCGACCCTGTCATGAAGGGCGGCATATCATCGGCAGCTCAAAACGACATCGTTGAGATGATGAACCTGGCCCTCCAATGCACGGCCACTGATCCCACAGCTAGGCCGAGCGCGAACCACGTGTTCAAAACCCTACACGCCCTGTCAGCTTCCGCATCGTCCCGTGTTTAACCTCCATCCTCACCCTTTACAACAATATATTGAATTATATTCTGTTTGTTCTGTTACTCCTTTTTCCTTGCTCTCGATGATGGATTTAGCTTCTTCTTCTTCTTGTTTTTTGTTAGTTTGATATGAAAGTTTTAGCTTCCCACAACTAATATGTTGAGTAACAATGGGATTGCTCTTTAAATTTGGGATTCAATGCTTAACTAGTGTAAATCATAATAACAATGCGTACGCCTTAATTTTTGTTCTCTTTATTTCAAAGTAACTATTGCTTTAGAATTTAAATTTTATTCTATTTTGAAGAATCTTTTTGCGCCAGACAAATTTTGGGGAGATGGTTGGAGCTTGTGGATAGTGAATAGCAGCTGCGAGTAACTGGAATTGCACAAGTTCCACGTTCGAATTATCAATGTCAATATAACAATAATAATACCAATAGCCTATAGATATGTGACATACAGTGCGCAGACACACACATTGAAGAGCTGGCATGTCCTATTACAATAGGAGAATATAATTACAAGGTGACATATTTTCCTTGTTCGTGTTGAAAAAAAAAAAAATAGAGCCTTTTAGGAAGGTTATGATTATATTATAGGATTGATAATTGAGGCAGTGATTAAATTTATTCTCATTGTCCCTTACTTTATTCACGATGATGATGATGATGATGATGATGCAAGTTTGAACATTTCATGATGACTGCACATTCACGACATCATAGAACCACACGGGTCTGCATAATTTGCTCGACTCAACTTGCTATGGCCTGCAAAGATGGATACATTCCGAGCAGATCCAGCAATTCATTAAAGTTGTTTACCCCTGCAAGCCAAACCACTTGGTGATGCTTCTTGATTTTCTCCCTTACTAAACCTAGCCAGAATCGGGATATAGCTAGGTGGGTTCAAACAAAACGAATCATCTTTAACGACGATCTGTGCTTTAGCTTATGGTGAAGCAGAAAATATGATCCAACTCCACTACTGGCGTGGGGCAAAGTATCCTTCCACCTATACAGGCTGAATTAATCTGACTTTCTTACTTGTGACCCACCTTCTTTACATGCTATATTGATCGATGATACTGATCTCTCTCTCTCTCTCTCTCTCTCTCTCTCTCTCTCACAGAAACAAAAGTTTTCCATATTTCATGGGCTGAGTAATGATGGCGGTGCGAGAATCCTTGGTCTGTTGGGTTGAGTCACAGGTGATGGAGGGGCAAGAAGATTCCATCAATGAAGAAGAGGGTGAGCATAAAAATATAAAAACCTGGGCTGGCCCGGCACGGATATGATTTCTTCGCAGCGCTTTCTTTCTTTTCAAAAGCTCCCCGAGATATCAATTATAACCCTCGGAGACCATGCAAAAGGTTCCTTGGCCTCATTCTTTCGACTCCAAAAGCCCCTTTTCTTCTGAATTTTTCTCTGTTGAACTCTCTCCCTCCCCTCCCCCTCGTTTACTTTGGCTAGCTTTAGTAACAGTTACGTTTGAGATCGATGTTAACGTCTCTGCCCATTTTCCCCAACTGCTTTTTGGTTTACTTTGTTGACTGATTGATTTATACATAAGTGCTTGCATCAAACAATATGAGACAGCTAGCTAGCTCGTAGCTTTAGTTTTAGAATTTCGATGCAGAATAAATCATAATGATTGGGACACGTGCAAAGTGGAAACCCAGTAGGGGATACTGCAGCTAGTAGCACATTCTCCCACAAGACAATGCAGAGGGTGAAGTTGGTAAATGAACAGGACGACAAGTTTGTGAATTGACTTTGGTGGTGCATGGAGCAGCACTCGTGCTCATTCAATGATTGCGTTTTTGACTTCATTGCCTCGAAGCCCATCTCATGGTTTACGCCAATCTCCTGTCTTTCCTTCTGGTTACCCCTAGAATTTAAGATCTCTTGTCATCCTGTTGAAACTTCTCTTAAAGCCGTTTTGTTTTTTGGTGGTTCGTGTTAATTTTCCCGCATCCATCACATTATGTCGAAGATTTTTTTTTTTTTTACCGCAAAGATTATTTTCCTTCGAATAAGAGAAAGAAAAATATAATAATCATAGCGTCTTCAAAAACTCTTCTGTTCTAAGTTATAAAACACATTTATAAGTTAAAAAAGAATAAATTTTCATTAATTATATATTTTTTTCATTTTGATTTATAGAAAAAACTATCACTTTTTATTTTTTTATATAATCAAAATCACATATTTCAATAAACATTTATTACACATTTTTTAAATTGTCCTTCATAATTTACATTAATAAAAAATAATTAATGCATGTTTTTATTGATTAATATAGAATATTTTAATATAATTTTTTATTTTTAAATATACTTATTATGGTTAACTAATTTTCTTAAATTACGTGATACCGTTTTTTTTTTTATATAGAAATGGAGGGAGTATACTCATTCTAATATTAATATTCCCTTCTTATTATAGTTTCTCTCTGTTTAATGTTTCACAAATAATTAAAAGCTATATTAAGTAAAGGATATTTTTAAAAATTTATGATTATATTTTAAACAATAAGATTGTACTCCCTCAATCTAATAAAATTGCACATACCAATAAAATTATCTTCATATTTTAAGGCATTTTAGATAAAATTAAGCATACTAATAAAACTCATTAAATACACTTTATAATTTTATCTTTTCAAAGAAAAAATAAAAAATTTTAAAAATATTCTTCATCTAATATTTTATTTGTAAAAAATATTAAAGAGAAAAATATAATATTAAAAAGCACCATTAATAAAATCATATTTTTATTAAAGTGTTTTGTATTTGGGATGTTGAATCTTCTAAAAATTGTTTTATAGTTTGGGACAGAGGTAGTGAAATTTATTTAATAAGTTTGATTAATATAAGCAATTTTATCTAAAAATATCAAATGCACTGGCATGAAGTGATTAACATAATTTAAACAGCATTTATTATTATGACTAGTTTCGTCGTGCTTCTGTTTACATTCGTTATTACACATGTTGACCAGAGAGAACTAGTTGCATATCTATTGTCTCTTTTCACTATTCACATATTTTCTCGAAAGCAATCCTCTTCCAGGCATGATTAGATATTCATTCTAGTAGTGAATTAATTTTGATTAATTATCTAATTTTATTTCTTTTAAAATGAATTATGCATGTTAAAGAAAGTTCCAGGTTGCCTGTACTCTATAAGGTATGAAGGAGGTTAAAAAAAAAAAAAGAATTTCAGGTGTGGGAGAATTTCATTCTCATGTATAAACTGTGACAAGTCTCATCATGACTATATAAGTTCCCAGAAAAAGGAAAAAAAAATCAGGCACGCCCTGGGCAAGTTTAACGATTATCTTTTCAGTGTTCTTAATTAGATTGACCGTATTTATAAAATGTTTTTTTTGTTTCGTAATAAATAAAATATAATTATTAAACTAACTTAGACAATAAAAAATATTAAACATTTATTTCGGAGCTTCATGGAATCTTGAAATCTGGAGTCGAATAGTCGACAAAAATTCCCTCGTAGAGAATGACAAGACTTGACAAGCGAAGATTCATATTAGCCATAAGATTCGTTAACAAATCGTTTGGTGAGGCTAATCAGGGCGTTCCTCGTGTCATTCACCCTCCATATGAACAAGTGTAGTTGCACACTCGCTCAATTATGAGCCTGGGCCTCTCGTATCGTATGATTTAAAAGTCTACTGCGATCCGAAGACTTCGAGTTGGACAAGGAAGAAGAAACTCGCTTCCCTCATCCACAGGGCTGTTAGACAACGCAAAAAGGACAGATGCAAGAGGCAGAATAATGGAATATATATATATATATATATATAGGAGCATTATAATCAAAAATTGAAGGCATGCCCACATTAAGAAAGACAGTACTGCATGCAACATTCTTGATATTCTTCCAAGCACAAATGAAGAGGAAGATGCTACCCTGCTCTAGCCTCTACTTCCCTAGATAGATTCTATTTACTATATTCTTTAAGGTGTCAAACAAAAGACCAGTTGATGAACATAAAACAAATGCATTGGGCCATTTCTTCTTCGTTCGACACTTTCCATGCCACTGCTCTCTCATAGGACACTGGCCTCCCCATGCTAGATAAGCAGATGCCACCTTGCATGCACATAAAACCCTGCATCATCATAAGAGTAACTCTTTAGAATCTGAAAGCACCATTTATCTCCCAAGTAGATAATTATGGTCCCACCGTCCCGGCAGACAGTGAGAACGACGTGGCTAAATTTTATCGTAAAAAGAACACAAGAACTATAGAGGTTAGTGTAAGCATGTTCCCGCATTTTATACCATCTCCTTTATCAGAACCAACCACACATTTACTTTCATCAGTCTTGTAAAAAAGCAATATACCTGCTGCATTATATGTGGGAACTCTGAGTACAGGATTCTCTTTCCACTGTCGTCAAATATTTTTTCCAGAGTTATGTCTTGTAGAGCCACCAAAGTTGTCTCAAGCATGTCAAGTCCAGCTTGATTAGCGAATGTGAAAGTGGGTAATGCCTGGAAAAATCATATCAAAAGCTATACTATCGTAAACATTAATGTTATGAAAGAAAGCAAGAGGAAAGGAAAAGGGGCAACGGACAGCAGGAGCTTATACAGTATAGGACTGATATCCAAAGGAGGAAATTGTTAATAAAAAGTAAAAGATGATAAAGAAAATAACCTTTAAAGAGCAGCACATGACCGCATCTGAGTGATGCCAAAGGGATTTGAGAATGGATTCACTGCCTTCACTTTTTAGCAGTTCTACCCCTAGATAGCATCTGCAAGGAATGTCGACGTTTAAAATATAATGGACCTTATTACACGATCTCCAAAAGGACAAAAAGTCCCAAGTACTGATCATCATATGTGAAGTTTCCCACATAATTTACAAAATGCGTGGATCAGCCTTAATGCCACACATTTTGCAGTTTAATGACATTTTATCAGAACTCCTTATCCAATGTATTCCGCTACAGGCTCATCCACACATTTTATCATTTTGCAGTTTGCCTATAATGTTTGGATAACATTCTAACTAAGGTTGAGGTAGTCCAAACTTAAGTTGAGATGTTTAAACCCCAATTAATCATGTTTGGATGACCAAAAAAGTTCAACCAAGGTCTGGGTCTAAATGAGCGTTCTCACCGAAGCTAGATGTTTTGCTTTACAACAAGCGTTCTAATAAATGAACGTTGGGGAGCATTTAATACCTTTTAAATTTCTCTCACTCTCTCTCCATTATCTGCTATTTGCCCCAGCCAGTGAGCAACTCCCAAGCCTTCATTGCTCTCATCCCTTACTCTCCCAAGCCTTTATTTGCTTCCATTTTATATATTTACTCACCCGCACTTTATATGTTTCCATTTTTCCCACTTCTTCTTATTTTAATTTATTTTCTTAATTTACTTTTTTTAATGTATTGTTCCTACATAATTTTAAAAATAATATTTCTTAATTTCATAAATAATCAAATCATCTTTTTATAATTTTCTATCATTTCTTAATACTCCCATAAAATCCAAAGAAGTAAACATATCAATTGAATATTTATTTTCTATGAATATTTTGTAATTTATGAATTTATTTTGGCTTTTCATAATTGAATATTTAAGGTTTTTTATTTATTAATTGTAATTTTAAGTTTATTATTTTTTACTTATTAATTAGTCAAAAAATATATAAAAATATATATGTTTATTTATATTATTAAATATCTAAACTGATTTTTAAATCAAATCATTCAAACAAATTTTAATTTACCTAACTAACTTTTGAAAAAAAAAAAAAATCCAATCATAAATCACATTACATGAACTCACTTTTCCTCTAACTTCAGTTGAATCCTAATTTTAATTGTCAATTTTTTAATCCAAACACACTCACAATGAGTTCCAGTATTATGATGTGATGAGCAGATATTGGCAAATGGAACTAGAGCAGAGATATATCAATATAAGATCTATTGGCAGAACTTGCTTCAAGAGGTAGTAAATCATGTTTTTCTTGCAACTTCAGGAATTTTACAGGGTTAAATTGTTTAGCATGGGACGTACAGCACCATGCCAAGAGTTTGATTGACATGTACAGATCATAAATCCACTAATCATGCAAAATCAAGGAGTTAGGAACACACCTATAGCTTTGACAGATCCAACGAGCAAGTGTTTGTGCCTCAGGAGGGCCAGGTGGCGCATGCAAACCACTACGAGAACCAAATTGCAAAGGGGAGAGTGCTAATGCAACCCTTTGAACAGATGCAATGATACTGCGGACATACTGCCGGGCCATGGAGGCTACACTATCCTGAAGGTGCACTTCAAATGCGAACTGGAATGCCATTGTCATCACAGATTTTGTATTCCCCAAGCTACCATTATTGTCACTGCCTGCTTTGTTTGCTGTGGTTTTAACTTCAAGAGAAGAAGCAAGATCAAGTGTACGGTTTGAACTTGCAGCATCCTACACACCATATTTAGGAAAAAAATGTCAAAGGCCTTGCAAAAAGAACAAGACGTAGCTGGAAGCCAAACTTCAAAACCATTATAAACATATTTTATGTTATTCTAAAGACTTACCAAGTTAGAATTGACAGCTATGATGCGAAAACCAGAAGGTAAAATAGGTGCATCGTCAGAGAAAGATGCATCAATAGGGGCAAAAATGAGCTCTGCATATGTACCATTTGCATGCTCATCTGCTCCATTACAAAGCTAGGGACAGGTGTAACCAGAAAAATTGTTAGCAATACATGCATGGTTGGAGAGAACCATGTAGAACTACATGCAGATCACACCATTCTAGCTATTAATTGAAGTACTCACTTGCAAGAGGAAAACGTCCTCAGGTATTGTCATGTCATCCCTATAGTAACCCATGTTTTCAAGTTTAATGACCTCCATGAACTGTTTCAAAAACAAAATGTAATTTAGTTCACAATGTGCAGAAAAGTACACAGATCAGAAGAATAAGGGTCTTTTTGGTTTTGGTTCTCATTTTTTGTTTTTAAAAACTGTTTTGTAATATAATTTTTAAAATTATTTTGTAAGACAAAATAAAATAAAAATCTGTTTGGTTATGTCAATTAAAAAACGATTTTAGAATTAAAAAATAGACTAATAGTGATGATCATAGATAGTTAATAGGGGTAATCAAAAATAAAAATTGGTCAAGGTAACCATAATTTTCAATAATTTAATGCAGTGTATTTTAAAAATATGAAAAATAAAATGTAAATAACTTTAAGTTGTTTCCATTTTTTTAAAAACAACTTAAAAAATGAAAACAGTTTTAAAAACAATTAAATGAAAAATACTTATCCAAACAAATGTTTAAATTTTTTTTATTTTCAAAAACAAAAAAAGGTTTTTAGAAATAGAAAACAAACAACCCCTAATAATCTCCAAATGAAATTGGAGGAGGAAAGAATATCTAACGTTTAAAGATGATTAAAGGAAAGAAAGGTGGTTAGTTAGTTCAAGAGCAGTGGCAAAAAACTTGCCTCTTCATGCTCAATTGTGTGAGCCAGTGGCAGAATAACCTGACCCCCAAAACTTCCTGCCCGGGCCCCAGGCAAGCTACAGGGACCAGCTTTGATGGCAGCAGCTGAGTAAGCATCAATACTGCTATCAGCCCACTCTGACCGGTGCTCTCGCAAGAATCTGAGAAGAATTGCTGGAGGGACATTCTACAAAGACAGGAAGAGAGCATAAGTAGAAAATTATAGAAAATGAAGAGGAGAAAAACAACAGCAAAGAAATAAAAATTGTGGCCAACAAATTCAGATTCCAGTGGTTATTGAGATTATATACAGAAGCTGGTAAACTTGTGTCAAAAAATATGGCCAATAGAATACATAGAAGCATCCTGAAAAAAAAGTTTGAATGGAGACATTTGCAGTTTAGTTTATACTTAAAACAGTGTTAATTTCACTAAACACAATTTGCTGAAAGACAATTATTCATTGCCTTCACCTTTTTTCTTGCTCATGAACTTAATAAACGAAGTAAAGAACTTTCTTTTCTCCCAAGATCAAAATGCAGATACAACATAGTGTAGCGCTACAAAGTATACCTGTAACAGCATTGATGCTTTGGCACATAGAACAGAACTGCTCATACAAGGAAATCCATTGCTCTGAATAAAATTTACTCCCGCCATCTTGTTAGGAGATGGATTCACCAGAAGGGTTACATCATCAATGCCATCGCTTTCCAAAATGGACCAGCCATCATCTGCAAACCCATTGACAGCTTCATTGAATCCCCTGCCAAAAACAGGAGAATAAGTTTGACTACCACAATCAATTATTTCTATTAACAGTGGACAGGATACTGAGATAGACTTGCTCAATCGCTGACTAAGTGCACGTAGAGCTGCAGGCCTCCTCCCCCAGCCAGAGACATTTGGTTGAGAAGCCTCTTGAGAAATCTGCCTCAAATGACGCAAGGCCTGAATAACAATGACAATGTTACCATGAGAAGCATGAGTTCTTTAAAGTTAATGCCCACATGAAGTAGCAAGGTCTACTTGGTTGCTAGAAAGGATGAAAATGGAATGGATTAAAAAATTTAAAATGAAAATAACCAAATCATTCCTCCCCTTCATGGTAAGTATTATAAAATTCAATCCTATATACCACAAATTTGAGAATCATCACACCCTCCACAAACTTTATGAATCATGACTCTTACCCTCATGAACTAAATCACCCTTTCTCTTTATGATATATGATTCACCTATTCCTCTCCACATTTTGATCATTTCATTTTTGCCTTCATTTTTTTTTCAATTCATTCCATTTCGTTCTAGTAACCAAATAGGCCCTAATGATTTCCAGTGCAAATCATCAGATAGAAACATGAATCTTACCGCCATTGTCGTCTTTTGAGCATGTAGTGTTGATGACTCATAAAGTGGGCGCAACACTTCAGGAACACCCCAGGCCTAATTTCAAATGACCAAGAAGTCAAATTAATGAGTTAGAATAAGTTTCGTTCAGTTTATAGAGCAAGGGTACATACCTCTAGATCCATATGATCAACAATATGAATAATGGATCCACCTCCTTCACAAGGTCTAATCAGATACCCGCTAGGCAGCATGTCTGCCCTAACAAAGTGCTGCACTGGGGGCACTGTCGGTCCATTCTGGGTGTTGTTAAGTGATCTCTCACAGACCTGATAATATGTTATAAATATTTGAATTTTTGAAAGCAACTCACATGAATGTCAAGGATAGGAAAGGAAAAAGTGAGGACTCCACTATGGATACATACCACTAGACTCCCATCCTCCAAAACAGATGAGTAGCGCAGCAACCAGAAGTCACGAGCAGGTGCCAAAGTTGTTGGCGAATACAACTAACCAAGGAGGCAAATGTTGAAAATACATTAAGTAAGCAGCCAAATCTACAAAACAAGTGGCAGAGAGCATATCAGCTACAGTAATACCTGCATATAAAGCATTTCAATGGTTCCCCCATTTCCAGTGGGCATCACATTCAGAACATCCAAGGCTCGGCAATCACGAAACCACGAGGGCCTATCTTTGAGTATTTCTGCAACCTGCACATTCATTTTCGATCAATGCATCTCCATTAATATTCCAAAAAACAGAAAAAACTACTCCACTTTGAAACATGCTCAAGCGTGCCTTAGGGGACTTACCCTTGTAGGTTCCAGACCCACGAGGCCGCAAGCTCGTGCTGCCACTCCAGGGCAATCATGACAAATAGCAACGATTCCAATGGAATCCGGACCAGGCTGTGCACGTGCAAAAACACGAAACTTACATAAAATGAAAGAAAACACAAGAAAGCAGATGCAAACAGTCCAGCATTGCTGGATCATTTTTTTATGGTCTGAAATTACTGGGTTGTTGAAATAAACAGAAAACAGAAAATAAAGGGCGAGATGATGAATTGATGATGTGTCACTGAGCATAGTGTTTCGGTTGATGTAGCGGGCGAGTTGCTTAGAATGTTAGCAAGGCTAATGTACTTTACCCAATTAAATAATTAGTATATTGTTCATGTAGTGACAAAGAAAAGAATAATGCAGTGTACTCATGTGAACAGATTCCGATGAGGACAAGAAGCGAGTGGTAAACCTTCATCCCAGGCATTTGGACCCACTCCACAGCAGTTCCAGTGGCCTTCGATAGAAACTCTGCTAAGGTCTCCTCTGCAATGGACAAAAGTCTACACGATAGAGACAAAACTCTGATTAGCCATAGAGAATAGAATAGCAACCAACCCAACAAGAAACGACAATTTAGTTTCACTAACCCAGAAGGGCTGGCATCCCTTGGGGGATGCTGAGTTGTCACATGGTGCTGACCACTGGTCACCACCGAGTCACAGCTTGTGTCCGTCGTAGCAAGGGTCGCCTGCTCAAGCAATTATTCTTATGTTCTCTTCCTCGTTATGTAACCAAACTAAATCGGAAATGAATCAAAACATAAAAGAGGTAAAGAACGAAACGAAGTCTTACATTCTGTGTCTGCTGGCGGAAAAAGCTGTTCTCATAAACCAGCCGTGACACTTGCTTCTGCAATCTCTCATTTTCCTCCATGAGTAGTTTATTCATGGCCGTCAGCTTCCTGTTCACAGATTGTAGGCTTAATGATTCCTTCCGCTGCTTCTCTCTACATCTGCAATTACAGACAACATAAGGAAAAAAAATCTCTTTTTATTACAAACATACACAAACACTTCCCCTCCTCTCCAGGGGGGAATCGAACCTGCAATCTTCCTTCTGTAAGGAAGGATTTGGTCAAGCCATTGCCCAAAAAAAAAATCACATTTAACATTTTAACTACCAGTTCAGTTGCCAACTATGCAAAATCCTCCACATACCACTCAAACTCAAACAACGGATTAGAAGATGATGGAGAAGCATTAATACTAGCCCTCTGATGGAAAGTTATATACTATGGAAATATATCTTGAATGTTCATTGTCCACGGAAAAAGAAAACTACAAAAATCCTGTTACAGGAGAAGAAAAGAAAGTTTTATTTTTTTTGGTCAGAGAAAAAGAAAAGAAAACGAGAGATGAGAAGGAGAAGAAAATATTTACTGTAACGTGTCAGAAACAGGCGAATCTAATTTTGGAGTCCAAAGAGAAAGTAAATAAAGCACAGGAATAAGTCAAACATGGAGGATAAATTGAGATGAAGTGGAGACGCATATGAGATGTGGAAAGGGATACCTTCGATTCTGGAACCAAACCTTGATCTGCTTGGGCTCGATATTGGAGAGAATGGGGCATTCTCTGATGAGCTGCTGGCGACGCATGGAACTGGGTTTAGGGCATTCGTGATAAAGCCTCTCCAGAGCTTCAACCTGCTCCGGCGTGTACCGCACATACTTGCCGTTCTCCATTCCCACCTTGCTTCCCTCTTTACACCCAGAACTCACCGCCATCATCCTTCTCAAAACCCGACCAACATTCTCATTATATGATCAAAATCAGAAGGTGAGAGCTTGACATTTTCATTTTCAATTGGGATATAGAAGACCTTACCTGTGGCCCTTTTGTTTCAACTAGGACCAACGAAGCATGAGATCACGGCCCGGATATGCAAAGGGAATAAAACTGCAGAGTTGAGAGACGGACTCAGAGTTTGTCTGTGAAATAGTGGTAGATATATGGGGCAGAGGAGGAGGTACAGAGGAGTGAATAGGAAAAGCAGGGATAGATATATCGGGATTGGGATTTTGCTTCTTGGAGAAACCCCGAATAGCAGACAGGAGAATAAAATCAAGCCAGCATATTTGTTTTCACGTCATTCTTCACCCATTGCTTGTTCTCCTTTTACCTCCTTTTTGCTGTTGCGCCACTTCGCTTTTCTTGTTGCTTTTAATGCACTCCTTCGTTTTGTTTTGGCTCCTTCGACGATTGAAATGTCCTCTCTCTCTCTCTCTCTCTCTCTCTCTCTGTCCCCCCCCCCCCCTTCACTTCCTTATCCCCCACGCTGATGATTTGTAAATGGTAATCAAGGGGGGGAATTGCAACCCACACCCTCACTCCCAACGCGTGCCTTGTAAAGTGTTGCTCCACGCACAGACAGGCCAATGTGGTGGAGTATTTGCTTCTTTCGCTTTCACCTCATTTCTGGTGAGACACTCAAATGGACCGCTGACATAATTAGCTCCCCTCTTTTTGGTTTCGTTTGGGAATGAGACGAACGAGCTTGTTCATTTAATTAATCAAGTTCCTTATATACTTGTCCGTTTTGAAGCCTCAACCCAGGGGATACACTCGTATGCCACACCCCTCTTTATTATAAATTGTTCTCTCTGAATTTTTAATAAAAAAACATTTGATGGAATATTAATTGTGTTTTTTATATTATTTTTATTTAAATTTGTTAACTATAAAAGAGAATGTGATATAAATTTAAAAACTTTTTATTAAGATAAATATAAAATATATTTTATTTTTAGATGAAGTTAATGATTTAACTATCTTATTAATTCCATAATCAAATGTGTTTTATAATATAGACCATTGATTATATTGACATGCAAGTATAAAATATGAAGTCAAGTAAAACGATGCTACTTTTTAAAATTTGTAAAGAATGCAGTGTCACGGCCAAAAAAATATATTACCTATACCCTGATAATAGCGTTGGGAGCCGATATCAGGAATTGCGCGAAATAAAGAAAGCAGCAGAGGGGCAGGACAGGTATATGATGCGCATCTGAAGTGCAACACAAGCAATAGGACCGGGTTTAATATATTATATTATCCAGATCATGCAAAATTGAAATTCCTGACACGTTCATTCGCCAACAACAACAATATTTCATCCTCGGGTGTGTTTCGAGGAGCTAGCGTGTGCCATGCGTGGTTGAAGCTATAGACACGTCCAATTCCATTTCCCAGTTTCACATAAACCAGCTCTTCTTTTTTTTTTTCTTCTTTTTTTTTCTTCTTTTTTTTTTTGTATGAGAGGAAGAAAGAGAAGAGAGTACAATTGGATTCTTCGCATGCTGGATGGATTAATTGAATTTCTTATGACTCCCCGCGCCCATTTATATTGAAAAATCCTCTTCATTCCCTGACAGCCCGCAAGATTTATGTCTATTTGAAAGGAAGAGGCCACAAAAAAAAAAAAGAACTTTGTTTTGTCAGCCTGATGTAGCATTAGAAATTAGTAATAGATAAAGTCTATAATTTATTCAAACGAAGCACGCTGAAGATTCCATTGGAGTGAAAGGTAATGCAGAATTAGTCCATAGTCAACGCATACGTACACCAGCATTTACCGAGCAAACGGATCTCTCAACTTAATCGTAACTAATGCGTACCTAACTAATTTTTCGTCAGGGGAAAAATTCCGCTAATTACTGCGAAACGAGGCCATGACACAAGAGCGATGACCCGGAAGTCAATGAGATGAACCAAATTAAATTATTTCGTAAAGTCAATGTGAGAGAGGGGGGGTACTGTAATGGTGTCGTGACAGAACAACATAATTTACTTTCAATTGATACACAACATGATTTAGCGTATCGTGGATCTTGCTTGCTGGCCAAACCTGTCCACCATGGATTGTACCGAAAGAAAGGATGATGGGGAAAGAGTATAGAAAAAGTGCATGGTCGTGAAAAAAGCAAGTGGCTCCAAAAGAGGCACTAATGGCAAACCACTGGAAGTGGACTTTGATCCTTCAACGCTCCGCATCCCGAGATAATTAGTCTCCAATTATGCGTTTTTTAGTTTGAACATCACCCAATAAACGTGATTCCTTTTGGCCAAAAACAAAAATCTCTCCTTTCATTATTATTTTTTTTAAATGGGGGTCAAGAATCAAAATAAGCTGGATATTAGTACTCGCAGTACTTATGTATGAACGAGCAATTTTTTTTAAATATACTGTATAGAGCATGTTAAATGATAAAAGTTGATTTAACCTTAAACAAACAGCCATTGTGTGCAGGAAAAAAAAAATATTTTGGGGGGGGGGGGTGGGGGGTATTTGTGCGTGGACCCGACCCAATGCAACCTGAATTGAGATGGGTGCGAAACAAGGGGTATTAGGCGAAAAGGAGGATAAGGGGGCGGAGTGAGGAAAGGAATAACATGTATGGCTTGAAAGATGAGGCGGCAGCATTTGCATGGTACGTCAAGAGAGATGCCCTCCCTCGTTTGAAACATCATCCGCGCGCGTGAGCAGGTCGATATTTCTCTCAACAAGCTCCAGCATAAAGCAATCAGAACCATCATTCTATTAGTTAAACCGTATTTAATGGAGATACTATGAAATATACAGACCCTGGCTGCGGGGAATTTGGATGATCCTGGAGTGTTTGATTTCCTGATGTGAAATGATCATACAGCAAAGAGCACATGGGAGGGTGGGGCCAGGTACTAGCACGCCTGCCCCGACCCTTTCCTTTACTTTACCCCATTTCCTTTTGTTTACTCTTTCAACGGAATATCTCTCCCTCCACAGCTTCTCATGCCCATTCAATCCAATAATCCTCCTCAATCGTGGCAGCTTCAAGTTGTGAGCTCCAGACTTTGATCAGTGTGCGAGGGTTCATGATCATGGGTAGCGTAACAAGCCCATGCTCACCATGCCATCGTCAATGAGAACAAAAATAATAATACGTGAAAAATGGTGGGGGTAGGATGAGTGACAGCCTGACAGGGATAGAGGAGGCAATCACGGTGAACGAGGTCGACATACCCTGTCACATCCATACACACCATGTCATTCTGTGTCCCCCTCCCCCACGCGCCCCATACCCTCTCTCCCTCTAGCTCTTCAATGCTTCGTAATCTCCCATTTTCTTAAAATATCTTCACTATTCTAAAATTTCCCTTTCAGCCTGCCCACCACCTCCTATTCATTTCTAAACAACTCGCAATTCATTGAATTTTATGTAATGCCTTCTCCTCAGTATCCAGTATAGCTTCATTAATGGCTTCATTTCGTGCTTTCACTCTCTGCTAAAAAACAACATCCATAGGATATTTTATCTCATTATATTTTATTGCTATGGAGAATATAGAGGATGTCTTGCTTCAAAAGTCACCTCTTTTTTTTTAAGTAAATGTATTTGATTTGATCCAACATTAACACTAGCATCAATCAAATAAATGTTAAAAGGAGCCGAAAAGGTGAGATTTGCATTTAGAATAGTATGTGAGTAAATAGATTCCAGAAAAGAATATTCGAGAGCAAAGCGGCTGGACAGCTCATCCATCATCATTCGGCTATGACGCGGCAGCGTCGTTTTCTGATGCTGGGTCCCGCATCGCACCTTCAATTACACACCTGCTACCGCCACCTCCAAATGAAAAACAAAAACCCCCAACATCTTTTTCCACGCCTCACGCACGCCCATTGCCCGGTTTGGAATTATGCTAGTGTTCCTGAAGAAACCAAAAACTAGTCACGGTTAAATAAACAAGAAGAAACCAAATATCTGAAAATGAAGGGAAAGTGGAAGCAGAAAAATAATCGGAGTAAGTTTTAAAGATATGCTTGAAAGAATGGTAATTTTTTTTTTTTTTTCAATTTGGCATGTGAATTTGCACCATCAAATGAGCACCAAACTGTTCCTATAAAAAAAGAAACAAACTTTTCCGCTATCTGCATCCATCCTCCGCGCAACACGGATACGCCGTCACCCATACGATCTTTAATGCGTTACAATCACGCAAAATCAACAAACTCAACCCAATAGAATCAATGTCGGAGGTCTACACCTAAATTAAACAGAACCCCATAATCAAACCTTGTCCGTAGATCAAACAAGCAAGCATGATGGTTGAGATCAGTGGGGAGTTAGGGCATAGGTTGGCTGAGGGGATAATGGGAAGAAGGTATGGAATTCATGGAACTTTGGGCACTTCCATCGTGTATATTTGGAATCCGATTCCGGGCATTCGAGTGGAATTGGACTCCACAAAGAAACAACCTCCCCCATGGTGAACAAGCCTATTCTACACTTGTGGTTTTGTTTTTCGTTTACTAGGCTTTGGTGAACATTAGCTAAGTGCCTTGGAATGGACTAGCCAATTCGAGATCACTCTGTGGACTTAGACTTGAATGCAACTTTTCAGCCAGAAAACGTGATTACTCCATGCCTGATGCCCCCAAGAGCTTGGCCACTGCGGGTGCTCATTTAACCCAGGAAGCAGACAACTCAGGAGTAGAAACCATTTAACCCAACCCAGTCTTCAACTAGCAGTAACATACTCGCCGTTGCCATACATTCAAGTGTCCCTGACAGATTCAGATATCACGCGCGCTCAAACTTCCATCTCACACAATGCAATTAAGTATAAGAAACATAGCCACAAGTTTTTTCATGACCCGGGCTTGTGGTCTTATATATAACAATAGTCAATCCAAAAACTAAAATGATGATCAGAAACAAGATTTCCCTGCTATCATAAGGCCAATTTAAAAGAAGAAAAATAAAGGGGGGGATCAGTTTAAATTTATATTGTATTTTCTATGCTACCTAAATTACACAACAGGAAGATAATAGAGATTTATAGTTGAAACTGTAGAGTGTAACAGACATCCTAGCAATGACCTATGCCTATTTTCCGTTCACATATTCAAGCAGGTGCCGATCAAGCTCAAAATGCCGAGCAAGAAGTCCCTGCAATCCAAAAAAAAAGGAAAGAAAGGAAAAATCCATATGATTATACATTTTACTTCAGAAACTTGATTGGTAGAATAATGTGTGACTGAGAATGCAGCGCCGTCACAAGCCCCAGCGAACAAGTATTCAGACTTAAGAGATAGCATATGCCTAGTTCCTCTCATTTTTACCAACATTGTGCATTTGTGCTCAATAATACTCTAAACCATAGCAATAACGGGTCGATATTGAAATTTCAAAACACGCCATGTGCCTTGTTAAGATGAAGGAGAATGCATGAAATTATAAGAATACAAACATGCAAGTGTCATTTTAAGACATTCATATGACTGCCAAGCGACCCTACTTTTATGTTATATACCTTCGTAATTGTAGGTTGAAAGTACTTTCCTTCAAAATCCAATTCAGGATAACGGGTGGCCTCAGTGGCATTGTCAAATAAGATAAATGTTGGAAGCTGGCTCATGCTTCCTGAGAGCGGCAAGTCATCACATCAATTGCAAAAACACAGCGTGATAACAAAAAGAATCAGAAAAATAGAAATGAAAGCGATCAAGCATTTTTAAAATCAAATTTACAAAGCCAATTTGATAAGGCTGTAGTTTAATGCAACATACCGCTAAGGGAGATTCCAAATTTTTCTGCAGCGTTAGGAAAGAGTCCAAGATCAACTATGCCAAAAGACAAATTTTTGTTTGAATATCTGCCATGCAGCAATATGAACATCCAGAAATAGTTAATAGCTGCTTAGATTGATCTTGACTGCGTCAGTATACCTCCAACACTAGTTACATGCACAAAGAAGCAGATTTTGCACTCTCACTTCCTTGCTATTTCAGAGATATCTAAGCAAAATAAACGACCAAGAAAGATTGAATTGCATTTGACTGCAGAGCATCTGCACTTGGAAGCCAACTCACAAATTCTAATGTTTGAAACTTTGGACATCTACTCTTGCAAAAATAATCATAGAAGCACAAATACACGAATTTGTGTGGTGACTATGAAAATTATTAAATTATTTTCCCCTCTGTTGAAGGATGGGGGAAGTTCAATATGAAAAGAAAGGACAAACTTACGTGATTGAGAGCTCAGAAAAGCATCGACTTGACCGAATGCAAGCAGATGAATAAGAGGAACGGAACTCCACCTACCAACTCATACACAAAAAATAAAAAAATAAAAAAATTGATAGATAAGCACGGGGGTAACAAGTATATTAAAAGAATGGCATGGCCTTGTGGGTACGCTGATATATTTGCACCAAACAAATTAGAAGGGCATAGCAATCAAGTAAAGTCTCAGGCTCTTCCGTGTCACTTGATGCTCATTTCCCTAAATTTTATCAATCCTTAGATTGATTTTCTTTTTCTTGTCATTTTACTCTTTCAGGTAACGCAGGCTTTAACATGGTCTCACCATTGCAGCATAGGAACAAGTGATTTCTTTTCATCTTCTGGTTTATTTACTATTAACTTTCCCAAGCAGAGCATAATTGCCGATTTCGCACCCAAAGGCCAAGATCCAACATGTTCAGATCTCTAAATAAAAAGCATAAAACATTCAGAAAGAACTTCTGTTCAATTTACCAGCCAAAATCTTGAAGTTTTCCCTTCTGTCAGCAAGCTTTCCAGTTGCAATGGTGTTAATTTGTTAGAAGTACCTTGAAGAATAAATTAAAAACCAACAGAATTTATAAGTTGACCAGATTCTAAAGCAAGGCATTCTTATAACTCTCATGGCACTCTCAATTCTCAAATGTAAAAAGCTAGAAGAATAATTAATTGTACATAAAAGCAAACAAATCCAAACAAGCAATTCTACCTGATTCTTCAAACGGTGGTTGCTGGGTCAGCATGTGTAACCCTGCATTACAGAACATCATATACATGGACGTTATTTAAGCATGATAAATTTTTTAACGTGATTGACATCCAGAAAATATGCAATGTACACAGGCTTGTTAGCACAGTGTAATGAAAAGATTATCAATTTCCTAAGATTGAATGAGAGATATCTTGCTATAATAAAAGTAAAGAAAATACCAAATAAATGTTTTTTCAGAAAAAAAGTTCCAAATTAAGACAGACTAGTGTTTCAAGAAAAGAGAAACATTCTTCAATGAAAATCACGATCCAGCAGCCCTTCTATGCCTAAATCTATAAATCAATTAAAGAGCATAATATGAGATAAAGTCACCCACCTAAAAATACAAGAATATACCAGATAGCTAAGCAGCGATCCATTGTAAAGGCAAGGGCAAAAAGGCAAATCTGAAAAATATTCAGTTAAGACGGGGAAATGCTAACAAGAGCAACATAAACATGGAAAGGAAATAACTGTCTCAATCACTGGTCATAAGCATCAAGAAAGGAATTTAACATGTGGAATATTTCACTGCTTGCTTGTCCTGGGAAAGTGTTCAATTGCCATAAGAACAAATAAGTAAGAGTGAAGCAAACCATCATAGGCTCCATGTTCTAATAGGCATTTAATGAGACCAGAGCAATTACTCCCTCCAGTCCAAAATGTAAGGCATTTTCTACTAGCTACTGTTGGTCCAAATGTAGGGCATTTTGCAGTTATAAGAACTATATTTCATTTTTACTCCTTGGTTAATAAGCGTCGAGTAATTATGTATGGGATTGGTTGTTAGTTAGGATAAGGGTAAACCAGGAAAAATAAGTCAATTTTTCATGAGACTCAGGAAAAAAAAAAAGAATTTTCATAATATGCATAACACATGTTGGAGTGTCCTGCACTGTGGAATAGGGGAGTATATAGTTTTTGAAAAAAAATAAACTAAATGCATCCAATTGATCACCTTGGCAAGAAAAAGTGCGTCAGGAATGAGAGCCTCCCATGTTTCTTCTTTCACTCCCTGACAGAAACAGAGAGAAAGGCTAGAATTAAGGAACACCCATACAAACATGCAAAGAGGGCAGTGAGTGGTGGTTTGCCACCATTGATATCAATAAACTGGATAGCCTCTTCGTGTACATAGGGAATCAAATTGTAAACAAAAATCAGCAATATAAAACCGTGAGAAGTTTTTTAGTTTAGTATCAAGAATGATATGACGTTCCATTGTGAAAGCAAAGCCAGAAAAATATACAGCCGATTTCAAAGTTCTTTAGAGGTTTGAAGATTTGTGGTTCCAAATGCTTTTTTCCTGAAGGTAGGGAGCATAAATATCTGTTGCTAGAATCGATAAATCGAGAGTTTGTCAGTTGGGTACCCTTAATTTATAAAGTGACAGAACCAAATTATGCCTGAGTCACAGCCAAACTATCAGATTGCTTATGTACACCAGAGTCAAAATAATATAGTGATTCTTCATAATGAACATCCGATAATTTTTAGTTTTGGACCATTGACATAAGCCAATAATATGTGAACTAGTGGGTGCAATTTTTCCAAATAGACTGTGACTAACCGATATCATGATCCACAACTGCTGACCTTTGGTTCTATCAACGACGCATGAAGCGTAAATTATATGTGATAAAGGAGTTTAAATTGAAGTTAGAAGACAATAGATATGGCTGGCTTTCAATCAGAAGATGATGAAACTAGTGCGATACGAGGGACGAAGAAGCAGTACCTTGATGAAAACCAAAAGGCCAAATACTAAAAGCGTCTGTATTTCCTGCAAAAGCAAATGCATTATAAAAGGTCAAGAGGGAGGGTTAGGAAAGGATAGAAAATACGTAAGACGGGCACGGAGAGAAAGAGCGTTACGCGACGAAGTAGATGGTGAGCGAGGTGAGGAGCGAGGATATGGGTCGCGGAGCTACGAATTATGAAATACGAGAAGAAAGTCAAGAAATGGCACAAATAGTAGGGCTCTGAAACCAGGAGATTCAACCATTTCCCTGGGTTAAGACTATCCTTTCCCATTCCAAGCCAGAGAGCTGCTCGAACACTTGTAAATCTGGAAAGCTGGCAAGCTCCTTTCAACTACAGTGCTAATTCAGCTCGCTCCTTGTTCGATCTCAATATTCCTCTATTTCGATTTCGATCCCAACGTTCTGGCAAAAACAGAAAAACTCAGTCCTATTATTTTCTGCTAACCGCATCGCTAAAATGCACTCTTTTCAAAAAAAAAAAAAAAAGAATAAAAAATTTTATTTTATTTATAAAGCACTTAAAACAAAGTTTGGTTTGAAGGAGAGAGAAAGAAATGAAGAAAAAAGAATGTGAGGAGAGAGAATAGGAGATGAGGGTTTTGGGGGATCTCTCAATTTGGAATTTGGAAGAGACCCTCGTCCCCTTATTTGGTAAGTTGAGTTTCCTTTAATCAAACACTACTTTATTAATTTTTAATATTACTTTTTATATTTTTATTTTTATTAAATATTTTAAATAAAAATAATAATAATAAAATTTAAAAATATTTATTAAGACAGTGTTTGGTTAGAGAAAAAATTTCTCTTCCCTCCAACGCTCCAATTAAAAAATTGTTAAATTTTAATATAAGGTTAATAAAATTTAATTTTTTTAATTTTAATAAAATATATTAAAAATAATTTATAAATATAAATAGATGAGTGATCTATCAATAGATTCTTTTTTTTCAATTAATCAATCCGCACATAAATGTCATCTTATCTCATAAATGATAATCAGTTAAAATAACATCTTATAGTTATAAAATTGAATTAGTTATCAATCTCGTGGCCAGTTCTTATACACGAGATCAAAACTGAACCAAGGCGATATAAAGAGATTGAATTGTGGTCTTATATTAAAAAAATAAATAACAAATAAATTTGATATATTAAATTAAGTCTATTTAATTAGTTCAAAAAAAATAAGTCTATTTAAAATATTCTCTTAAAATAATTTTATGATCAAAAATAATATTTTTTACTTTATAAAAACTCAATGACATACATTGTTTCCATGTAATATTAAGTTGTGAAATCAAATTAAAATTTTAAATAAAAATAATATATTGACTTCTTAAAATTTTTTATAACAACAATAAAGTAATTTATTAAATATGATTCATAAAAAAATCTCATAAAATCAAGTAATAACAATAAGAATTTATAATAACATATATATATATATATATATATTGGGTGTAGCTCGAAATCCAGCTTAACCCAGTCACTGACACCAACCTGAAAGAACAAGTAAGATTGAATTTCAGAATCATCGGATTAGTTACACACCCCTACTTATAGACATAACTCCATTTATTATATTCCTATGAATCATTAGAATACAATTTGAAATTAGCACAAGAAAGAAAGCACCAGCTTAGAAAAAAAAAAGAAAAGAAATTTCTTTTCATTTTTGAAGTACGAAGTTTTTCCGTCAATTTTGATATAAAATATTTTATTATATAATGATTGTTGGGTAATGGGTGACGACCAGAGGTTTCGGCTTTCGTGATAGATAAATTTTTTTTTTTTCATAGGATGAAGGTTAATTTGCCCTAGATGAAATTCACAGACTATATCTATGTTCAATTTTCTCACCTGAAACTTATGAATAATTCTTTTAAAATAATTAACTTTCTCTATTGGCATTATGTAAAAATTTCCATTTCTGTAGGGGCAATTTCATAATTTAAGTCTACCCTTTCTGCAACAATGTACCTTTGAATTATTAATAGGGTTTTTTCACTTGTTTTCTATCGGTCTCTCCATTTCTCAGTCATGACTATTCATTAAATTTATGATTAAAATAAATTTATTTAATAAAGTAAGATTAATGATCAAGATTGAGAAATTAAGAGAAAACGAAGGAAAAAAAGTGAAAAAATTATTTTCTCTGTGGTGAGAAATTGTGCCCTTGAAGGAATTAGTGATCAAATGACTGTAAGTTTTCAAAATCTTTGATCACAATTTCTCTAGAGTGCAAAATTGAACTAGAGTTTAGAGTATGCACTGTGTGTGGGGGGGGTGATGACATTGCATTATTTGAGAGTAGTTGCAATGAGCTAGGGCATTTTGATGATTTGAAGAAAAAACAAAGCAATGAGTCTAGAAAATCTAGACTTAAGATCAAGGGTCGCCTTAAATAAAGTTGTGCTTGACACTAAATTAATTAAGTTTGCTTGAAACAGTTGAGTCATGTAGAGCATTGAAGTGAGTTCAAGTTACATGCTCATTGCCTTTTACATAGGTAGATAATGGTGCCCTACTTCAAATTTGAATTTTGCCCACCTATAAGAGCAATAAGTGTTCAACTCAACTCCAAGATCGCTGGTGCACCTTGTTGAGGAGACATAACATAGTAGGTTTTTTGAATTTCAAATGCAGCGAGAGATGATTTTAAGATTCAGTCGCCGCTCCATTGAAATGTATTATTTCACTAACTCCTTAAAGGTCAGCCCTCAATGAAATAACAGAATGGGCCTCTTGTGGAGATTGGTCCTTAATTAGTGTTTTCCATTTTTCAACTCATCGTGCAATTTCAGTCCAATCAAGTTTATAAATAAAAACTCATTGCTTTCTTTTCTTTTCTTTTCATACTCTTCTTCTCGTATGTGTATTGCCACTAACATCACTGCATGGTGACTGTCTATTTGCAATATTTTAATCTTTTTTTAAGATATATATATATGCATATATAATAAATCTTGATTCTGAACATTTTTAGTAAACAATGTCCATACATACTCTTGCTACAATCACACTTCAATTTTTATTGTTGAATTCTACTTGACAACTTATATACATATTTTTATTACAAGACACTTCAATTTTTTATTTTTTGAATTTTTACTTGACAGCTCATTCACATGCACGCTATAGTTGCAAGACACTGCATTTTTCATTTTTAATTCTTACACCAGGAAGTTCAATTAATGCTCTTGATTTGATACTACCGATTTCTAACCTTAACCTTATTGTCTCGTATTTCAATGCAATAAAATTAACTAAAACACAAAATACAAAAACAACGTAAAATTTGTTTACGTTTTAGGCCAAAATTAACGACTTCCTCCCTAAACCATCCCCCCAACCACTCTTTTTGGATAAGGGAGGACTAAAGCCAATTACAAAAAACTAAACATGAGAGGAATGTAATCCTAAACAATCATTAAGGACTAGGGTCCTCATGAAATCTGGGACGGCATCAAAGTATCTACACTTGTACCCTCCCTTCTTTGCAAGAGCATCGGCCCCCTGGTTCACTTCACACGGAACATGACAAAGTTTCACTGTCCACTGGCATCGTAACAAACAGTCTATGAATTTCCAGCACCTACCTAAATTATCTAATTCTTCTATTTTAGATTAACATACTCCTCCTATCCTATTAGTAAGCCACATTTTAAAATTTATTCTTAGTCAAAAAAATGTAGAATATTTTATAATATTTAAATTACTTTTTTCAATTTACTTTTTCTTTATTAGTGTGAGGGTTTTTAATGTAGTTGTATTTTTGTTTAAAGTCCAAAATAAAATAGAAGTATATTTCATTTTTCTAAAATATACAAAAAATAGTTAATATGTCTAAAATAGTTAGAAGTGTCCTACAAATTAAAAAAAGGAATATTCTTTTGGCTACACGGGCAAATTCTAGGGAAGAAAAATGCTGCGCATGCAGAGGTGCTAAAACTTGGAAGAACTAATTGGCTCATGCTATCAAACTTTTATCTAATCGCATAATAAATTCAAAAATGAAATATACATGGCAAAAGCTGGTAAAAAAAATTCATTCTATATATTATTCATCACCATGCAATAGTAACACATAGTTACAACCAACTCCACGACTTATATACACTAGAGTTTTCGGGCGTGCAACTAATTAAGGGCCTATTTTTTAAAAAATTTAAAAACTCATCTGTGCAAATGTCTTGTATTTAATTCTTTTTAAAATTTTCGTTTTTTTAATTTAAAAAAATGAAAATATTTTAAATTTTTTTTTTGGAAAACACACTACATTTAATTATTTAGAAATATAACTATCTCAATCAATTTTTATCCTAAATCATCGTCAGTACCGCTTTCAACCATCACTATCAAACTCTTTTTAATTCTAAATCTGTCTTTGAATTAATATAACCAAATAGATTTTAATTCTATTGTTTTGAAAAACAACTTTAAAAACCATATTACAAAATAATTAAAAAAAAAACGGAAACACAAACCAAGCAGGCCCTAACATGTCAAGGAAAACTGCATCGTAGTTTCTCCAGTCTTAAAATTGAACTACATGACGGTGTAACCAAAATAATTCTCTAGAATTGTGTTTATTAATATCATTTTTTGAATTTAATTAGTTTTGAACAGCACAATGTGACAGCAAGAGAGCCATTACTCGACAGAGAAAAGAAGAAAACCGGGGAAACACGAGGATATATAAAGAGCGGCCGCAAAAGCAAAAAAAGTAATTTGTCCCACATTTATCTTTTGTTTCTTTTTAGGATTAAACTTAGATAAATCGTGCGTCTTTTTTTTTTTTTTTTCACCCTGGGAAGCTTCTTCATATTGATTTTACATGGCTGAGAAAGGAAGAGAAAGAAGAGGGTCGAAAATAGGAGTCCGCTTGTCCCCTTCAAACGCAAATAAACCCTCCTCGCCATTTCTCTCTCCATTCAAAGCCACTACTTTGTCACACATTGTCCAACTTTCTCTACTTTCTCTCACTCCTTTTTCACTGCTCTCCCTCTCTCCCTCCGTCCCCCCTCTCTCTCTCGTTCCTTTCCTTCCCATCATTCCCTCTCCCCCATGGAAGCTCCCGACTTCTTCCAGACTCCCAACAACATGCCCGCTGCCGACTCCTTTGTCGTTGAGGACCTCCTCGACTTCCCCAACGACGATGAACCTCTCCTCCTCGATGACGTTTCCGCCCTCCATTCCCTTCCCGGCAAATCTGCCAATTCTTCCACCGTCGCTACCGTTGATGCTTCCCCTGTCTCCCACCCCAATGTCGTCGGCGATATTGGCTGCCGCAGTTTCCATGACCTGCATTTACCTGGCGACCTCTGCGTCCCCGTGCCGGTATATATGCTTCTCTCTCTCACCCCTCTTCATAAACACATTACTTTGCAATTCGCACATTGTATGATCTACTGCAGTTCCTCTCTCACTGCGCGAACACACTTATTCATGATTTCCTGCCCTTTTGAGTGTTTGAATTCCTAACACATGTGTGCATACAAAGTTAGAATTATCACATTGGATTGGCCTTTTCTCTCTTTTTTTTATCTATCCAAGTTTGTTTGGTCTCGCGTATATTCTTTTTTCTTCCTCCTCATTGTGATCGCGTTTGCTATCAAACAAAATACCAACTTTGCATTAGCTGTGCACATGAAAGCAGAATGAGGCCGATCACACAAAAATGGAAAATTAAAAAAAAAAAGATAGATGTATATGTGTGTGTATATGAAACTAATACATGCTCGGTTGGGTTTTGACTAATCTTAACATACAAGCAGTATGATGATATGGCGGAGCTGGAATGGCTTTCGAATGTGGTGGAGGAATCATTTTCGAGCGAGGACCTGCAAAAGCTGCATCTGATATCAGGGATAAAAGCCCGAAACGATGTGGAAGCATCCGAAACTCATGAATTGCAGGCCGAAAACAACCGAAGTGTCAACAGCCCCATATTCAACTCTGAAGTCTCCGTTCCGGCCAAGGCTCGCAGCAAACGTTCACGTGGCTCTCCATGCAACTGGAACTCTCGCCTCCTCCTTCTTTCTCCATCTCCATCTGCATCACCATCTCCATCCTCCACATCATCTTCCTCAGACCCCGACGTCGTCCTTTCCACCGGGAAGAAACCAGGAAAGTCCGCTCCAAGGAGAAAGGACAGTGGTGGCGAGGGGCGCAAGTGCCTGCATTGTGCTACAGATAAGACACCGCAATGGCGGACAGGACCCATGGGTCCCAAGACACTTTGCAATGCCTGTGGGGTGAGGTACAAGTCAGGCCGGCTAGTGCCAGAGTACCGGCCGGCAGCGAGTCCGACTTTTGTGCTGACAAAGCATTCAAACTCACACCGGAAGGTGATGGAGCTTCGTCGGCAGAAGGAGATGCAGCAGCAGCAACACCATCAGGTTCTGCAACATCCCAACATGATGTTCGAGTTTCATGTGTCCAATGGGGACGATTACTTGATCCACCAACACCTCGGCCCTGACTTCAGACAGCTCATTTAGTAGTTTTCTAGGTAGAGCCTCTGAGAATTAGCTACCATCTTGATTTTTTTAGACCATTTGATTCCTAATTTTCAAAGGGATTTTCATTTCTTTCCCTATAATCCGGCCTTTTCTCTTTTTCTTTTTGAGTTTCTGTAGTATCATCTAATTAATGATTCTCTTGGAGTCGTTATTTAGGCCAAAGTGGGCACAACTCTCCATCCAAATTCAAATTTTTCTAATTAAGACATTCATCTTATTTTTCGGTCAAATCATGAATGCTTCAAATTCGTTCTCTTTCTTCTCCTTTAATTTGGCATCAATGACTTTGTACAGTGTGCGTATGTCGATGTGGCAATCTGTACAATAAGTACCTTATCCAAAAACTTCGCCAAAAATATCATATTTCTTCGGTTATATGTTGAATGATTACTCATGATACACGAACAGCTTGCCCTGTATTTAATTAGTGTCGTAATCTCTGATAATGAGACGATATGCTATGTAATGATTAATGGTTAACTTGGACGGCAATTAAACGCGATATTTTTTTAAATTACTGATGAATTCGCCTTTTGTACCTCCGTATCTGTGGCTTCTTGGGCATAGATCCCGAAATCGAATGATCAAAATGGGCATGAGTTAGTTTTTTAGGGACTGGTTAGGTTAATCAGCAAAATAGGGTTGCGGAGAATATAACGTTGGAAGAAAAGGAAAAGTGGATCTCTTAAACACGCTTTTAGCATCATACATAATTTTCTCCTCACTTCTTCGATACCCCCGAGGTCCTGCTTCGCCTCTGTTATGCTATATTATCAAACCGCTGTGGGGGTTTATCTTTATGTTTATTCTACGTTGAGTTTTGAGACTTGATCTGAATGCACGTGAAAGATTCATTGATGCATCCCGAATAAGCTTAACGGAACATGTGAGGTCGCAGTGGAAAATTGAAAGCTTTCCCAACCCAGCTAGCATGTGATTCAAGTTTTTTTTTTTTTTGAAAGATAATGAGGTGATTGAGATTTTTTTGGCATTGAATTAAAATTGATTAAAAGACAGTAGATAAATTTCAAACATAACGAATACACACACACACACACACACCATAATATGTGAACTGTAATAGAATATTGTAAGCGCATAGGATCTGAGGCGACGCAGATCCTTAGGAATATTATTTAACAATATAAACAGGCGGCGTCTTCCCAAATTAATTTGTATTGTCATGACAGGATTATACTTGAAGCTACTGAGTGGGACGCTTTTGTTGAATTTCTTTTTGGTGAAGATAACCTGTCTCGTTATTAATCAAAGCATGGATATATACTAGAAAAACTTAAGAGGATAGATTGTGGAATACAGTGAAAATTAAGGTGGGGAAACAGAGTGAGAAACAGAAGGATAATAAATAGAGGGAGCCAAAAGCTAACACTGCGGTGGTCACATGAGACTCTTCCATGGCTTCCTTGTCATTTTATATTCCTCTCTATCTCTGTGCGTGTGTGTGTGTGTTTCCTTTTTGCTGTCCATGTATTATTTTTTAAAACCCATTATATATATCAGATAATCAGATGCCTTCCCCATCAATTGCGGTGTTCATCCCTGTCACCATGGAACGAGAAGGAGAGGTCGGTTGTTGTTAACCTTGATCTTCGATATGTTATAGGTCAGACGTAGGATACTTAGCAACGCTTTTTTATAAAAAAAAAAAATAAAAAAAATCAGGAAACACAAAAGGCACCCCTCAACCACATAGCTTCAGTGCAAATCAAAGCGAGTATCAAAGCTGAAGAACTGCAACATGTGTGGCATACCTTTTACTTTGGCAAGAAAAGAAATCAAAATCAAACTATGTCCCGAATCTCAGGCGGCTGGTGGGTGCACCGCTCATCATCAATGCTTCTTTCATATTCATTACAAAATGAAAAAAATTAATCTCTTAATCTTTCAATTTTTAACTCATTTATAACTCAATTCCTCAATTATGACTCGCTGCAACTCAATCTTTCAACTTTTAATTTATCCATAACTCAATCATTATTTTTTATTTTTTTTAAAAATTTTATCAAATAAGAAGGATAAAAAATACTCATATATTACTTTAAAATACCTTCTTCTCATTCATTAATGTGAGATATAAGCTAACATGAAAAAAAAAATTAACGAAGGTTAAGGGATTAATTTATAAATAATTCAAAAATTGAGAGATTGAGTTATAGATAAATTATAATTAAAAGACTAAATCACAACAAGTTATAATTAAAGCACTTAGTTATAAATAATTTAAAAATTAAAGAATTAAAAGATTAATTTTTTTTTTATAAAATGTGAAAACGCTCCTGTGAAGGAGTCCACCTCTACCGAGATGGAAACAAGGTCAGACAGGGCTCTTATCTTACCGTAGGCAGATCACGTCAAGCATTGACCCATGCGAATGACAGAACGGACGCTCCTTGAAACTTGTTTCACGTAATGAACTGGCAAATGCACTATTGAGTAATTAAATGATTATTACGTGGGCATGCACCGCATAGACCCTGCCTCCCCAGGAAGACCCCTCGTTGTATAAAGCATACAACGTCCTACTGAAACCGTACACGGTGATGAAGTGACAGCAAGGCGATCGCTGGGTTGAGTCGTTAACTATCATCTTCACCTTAAAATTTAAAGCATACTTTAACTCTTCCTAATTTTTATACAAAGCTTACAGTACCTATTGTAAAACAAAGCGCCCACACATGGCACTCGGCATCTATCCGGAGTTCCACATGCTCGTGTCATGTATTTTTATCAGAGAGACACGAACTCTGCCATCAAGGCTGTTCATGAACGAATCCGGGACATGATCACTCCCTTGTTCCGGATCCACCTTCCCACGTGCTCCGCATATAACCTTAGAGAATAGTATATAACTGATATCGACCTACTCCATACTTTGCAGTGACTGCAATATTACCTTGCCTGGCCTCGCCGCGGCAACGGAAGGTCAATTACAAACCGATGATATGCGCTGATTCTCCTGCCAGGCTATCCCTGAACAGAGTGCTTAAATAGTGGACAAGTGCATGAACGTGTTCTTTATTTGTTAATAATCAAGTACCAAAGCTGAAGTCAATCTTTAAACAATTGAACCTGGATTGAACCAGAATTTTTAGGGATCCGCGGCCTTAGTTACAGGAATATGGAAGGATTCTTCCAACTTTGTACCCGTCATGCTGAAAATCATTTTAAAAAATTAAACAGTTCACCGCAAAAGGCATCCCAGCAGCGGAACCGATGACTATAATTCATCAATCGTTGGTCTTCTAAATCGCTTATCGAGGTGTGCTGAGGCCCATTTCTGTTGAAAATTGGGAGGAAACACTACATAAGCATTCGTTTACACAACGAGTATTTTCTTTTACAAGAGAACACCCTAAACAAGGCAAGTGATATTAGTTTCCACTCAATCAAAAACAGCATGATTCTCAAGTGAAACTTGTGGCATCTCTTCAAACATAAGATAAAGACTTGCAATTATCAGAATGACTAAAGACAGAAAATCAGAAAATGCGTCATCTTGAATCCAAGTTGAAAAAAATAGTAAGCAAATACAAGGTTAAATTGTATCCCTCGTAACAAAGAATTAAACTAATGAAACTCACCACCCAAGCAAATGATGCAGTCTGCACAGATGGCTAATCAAGAGGTAAATACATAATAGTTTCCTAAGGAGCAGAAAGTCTTCTCTGCAATAACATTGACTTAAGCCCTAGCCTGTGGTTTAACATAAAATTATTTTTGCTCCAAATATGTCCTACATTATAATTAATTAAGGCCACACAATGCATCACAACACATAATTGCATCTCTCACATGAACCTGAAGACATGGTTCATTTCTATATGTGATCCCAGCAATTTGTTCTCACCTTGTTAGATTGACAAGGTTTGCAGGAGCTGCTCTGGGTGTGCAGTGTGCATATATGCAACCAAAAAGGGGGGGTGGTGGAGAGCAAAGAATCAATGAGTGGTTCACAAAAATGACATTGGCACAACACAAAAGGCACAATACCGCAGGGCTTTACAAAGTATTGGGACTGCGCACCTACTGCATTGTCAGGCATTTTCAATTACTAAAACAAATTGAAGAATATAAAATAAAATAGTAGGGGCATAAATAGATATGAAACGACTCAAGTCCTTGCAATTTCTAAAGCTGAAAAATTGCAAAAAGGCACGGGTGATGCAATGGTTGCCATTCCCAAGCCACAATGTAAGCAAAACCTGTAGCCTTCTATTAGACACAGACAAGAGACAACCAAGATGCACTTTTCCTGTTATGCTAAAAAAAAAAAATACCCTTTCATTTACAAAAGCAAGAATATGCTTTGATTTTCTTATATTTTAAAAACTAAGCACCTCATTAGTTATCCCATAAATTATCTATAAACCAAGCATTCATTCCAATAAAATTCCACCGTTCTTGACGTATTTTTAATAGGGACATACAAATGGGTAAGTCCACAGTTAAAACATCTTGGCAAAGAAGAAGCGGAAGAATTTAAGACTTGGAAGTGTTTATAGCGTTGACAAACAACGAAAAAAGGATGATACTCTTGAATTAACTACAAAAATTCTATGGTAGTGTTATATGCATCTTGATTAATGAAAATCAAGAAAACGCTGTTTTTCACCTAAATCATTAACAGAAAGTGGCCACAATCACAGCCAACCAGAAAATCAAGGCTCTTGCCTCTTAGAACGGATGCAACATAAGAAGCTAAAGTATAATTCGCAGTTCACCCCCTCGAATTGGGAGAAAAAAACTAAACTTTTCAGCTAAAGTAGTGGACTTTGCATCAACTAGCTCAAGTTTTGATTTTTTTTTTTCCTTATCTTTTATTTTTCTAAAATGTTTGAGTTGCATGCAAATGCGTGACTAGATTATGTGGGAATAATATCATAAGCATCTCTACGCCTAAAAGGAATGGCGAAAAACGATAACAAAATTCTTATGCAAAATGATCACAGATAGTAACTCATGAGACAATTCTCAATAACTATAAGCTGTTTCTAGTACCACGGAAGGATCAAGCCCCAAGTTTTGCATTTTGGAACTGACGAATAAAATTAAAGAATTTACTAAAAATAAAGACTGAAGAAGAACACTTGAATAATCGAATGGAAAAGAGTTGCTTACAGATACCAAATAAAAAACATTCGAGATATCAAACTCCGGGGTTGGCACTGCAGAGCATACCCTGAGACAACGACCTGGAGTTCCTTGAATCTATACCAAGGCAAGAGGTGAGGCGAGCTGAGGAGATTGCAGAGTGGAAGGGAAGCAAGGACTGCGCGCAACCGAGATGAGGAACCGCCCTGCAATTCGAAATCAGAAATTCTTTAGAACTACAACGAGGAAGACAACCGGTAGAAAAGGAATTTACGATGGGAAAGTGCTAAAAGGAGAAGATGTACTTGCCTCGGAAATGTAGGAGGCGAGCGAGTGTGGTGGAGGAAAGTTGAGGGCTTGGGCTTGTTTGATGATTTAGAAATGGTAGATCTAATAAGCGAGACTGCTGGTTGCGACAGAGATCTACAACGAGAGGCCATTTGAACAATAGCACCAAATTCCCGAGGAATAGAGCTTTCAGAGAGAGCCTCCAGAGATTGAAACTAGGGTTTTACCGAGGTTTAGGCTTTTATTATTATTTTGCATTTTACTCTCTTTAATCAATAGTAAGGGTTAGATCATTTGAGAGTTTTTCCCCTCGCAAGGGGATTATTATTTAAGTTTCCGTTGTTCAGTTTAATAAATAACTTTTTTCACATAATTATATTTATATTTGTATATTTAATAGTTAATAATTTTATGATAAGTCAGATGATTTATAAATAATATTAATTTATCTTCTCTTGATTCCATGCCCTTATTTTTCTCTTTTATTTTTTATTATAATTTTCTCTCACTTTTCATGCATCGCACTAGTTTTTAATTGTATGTTTTACTTTCTCCAAAAAATTTTAACGATTTAATTCTTATCGCTATTCATAACTTATTAATAATTGTATTTTTTTTTTTGGTTAGATTTTACCGCTGACATTGATTATATATTTATTGATAATTGATATATTAACATCAATTATCAATTATTTTAAACATTCATCCAAACTTTTTATTATATACGTTTTCTTCCATTGAGTTTTTAAATAATTCACCCAATTTTATGTGCCAACAATATAATCAAGTAGGTTGAAATAAAAAGAATTTGTACATTTATCGTCGTAATAGTATAATAAATATATGATTACTTTTTTATACAAATTTGCTTTAAAAATAAATATGAATAAAGCTTATGATAGAGTGAAATGAGATTTTTTAAGGCTTGTTTTGATTAAATTTGGCTTTTCTATTAGTTGGGCCAATCTTGTGATGAAATGTGTTGAATATATTAGTATGTGCTTATCTAGTGAAAAAAGTTGCCTCTATCTCACCAAGTAGGAGGTTGTGACTAGGGGATCCACTCTTGTCATCCTCGTTCATGTTAGTGGCAGAAGTTTTGTCTTTATTAACAACACAAAATATTGAAGATGACTCTTTGGAGGGAATTAAGCTGAGTACTAAATGCCTCGAGATTTCTCATAGTTTTTTCGGTGATGATGCGTTCTTCTTTGTGAATGCTTCTTGAAGAAATTGTGTCAAGTTGATGAAAATTCTCGAAGTCTACTGTGAGGCTTCTAGTCAGGCAGCTAATTTGAAAAAAATCAAGAATTTATTTATCTAATAACACTCCTGATTTTGTGAAAAAGGAGATGTGTGAAGTACTTGCTATTAGTGAAGCTGGGGATCTAGGAAAATACTTAGGAATTCCAAGTATTTGGGGCTAGACAGAACACTAGGCCTTGGCTTTTGTTAGGGAGAAGGTTTGCAGGAAAGTTAATGGGTGTAGTAAAAAACATTTGTCTTATGCTGGTAGGGAGGTTTTAATTAAATTTGTTATTAATGCAATCCCTATTTTCTCTACGTCTTGGTTGAAGTTTTCCATCGAGTCATGCAAGGAACTGAATGGCCTCATCTCAAATTTTTGGTGGGAGGGGACACAAGGTAGTGACAAAACCCACTGGCTTGCTTGGGATAAATTAACTCATGAGAAGAAGGATGGTGGAATGGGGTTCAGATATTTTGCTTTGTTTAATGATTCTTTGCTTGCCAAAATGGCTTGGCATCTATTGCAACACCTTGATGCTCCTGGGCTCATATTCTTAAAGGGATTTATTTCCCTAAATCTGATTTTATCTCTACAACTGAAGGCTATAAAGCCGCATGGTGTTGGTCTAGCATCATCGATGGTAGAGATTTGTCCTTTCTAGCTTCAGGAATTGGTGGTTTTTCTGTTATTCATTTTGGAAGTCCTTTCTCAACATATGATTTGTCCCATTTATGCTGGGTTTTATGGCTTATTTGGAAATCTCAGAATGAAATGACTTTGTTTTTAATCATGAACAAGTTGATAAAATGCCCGTGATTCTTAAGGCTAAAGCTGTAATTTCAGAATATCGGGCAAGTTGCGACCAAAGATTTGTTTTTGAGGATGCAAATGAAAAATTCAGCAGCTGACTGTGTGGCAATTTCCTAAGGTGGGATGCTTGAAAGTCAACTTTGATGGTGCTTTTCATGCTAAAGACAACAGTGCTGCCATTGGTATTATTTGCAGAGATGAATGGGGAGACATCAAATGGGTTTACGTGAAAAAAATCAAGTCACTACCAACATTCATGACAGAAGCTTTGGCCCTAAAATAGCTTTAATGATTGCAGTTGACTTGGGTAATGCAAATGTTATTTTTTAGAGTGATTGTCTCTTGTGAACTGTGAGCAAAGGTCTGACATTGGTTAATAGATTTGTAGAGGTCCGATCTTAGATTTAATTGATCGAATGACGTCAGATGCTGGGTTCTCTCTTTCTTTCACTCGGCATGAAGGTAACAAGGCAGCTGATCATTTAGCTTGTAATAATGTGTACCCTCTCAGATGGGTGGTGGCGCTATCACTTCATCTAATATTCTAGCCGTTGATTTCATGGAAGCCTCTTTGAATTTAGATCAACCTTCTTCTAGGATTGACAGACTGGGCGTTGGGTGACCCTCACCTTTTATTTCTTTTTGTTTGTGCCCTGTTTTTTTCCCCTGTTTGGTTTTAGTTTCGATTATCTTTGTTTTTTAAGCTTTTGCTGATACGTTGTTATGGTCCCTTTTGATTTGGTTATTGAATGCATACTCTGTTGGTCAAAAAGAAGATCGAGTGTTTTATAAAACTTCTTGCATATTATATCACATTATTATTGAATAACCCGATTGTAAAATCATTAAAAACAATTGTATGCAAATTGAATAGCGATGTGTTCCTCAGTTTTAATTAAGTTCCCATTTTCTTTTGGGGGCAAGCATCCGTCTAGATTCTAGAGTAATAAATAAGGATTTTTATTGGTTTCTCGAAGGGCCAAAGAAGACAATGTTGCTGTGCATCGCGGATAAATGTACACCCAGTAGGTTTAGAGTCAGCCTCAGTCTCAAAAAGTTTGACCACTGCGACAACTACAAGTGAATAAAATCCATACAATCTGAAGCCCTAAAAGAAATTCGCATCCAAATAATCAATCCTAGTAAATGAGTTGGGTGGGTGAGAAAAATTTTGTAGGCCACTTCGATTGAACTCTTCAAACGTCTCAGAAACTCAAGCGACCACAGCATGCATTTGGAGGCTGATTATTAATCACCATTTGTCAAAGCAGGGCCAACTTCCCAGTCACCGAATCCACATATGCTTTTGGACCTTGCCAATTTCACATTCATATGTATAGGATATGCATATTAGTTTCAGATTCAATACAACCATGTTCAGTTTCTCTCTGAGAACAAAACATCAAAAGCATCAAATCACAAGCTTACCAGGTCCAACTGCAAGAACGGTCTTTGACCCTGCCGCAACCTGAAATACCGAAAAGGATTAGGAAAAGAGCCCATAATCCATCCCTTGCAAACAACTGCATGATATTTACATTCATCCAGGCACAACTAAATTCTAGAATGCTTCACTGTCCTAAGACCATTCTATTTCACATCATCAGTTATATGCCAAGTTTAGGTTACGTGAGCAACATGTAATTCTACAGCAGTGTATAAAACAATAACTTTTGTGCCATGTGCGTCAGACTTTGGTGTCTCGTTAGTTAGTACCTAGGACGAACATATGGTGGTTCTCTCATGTTACGCAACAATCATCTGATCGTCAGAAATCTTGGATTTTAGGCACATTCCAAAGAAATGAGAGTAACTGGGGAAATAACCCAAGAAGAGAAAAATCAAGCATTTGCAAGTTCACCCTTGAATCCCATCAAAGCCTCAATCAATTCATTTCAACCATTATAAGAAGACAAACCATATCAAATTTCACATAATTTTCACATGAGGTGTTTCACTGGATGCTACATGCCATCAAGGTAGTTTTTTGCGGTACTACAATTATATTATTATGCCAAAGTGCAAAGCATTACCTGCGTTCGTCCAGCATCAGCAACAACAAAAGTAGGAAGGCCAATACTCTCAGCTGCTTCCTTTAGCTTATTCCTGTGTTTGCAAGGAAAGTGAAGGGATGAATCCCATGTACTAGACTGGAGACTGACAATACAAAAAAGCCTCCTTACATTTCTTGTTGATTCTTGCAAGTCAGAACAATTTTTGGTTGGCCAAGCTGTTCCCATTGTCTCAAAAGGGATCGATGGCTGCAAAAGAAGTCAGTGGGGGAGCTTACCACATCAGCAAAAGTGAAAAGCAGAGAATATAACAATTTAGATTAACCCTGAAGCGAAATTCACTTTAAATAATACATTATGATGTCAATGTTCTTGAGTATGATATAACAGTCCTTGCTGAGTGATCAACATCTCCATGTTTGAGATAACAAGTTTGATACATGCACGCACGCACAAAAGCCCCCACCCACCTGCCCAACCCATGACATTATAAATGTCAACAAGGACTTTCCCCTTGCCTTCCTCCTTCCCCCTAGCTCCCCAAAAAATAACAAAGCATTACCGAATTTTCATAAAACATGAACAACCATTCGACTATTCAATGGTTACAGTTTCAATTTCAAATTCTACAAGCAAAAGCAAAACACTGAAGGCAAAAGTGTGTAAGGGTTGCAGATCAGTGGATTGGTTTGGCGAGTTCCACATGAAAACAGTGAGATCTCAAGGCTCAGAAAATACACTTCAAAGTACCTGTGCATTAGTTCAGCATACATTCCAGTGGCAGCATCTGCAAAAACAGCAAATGTAAACAAAAAGATATAAATTGATAAGACAAATCCCGATGGGTAATCAATTACATACAGCACATAATAATAAAGAGACTTTACATATCAAGATGAAGCGCAAAACCTCAAATTTAATAATGGTTTGGTATCTTACGAGCACACTGGGATGCTATCTTTCCTGATTTCATCTTTAGGTCTTGTCTTACTACCAGAACCTGGCGCATACAGTTCAAACATTGAAACCAGAAATATCTCAGCCAACAAAAGAAGTCTTTCAATAAAATTAAACTCAATGCTTTCACGCTCAAATTAACCTCAAACATACATGGCCTCAAAACAAAAATAGGAGATTAATTACATTAGCGACTGAATAATCAATCTACTGCAACAAAATATAAAATGTAGCACAATTACTGGAAGATGCTTCATGCTTTATATAGGCATAGCAGCTACAGCTGTGGTTTTTATGCTACATCGTCTGCTTCAGTGCATGTAATTGAATTCCTAAAAGTTCAGTGAAAACTGATGGCATTTTATACTGTACTAATTCATCATAAATTCTGTTCATTTTGAAACTTATCTTCTCAATGACTCTGACAGTATAGGCACAACTTGACTACTTGAGTTACGCACATACAACCAACAAACTAAAATTCGTTATTTACATGAGGTAAAATTAATCTATCAAAGAATCATGAAAGGGATTAAAAAGCAATTTAACCCCTCTCCCGAAAAAAAAAAAACACTTGAGAAAGCGATGACAAGGTAAAGCAACAAACCATTTTAAGCTCTTGATCACCATTGCTTGGGACTGACAGTTGCCGTTGGAGCTTGCTCGATGATAAATTTTTCTTTGTTGAGTAATTTCTACCGGGCTTTGATAAATCGAACAACAGCCCAATAATGAAGCCTATAACAAGACCTGGAATGAAGTTCTCTGGCCTGAAACTTACTCCTAACCACTCTCTTTCTTGCTTTTGTTGCTGCGTGTGTGTCCAGACAGGCAAATGAAAACATTGAAAAGGAAACAAAACAGATGACAAAAGTCAACATATTATCAAATCATACGAGTAGAAACATATTTAATTTTCAATGGGAGGAAAGAAAGTGGCTCAGTATATACAAATTTCGGAAGTCCCCTTTTCAGAGAGTTCACGGAAATATCAGAACAGAGATACTCGAGAAGTGCAATCTAGAAACGGTAAGAAATTATGAACCGTCGGCTCAGTAGATTTGTAAACCAAGCCCCAAGCACTTTAATTTCTATACCAGAACTTACGAGCCCTTCTGTGGAGTGTGTAGAAGAACGTTGAAAAAATAGTTAAGAAGAGGGAGATAGAAATTACCTCCTCCCGAGGCCGGCTATTTTTTTGGAACGAAGGGAACATTTGATTGGTAGTTGGTTTGATGCATCAAAGCAAGGGGAAGGACACAAACGGGGAAAGATGAGATTTTTGAAGTCCCACTGCTCTCGGTTCCTCCCGTTTCCTCTGTAGGGAATGGACATCGAGGAGATAAATGAAGTGGGTGTTCTCTTTTGCCCTTGCTTCTCTTCTCCCTGGTGAACGCAGATATGCTCATTTTTACTTCCTATGCTGAAAATAATGACTTTTAACTGTTTTGTGTTTAGTAATCTCAAAAAAAAAAAACTTATATACTTAAATTTATATATTTAAAATATTTATATTCAATTAAATCTAAATATATAAAATTTTTTATAATTTATTTTTCTATAATAATTTTTTGTTATTGCTTAAATTAATACATTAAGATTCACATATTATAATTTAATTTAATATAAGTATATTAAGTATATAAAGCTAAGTATATAGGTCTTACCCTTTCATGAGACCCTCCTTCTATTTTTGGAAAAATTATGTAAGAAAAGGAATGTTTTTATAAATTTTTTTTTGGATTAAATTACAAAAGCATCCAATAGCTTAAAGTGAGAAAAATAATAAAAATATGTATAACGTTATTAGAATTGGTGTAAAAATGATCAAATTGTTAACTTTACCCTAACATCGTTAGTTTCTAGTATTAAATGTTGACTGTACTTACTACGTGTCAACCTTTGCTAACGTGGATTAAAAATGGATTAAAATACTTATGAAATCATTAGTCAGGAGTATCTAATGACTTAAAGTGAGGAAAAAAATACTCATAATGTCACTAGAGTTTGTGCAAAAGTAATCAATCCATCAAATTTCAAAAATGTTGGTTGTTTAGCTAACATCTAAGTAAAAGTTGACCATTTTTTTGCTAGCATAAACAAAAAAATATTCTCGAGTGAAATTCCATGGAAGTTGATCAGTTATTGTATGAATATTATATGAAAAAATGTCATTTTGACCGAACATTAAGTTAAGTCATTTGTTTCTTTGTAGTATTGGCAAAAACCATTTAACAATTTTAAATCTATCATTAATAAAATTACTTAAAATTGTGATAATGTTTTCAAGGTAGGTAATGTAGAATGTGTGTTTAGTCTTAGATCTTCAATTGTGTACAACTTATCTTACTGTGTTAAATAGCAGGTTTTGTAGATAAAAAAGAGTGGAGAGAAAGGGAGAAAAGGAGTGCGATATGTTTATGAAAAAATAAGATTTTATGGGACACGTCATTAATCAACCTCCGTAGAAATTAACTTGAGAATATTTTTTGTATGTGTTAGTGAAAAAATAGTTAATTTATGCTTAGATGCCAACAAAACGGTCAATGTTTAAGAGATTTGATGGATTGATCGTTTTTGCACTAATTTCAATAATGTTATGGGTATTTTTATCATTCTATTGAATGTTCTTGGCCGATGATTTCATGAATGTTTTTGTCCTTTTTATAGTGCACATAAGCAAAGATTGACATGTGATAAGTACAGTTAGTATTTAACACTGAAAACTAACGGCATTAGGGTAAAGATAATGGTCTAATTACTTTTGCACAAATTTTGACAACATTGTGGATATTTTTATTATTTTCTCATTTTAAGTTACTAAATGCTCATAATTAACCGCTCGGTGGATATTTTTACGCCTTAACTCTTCTAATTTTTTGCCAATATTTTTATTAATTAACGAAACCTGTTTTGTCATGGATTTGTAAAAATATAATCATTTTCTTGAGACATGATTATTATTATATTTGTCGTATCTATGATATGAAAAGACCATGATACCATAACTTCACACTTGTTTAGTCATGAGTTATGAAATTTTAGTTTTAAATTTGTGATGACCAATTATAAATATGAGAGGATAACATTTTATGTGGTCTTGTGTTTACAATTGTTCATCACAAAATTTACAACTGAACAAGAACAAAGTTGAGATAATATAATTTTTTCACCATCCCAGATTATAGTCCTATTTTTTAAAATAGGTGATATTTATCTTTAAATAAATCTCTCATTTGAGAATTGATTTATACATTATTTTACTTTTAATTATCAAAAGAATGACAAATAAATTATTCAAAAATAAAAAAATAAAAATTTAATCCCGCATAATAATACCTGCTAAGTCTCAAAAAACTTAATTGTCGATAAAGTTTTTATGAAATGACAAAAAATAATTTTTAATTTAAAAAAGTGCAGTATTTTTTTTGTTTGCAATTTTAGTTATGGAATATACAATTCTGGTTCAATAAATGACAAAGTGGCTTTGTCACTTACTAAACCAAAGTTATAAGTAGAAAAAAAAATTTGTTGCACTTTACTAATTAAAGAGAATTAGTAAGAAAAATTTTTGAATCTCTATACTACTTTAGTCATTTATTAAATCAGAATTGTGAATTTTAAAATCAAAGTTGTGAATAAAAAAAATAGTAAAAGAAAGTGATGAATGCCTAAACTACATTAATCATTTGTTGTATGAAAATTATGAATTTCATAACTACAATTATAAACAAAAAACTTTGTTATACCTTTTTAAGTTAAAGTGTATTTTTGTCATTTCATTACAAAATTTAATCACAATTAGATCTCTTAATACTTAAAATGTATTATCACATTTTTCATGATTAAATTGTCATTTTTTTATGTTGAAGGGATGTATTTGTCATTCTCCCTTTATTATTTGCACTTCTTATATTAAAAGAAAAAAAAAGGAATAATAAAGCTAGTTTAGCCGGGGTTGTCACTAGTCAAATCTTCTCCTAATAATCTGCTTGGCCTGCTCTTCCACTAATAAATTACATAGATCAATTGAGATATAAATGCACTTTTGTTTAAAAAATGCAAGTTATTTTTAATTAAATTTTACTCTTAAATAAAGTAATTAAATATTTTTAAATTAATATAATTTTTTATATTTATTCTTATTTAATAAATTTTTTTAATTCAAAATAAAATATAAAATAATTTATTCATTACAAGTACTTTTTTTAAAAAATATTAATTATATTTTAAAATATTAAAATGAGTTATACTTTTAAATATACAACTCTTATTATCGGAGGGAATGTATTTTTGTTTGACCTTGAATACACACACATGTATATAAAGTTAACATAATTAGTGCAGTGAATTGATCATTACTTAATTCCTCCCCCAATAAATTACAATGAAAATGAAAAATATTTAAAAATGTAAACGAACGAGAAATTAAACACCAAGCGATGGCTTGTAGCAGCATATGGCCGCAAGGCGCATCCATTCTTTTTAAACAGTGTCATGTGAGAGGGACGATGCGGATGCGTGTGGGTAACGGCCTAACGGGGCAGGGGAAGCGTGGCGTTGCCAGCGATGATAAAGTAAGCAAAGCAATGGATTCCCTCCCCCTTCGCCTGCCCTTCACGTCTCCCTCAATTTTCCTCATCCATTCCCCATTACATATCCATTTCCCTCTCACCTTCTCCTTGACATGGATTCTGCAACCCCCTCTCCTCCCTTCTCCCACCCCCAGCCCATCTCCGATCGCATCCTCCGCGCTCTCCGCCACCCTCTCCTCCTCCTCCACCGCTCCCACTCCTCCTTCTTCATTCTTGGCGCCACCGCTAATGTCTACACCGTCACCCTCTCCTCCCTCCCCTCCTGCTCCTGCCCCGACCGCACTTCCCCTTGCAAGCACATCCTCTTCGTTCTCATTCGAGTACTCGGCCTCCCCCCCGATCACTTCTCCCTCCGCCGCCGTACCATCCGCCCCTCCCAGCTCCGCCGCCTTCTTGACCTCCCCACCCTCCCCGACGCCCTCGCCGGTGCCTCCCTCCGCCAGAGGTTTCACCAGCTTTTCTTCAGCGAAAGGCAGGAGCCCCGTGTAGAGGTGGAGGATGGCACCTCATGCCCGATTTGTCTGGAGGAAATCGGGAAGGATGACGAGGTCGTCGCCTGTGGAACGTGCCGGAATCCCATTCATGATGAATGTTTGGTGAAGTGGAAGAGAAGCAGGGGGCGGAGAATGACTAGTTGCGTGATTTGTAGGGCAAGATGGAGGGGCACGAATGATCAGGATCAGTATCTAAATCTCTCTGCTTACATTAGTCAGGACGACCCAGCCGAGACCAGTGGGCGTCCCTGCGCCTGTTAATTCTATTTGTTACTTCGTAATATATTCCTGTAGATGACGAAAATTCCTAGCTGTAATTGTAGGATAACTCATTCTTAAATTCCCGATCAATTTGTAAATTGTAAGAAAGACGAGAAATTGTTTGAAGTTTATTAGCAATTCGTTATTGTTAATCCGCGGGTCTTGGCTGCAAGCTTATTAGGTTGATGCAGACCGGAATGCTTCGGTTGGAAAGCTCGATGCAGAAAGCATTTCACACGGTGGTCCATGGTTTCTGTGACCTTATAATGTTAGCGTGACGTTGCAGGTAATAAAACGACGGCGACGTAACTCATCGTGCTTCGACGCACCCCTGGGAGAAATATATTTTTTTATCAATGCCTTATCTGAACCATATTCCATTCTTCATGCCCCAACTACGTAATACACTTCGCTAATGCTTAGAGCTAGAGAACCATCTCAAATCCCCACTCAACACCGCATTCCGCATATGCCTCAAAAATGGTGAAGTAATCTGACGATCAATTCCCAAATTTTCAATGCCGTCTTTGACGATTAAGCTTTACAAGATATAAAGTTTTCATCAATTATAATCTATTAATTCTATTGAATAAGACCCGGGGTGAGAATTGAGATAATCCTGCTCCCATCTTTTGATTTTCATTTAATCGTTGGATTAACATGGATAAGGATTGAGCCCAACAAGTATCACCAAAAGACGGATACGTGGTACTCTTCTCTTTGAACCCAGTATACACAATCGTTGTTATTTTGTTTTTGTACTTCTGGTTTGAATAAGGAGAAGGGAGGAAGGGAATAAAAAAATTATTTATTTTGCTTTACTTTTATTGTCATATGAGCATGATAATGAAAGGATACAAATCACTGCTTAAGAAGCAATTTCCGTGTCTAATTTGCTAATCGAGAAAGTTAAACACGTATGCAGTCGACAAGCAAGAGCAAACCACCAAAATTTAAAGGGTAGATTTTTTTTTTCTTCGTGGAACTGAAGGCATAAGTATGGTATACTATATAATAAAATATGTGGTGACCGGGAAAAGGTTGCAGTTAATTTATTTTCTTACGAACTTGATCCTGTCTCTTTCCTCCACCTGTTTCATTTGCCTACCAACTTGACGGCTGTTACAAGCTCAGTATAATAAGAGCTTCGGGTTTTATGCAGTCACAAACAGAACCAGGCATTGCTACTTAAAAATTCCGTGGCAGGAGATAATGGAGGACGCTGCGAATTTTCCCAACTCCGGCAATTTATCTCGTAAAGTAGTCGCCGTAGCCGCCGGCGAAGCACATACTCTGGCTCTAACCGGTAAGACTTGTCAATTTTATCGGAACACTGTTTTGGGCTATCAATCGTATGGCAAATCTTTATTATCTTCTGGGATATGTTCCGGAGAATAGGATCTCATGCCTGAAATAAAAATTTTGGCATTTGTTTATCTAGGGGTGCTCAACTAGCTTGTGTGATGGTTGAGTTGGACGCCGTTGAGAAGTTTCTTGCTTTGCCATTATGATGGCAATGAGAGGGAATTGTATCTTTATTTCTGTAATTTTTAACACTTATTTTATGTAGGGGAACTTTTATGTTTCTGATTGTAGGCGATGGGTGTGTATATTCTTGGGGAAGAGGAATATTGGGGCGGCTTGGGCGAGGCTCAGAAGAGGACGAACTTTTCCCTGTGCAGGTCAAGTTTGAGAACCCCAATACATCAGGAGACACTAATAAAATTGTCGGAATTGCTGCCGGGGCCTATCATAGTCTTGCTCTCGCAGGTCGTAAGAATTTTAACCTTTGATTTTGTTCTTTCTTGCCACTCTCCTATAATTTTTTATTTTGTCAGTATTGAGCTCGGTCTGGGGGGAAAACTGGAAAAATGCGAGGTTGGACTAGAAGAGAAGAGTGAAGATGGAAATGTTTTGATTATCATTTATTGGTGTTTATAGGTGGATGAAAGATGAATTAAGATGTATTTCAATTTCAAATGTCTTTCATCTTTCCTGGAAACAAACAAGTGTAATATGATTTACTATCCAAGTTTTCAACTGGTTTATTTTCCATCGCCCATCTTTCATCTGCACCAAGCAGCCCCTTCCCAAGTTTTGGTCGATTTTCTAAGTTTTTTTCCTTCTTGTCATCCTTTGGTGCATGATATTAAGTAAAATCCTCAGAATATAGGATCCTACTGAATATGTGCACCTGCTTACTTTTAATCTTGACGATTCACATGCTGGCTAAATTTATCCATATTTTGCCTCTCAGTGCAATGGATATGCATGTTCAATTATTATCTGCTTACAACAGATTCCTTATGGGTACCCTTCAGAGTAAATATTTTGTGCATATTCTATATTTCACACTTCTAGACCTTATGTCAGAATAGAGATGACACAACATGCAATATGTAATAGAATGCAACCTGATAACACAAAGTATGTCTCTGGGGTAAACTTAGGGCTGCTTCATCTAACTGGAATTTGAAGCACGTTCCTCCAGTTTAATTTTTGCTGCCGTGTGTGTTTTGACAGATGATGGATCAGTCTGGTGCTGGGGTTACAATATCTGTATCCTTAACATGGTTGTAGTGCCTTGTGAAACAGTGAAGGTCCGATTCAAAAAATTACTAGTTTCTACTTCCATTGTTCTGTATGTTTGTTGGTTTGTATTATTCAACTATTTCCTTGACTATTGTATGGATGGTCAACTTGGTATTAATGAAGAGGACTCCCCTGCCTCTAGTGGAGATAAGTCTCTAGTGCCCTGCCTATTGAACAAGTTTCTTGAGTTGCAACCTCCCAACTCTTCAACAGACACGCCAGAAGAAGAAAGTAAGGCATCCCTAAAGGTATTGCTTAATTGCATACATTCTGTTCTCTGACATACAAAAAGGCCAAGGTGAGATAGCCATTAATTTGCTTTTGCGTGTTCATATGTTGCAGATATGTTCTGTCAAAGCAGGAGGAATGATGTCTCTGGCTATTGATAACCTTGGGGCCCTATGGATGTGGGGAAACTGTCCACAGAAAAGCAAAGAAGGAGGTTTCTCTCTTGTGAGCAGTTTCATTCCCACACCAGTATGGGATTTTCACGGTCATACTGTTGTCAAGGTTGCGTGTGGAAATGAGCATGTTGTGGCACTGGTTACTGCAGGAGAGTCATATGTAGGTGATGACCTCGTGTGCTACTCTTGGGGTAATAACAACCATGGTCAATTAGGCTTGGGGGATAGGGAGAGCAGATCAAATCCAGAAGTCATAAAAGCATTTGACCAGGAGTCCCCATGGGCAATTTATGAGGTAGCTTGTGGTGCCTTTCACACTGCTTTGCTCACTCGCAAAAAGAGTCCCAATGACACATCAGCAAGCATGTGCTGGACGTTTGGCCTTGGGGATAATGGGCAACTTGGGCATGGAACCACACAAAGCGAATTGCTTCCTAGGCCTGTTAAAGAATTGCCACAAAATGCACATCTAATTTCAGTTGACTGTGGCTTGTTTCATACTAGTGTTGTTTCATCAGCCGGAGATGTCTGGTCATGGGGAATGGAGAAGGGCCTTGGTCTGTGCCCCGATGCTAGTTTTACTGGAACTGATTCCGGGGACGCGCTCTCTCCCCTTGTTATCTCGTGCACGCCATATCAGCCTAGGTTTCCAGAGCCAGTCCAAGTTGCTTGTGGAGCTGCGCATACTGTTATTGTTGCACAGGAGGGATATAAGATTTGGTCTTGGGGGAGGGGAAGGAGTGGGGTTCTGGGAAATGGCAAGGCAGTGGATTTTTACACTCCCACACTGGTGTTATGGCCTCCGCTGATAGAGGATTTCAGGCAAGAGGAGCTGAAGAGTACTGGAGAGCAAGAAAAGATGACAGAAAAAGAGACTGAAGCAGTGACTGAAATAGATGAGAAATTAGCCTCAGCATTGAATGAACTGAAGCTGCTTCAGACGAGGCTTTCTGTGATGGAAAGATATGCCAGTATACTTCATGGTTCAATATTTGGAAAACCTTTCGATGAGCAAGATATCCCGTTGTCGTTAAGGAACTCAGGTGCCTTTGACATTGCTAAGGAATGGGAGAACATGTTAGAGGAAGCAGATCATGGCAAGCTAACTAGGTTGGAAATGTTCTACAGAAACATGCTTGCTGGTGTGAAAGATAAACTAACGAAGAGAAGGATCAGGGAGATTATAAAGGAATGCCTCCACTCTTCAGATTTTGCAAAATGAATAGAACACTGAACACGTTGTAAACAAGAGATCGCACATTACAACGTAATGAACATCATGCACCCATATGTTTCTCATGCTTTTTCAGAATATACTCTGGAAGAACAGGCCTTAAGCTTCGATGCCTTCCAATTTTAATGCGGGTCTAGTATGGTACGTTTGATAGTTTTGGAGGTCTGGTATCTAGAGCCAATAATTTGAGTGGGTTGGGTTTATTTAAATTGAGCTTAAATTATCCAAATATCAAAAAAAAGTTCATATAGTCTAACACTTTTTGGTTTCAAACTTATTTGGACTAGCTTAAATGCTTGAAGTGTTTTAAAATTATTTCTCTCTTTTTTATGCTAAATTTCAAATTTTAACTTAACAATTATTTTTTTAAAATAATATAAACACAACAACACACTTTAAAATACATGAGATAAATCAAAAAATTTTATCAATAGTGATTCCATATCATTCCTAAATCCTAACATAAACTGTATGTGAAATGCCGCCCCATAAAGACAAGTTTTTTTATTTTCCTTGTCACTACTAATTCCAATGCCAAATTTGCATTCAACTTAAGTTTTAATGTTATTTACCTTCAGAAACAATTAATATGCTAAAATGATCGGTAAATCCAACAATCGTTATAAAATAAAAAATTATAGAAGCAACTACTTATAAAATTTGAGCAAAGTTATTTCTTTTTAATTTTGCGTATATTTCTTTTATCGCTTCATGTATTAATATTATAATCAATATCAATTAACATATAAAATTTATAAAAAAAAAGAAGTTGTAAATAATACAATTTATTTCCCAAACTCAGATAGTATAGAGCATAGACGTATGGTTTATATTAAAATATGCACAATTTTATCTTTATTCTTTCAATAACTTTTACATGTCTTTTTGGCAAGGGAAGATGACAAAAAATTTATTTAAATTAGTTAAATGATAGATTGATCTCACAAATAATATAATTCTCCTGGAGTCCCTTAAAATCTTTTTGTCATCAAAGAATTAAAAGAAATGACACTTTTGGCCAAACATGCATCAAAGTTAAAAATTCGTAAGTTTTCATTCACAACTTTGATTTCAATATTAACAAGCTTTGTCCTAAATTTGTAACAATTTATTAGTCATTTGTAAGTTTTGATGTGCAAGTCCAAACAAGCATCAAAATTAAAAATTTGCAAGTTTTCATTTACAACTTTGGTTCTCAGATTAACAACTTTTGTCTCTAAATTTGCAACAATGTATTAGCCATTCGTAAGTCCAAACAAGTATCAGACTTGAAATTTATAAGTCTTCATTCACAACTTTGTTCCTAAGTTAGCAACTTTTGTTCCTAAATTACCAACAATTTATTAACCATTCTGAAGTTCTAGTATGCAAGTCAAAACATGTATCAGAGTTGAAAATTTGCAAGTTTTCATTTACAACTTTAGTTTCAATATTAACAGGTTTTATCTCTAAATTTACAACTATTCAATAAGGAATTATAATTTATTAGTACCCTCATTTTTCAGCTTTAAACATGGAAAGAAAATAAAGACTTTAATCATTTACGTATAATAACTCACATCAATTTCAACTATCATATATGGAAGAGAAAATTTCAAGGAGGAGAGAAAATTTACCCATGTACAGCAAACGTAATAGAGGAAGAATGTTTGCTTATATATATCCACGCATAGCAACTAAACAAAACAAACAACACATGTGCAGAAACTAAAAAAAAAAAAGAACATGAGAACGAGAAAGAGAATGAGAAGGAGGGAGGGGAGAACGGACCAAAAGAATACCACAAATTAAGGTGTGAATGGAGAACCCGAGACAAACCAAAAAAATTTGTAAGTTTTTTCAATGAGGATTGAAATTTTTGTTTACTTTGAGGATAATTTAATCATTCTATTTGATTCTCTAATGATAAAAAATTTTAAGAAACTTTAAAAAAATTATGTCATTTTATAAAATCAACTTATTATTTATTTAATTTAAATAAATTTTTTTGTCATTTTTTAAATTTGGTAAAGTCATTTAACCCAATATCCCTCTCTTCTGATTTGTGATTTCAACATCTCATCAGTATCAGAGCTTTAAGTCGAAGTTTTCTAGGAAGCTTCTTGAACCGACTAATCTCAACCGGTAACCCTTCCAGGGCGTCTCCATTTATTTCTCTCGTTTTCCCTCTCCACTTCTTCAATCTTTGTCATTCATATCATGAAGAGTGAGGATTGGGGAAGTGGACGGAAAAGGAGAGAAAGAAAAAAGCCAGAACATCGCGTGCTTGACAACAACCAAGATCTAACGTGAAGTACTCAGGTGTATTTATTTGTTTATAACAGTGCAAGAAAAAGAGTGACCCAACTCTCACACTTTTTGGTTCTCTCTCTCTCCCCCCTCTCCCCCCTCTGTCTCTCTCTTACAATCCCGAACTAATAAATTCAGCAGATCCCACAAAGACTAGGCGAGGAGCATAGCCGAGCGAAGGCGCCCCTCACCAACCCATCACTTTGTTTCTTGGACTCGCCGATTCTCTCGCTGCGTCGACCGTCGCTGTTTGCCGAGTAGATAAGATGGTCATTCTTAATGAAGAAGGGAGAAGGAGAGTGCTGAAACTAAGGGCGAAGGCGAGAGGGAGAGGCGGCAAGGATCTGTGCGGTATTTGGGCTTGGCGTAAATTGTGTTGCCCAAAATATTAAGATTTTTCTAAATTATTAATTTGGACTCTAAAATTTTTTGAGTTTATTTGAATTGGTTCATCGGATGTGGGCGAATTGCTGCCTCTACTTTGTCTCAAGGTAATAGCTTCATGCAAGATTAACTTATCATTTCACATGTAACTCGCGGCATTATTTACGGAGTGGAGATTATTTTGTTGTTTTTATAAAGAAGAATCCCTGTATATCTGGCCCAGCCTGTAACTTCATTTCATATGATTTTTTTGACACGTAACATGCCTCTTGTGAAATCTCCTACTTCTGACCTTGTGGTCGCTGCGTGCTTTTTCACCTTCGAAGATCTTTTCGCCTTGTATCGCTTTGCCGTGCATGATCACATTCAACACACAACTTGATGTTCAAACATGCTAGAAGTTATTGATGCTTCTTTTCCCCCTTTTTTTAACTATGCACCGGATGCTTCTCCATATGCATTTTAAAAACTTTCGTTGAAAAAGTCAAAGCTTTTTAACTCCATTAAGAGCACGTATGCATGCTCGCATGTAAGGGCGCCATCATGTACATCACATAAATAGCCCCAACTAGCAATCGAAAGAATTTAGAATGTCACTGGCATGCATAAACATGTTGCATTCTAATTCTTTTTACCTGTTTCCTATACTTTGGTAATAAAAGATTTGCGAACTGTAGAGTACAAGTTACTGAAGGTTCTTATATCATCTAGATAGCAGGAGAAAGGTTTTGTCGCAAACAAAATGTCATTCGTCCTAACAGGTATCCGGTCATTATCATTTGCAGAAAAAGAGCACATCAGAAAACACCATCCTTCAAGGCCACTATTATTACTGATCATATTAGAAAGTTTGTTTCAATCTTTGTCTTATGCTCCTTCTAATCCTTATTAACAGATACATTTTAGAAAAAAAAAATAATTTTTAATATAAGATACTTAATAAGATATTAATTATATTTTTTTAATATTACCTCTATTTATACTCTTTAACTACGAGAAAGAATATAATACAAGTTTGAATATTTTTTATTTAAATAGAGGTAAAATTAAAAATTTATCCTATTTTTAGACAAGGCTAAAATTCCAGTGACTAAAGCGATTATTATAGTTCTTTTGTTGCTAATGTAATCTAATACATCATACATTTGCACACATTGTCAAAAAAAAAAAAAAAGAATGCGTTCGACTTGTTGGGTGTAACATAAAAGGCATTGGCATAAACAGAATGATCCCAGCTTACAAGATAAATAAAGGCATCAACTTCAATAAACAGATGCTATACATTGCTTTTGATTTCTTAGTAAAAATGTGACAAGCCACTCCAAGGGAATTCAACAAAAGAATATTTCATATATAAAGAACTCGCAAAGAGGAGAGAAAGAAGGCTACCGGAGAAAGAAACCACCAGAAATACGATGAAGATGATGATTCTACCTTCAAATGATTAACGAATGAGAAAGAATATTCAACTATCCTCGCAAATAAAGCCTCTGCCCCAGGAACACTATAGGCCAATCATATATGCTGCACTTCTCCAGACCCATTGAATATGGAAGTAGCGCTACCAATTTGGAACAAAATACACTATACAAGACAGTTGCATCCTGTTGTAAACTTCCTCGCCAATGCAGATAACGTTACCTGCTGGGCAATATTGCACCAAATACAAGCAGAACCAGAAATATAGGCATAACGCAATTTCCAGCTGCGCACAAATTCTCAAGATTCTTACAGTTTCTTAGGTAGATTATATGTCTTCTTGAGAAACTTAGAAGCTGATTCATCATTCCTATAGCACAAAATGCGTAATAGTGTGTTAGGTTCAGATGGACTCCACTGCCCGGGAGTTGGAGGTAAAGGAAGTCTAGATCTAGCAGAGGAGCCTAATGTCTCCAGGGTTACCCTTCTAAACCGTTCAACGAGGCTATCTGTATCAGTTCGGAAGAGGGGGAGGATAGACCTAGCCGTAGTTGAAAACTTATCTATTAATTCGGAAGGCAAGCCATCCCCATTTGCCCAGAAGAGATCCCGAAGGGATTTGAAATCGTCCTCTATGATCTGAGAGTCCTGACGGGAAAATGCACGTGAGGGCCCTCCAGCAAGCAAGACCAGCAAGAATCCCTCAAAGGAAGCTCTCATTATATCAGTAAGAATCCGTGTACGAACTCGTTCATGTATTGTATCAGAAATTATCATCAAGTTTCGTTCAAGTTCTTGCAGAAATGGTTCAATCCTGGAAGATGATGGATCTCCAACATATAGACCATCCCATAAAACGTGCCTTAGATCATGGAATATGATTCTGTATGCCACTGCCTCAGAGAGTTGCTGAATTCCTTCAACACATGCAGCTGGAGATAATTCAAACTTCTTTGCTAATCCATTTGAAAAATCTTCCACATTAGCAGATTCAGAGTTTCGTAGAAGGGTAATAATCCTTTTCTCCAGAACATCAAATTCACCCCGGATCCATTGCAAAGTGTTTATGCGAGCACAAAGCTGTGGTACCCCAAAAGAGGCATCCCCATTTGTTGCAACCGGAGAGTTTCTCTTCTGAACAATTGGTGATTTTTCTTTCTTCTTCCCAAATCCTTGAAATTTTGATTCAATAGTGCATCTGGTCAATGCTGGCATTGTCGGAAGAAATGTATTTCGTGATCCTGAATATATCAAGAAAAATAAAATAAGCCCAGTTATTTTCATTTGGGTGAAAAAGAAATCGAGTTATTGTGCATACTAAACATCAAAGCTCAACAATTAAATTCATAATCATTTACCACAGCCAGATTTTGCTTTGATAACATAGTATTGAAGGCATCTGTCAAGGCCATTCATCAATTCAGGAAGCAACGCAGGATGCATCGGTATTGGAAGCTGAAAGAATGCATCCAAAGTTTCATTCATGATCCGTAATACTTCAACAGCAGAAGGGGCATAACCATCCTGATTTGTTTGTGGACTCCAGATCTACGATTTTATAATAAACTACGTTACTTTGAAGATAAAAGGCAAACAAATAATTTATACATAAACTCATATGTTACACAACTATGAACGAGTTGCCAACCAAATGTTCTTTTAAGTAGTAAAATATTTTTATATATAATAATGGCAATTATAGTTTACAATCTTGCAGTTCATGCAGGATTTCAAGTTTGCAACCAATCTAGAGTTCATGCAACGTCAATCCAAGGGCATGAACTAAAATCTTATAGCCGAATGATTCCCATTATCACACCACAGAGATGATACAGGAATGGTTGGTAAGGTACATGCGAAGCAGCCTAAAATTATCGCATGCATGCAACAAAAAACAGAACAAACAAATCAAATAAAGAATGAACAAGAAGTCAGAGGCTTGACGAATCCATTTAAAAGGCAAGTAGATTATGTACCAACATTTTAGTAATGCTTTTAACTTATCCAAATCACATTTTACTACCCTTCAGTAAAAATGATTTTCTGACTTGCGAGATCAGTCAGTATGCAAAGATTAGCCAACAAGTAAACACATTAGACATCAAAACTTGTAATTTAAAAGCATCGTCCAAGGAGATTTGTTTTTGAAAATTGTAATTTACATGTCTCTTAAATCTCAATGCGCACACACATGATCTCTTTGAATCAACCAATTCCAATTTATTTGTTACAAATAACCACTTAAGGTGGCTACTCTTTCCAAGTAAAGAGAAATCAGAAAATGGTTCAAAAACATCAAACTCATTCCTGACAACTAATGTGATCGTCAGGGCCTTTCACAGAAGAAAACTTTTCATTGGAACATACACTTTTCTTTCAAGTGTTGTTTGACACATGCAAAAATTCAATTTCCCAAGCACTTGAAAATTTAATTACAAGATACTTGAGCATAAGAAATATGAAAAGCACTGTAATTGTCTAAAAAAAAATGAGAATACTAATTTTTATGTGCCCAAACCAATTTTTTTAATAATAAATTCAAAATACTTGAAAAATTATGATGCCTGCATGCCAAAGGCCAACATAAAGACTTTGTATGCTCTTGTAAGTAGTATACATGAACGTAAACAACTGGATTGAATTGGGTCATAAAAGGCCATCCTAGGCCTGAATTAGGACCATAGTGAAGAAAAAGCAAAAGATATAATTGGCTATATATCAGATTTAGAAGGGGGGAAAAAACGAGATTATAACAAAGTGATCGTACAGATTGGCCATCTTGTCAAACAGGAACAAAAGTCAATAGCTCTCTGAAGCAATAAGTACGTCCAACAGATGCAAGGAAAAGTAAATGCTACTACTAATGGTTCGCTCAAAGATAAGAACCCCAGGTTAATATGGTAAAAACAAAATTTTAATAGCTAACTCGATGTCTTAAAATACATTTGCAATAAATTCACACTTCACTTATTCATATGAGGAAGCAATTAAAGTTGAAACCAAATTTTTTTAGTTGACTCCATGCCTTAATGTATTCACAATTAATTGATAACGAACTTATTTGAAGCAACCAGACAATGACATAACATCATATAAAAATCCTATGATTTAAAATCAGACCTGTTAAAATGGAAAAACATTTAACAAGAACATAATAATGGTTTGCTTATATTTTATAAACACCAAACACCTGGCCCTAGTAATACAGTGGTAATGAAAAATCATCAAAAGGAAGCAAAACATAACAAGATGATAAATGCAAACCTCTTGTTGCAGATTTCTATCAACCCACTCCTTAAGTCTGTCTAATCTTGTCTTAATCCATATTTTCACCATATTGGCAATTGCAGCTTCAGCCTCATAAGGAGGCATCTCACGGATTATTGCTTTGCCACCATCGTCACTCTCAACTGAATCTTCTACAGCTATTTGCACAAGGTCTTTCTCCAACTTATCTGCAGCTCTCAACACTTGTACTGCATCAGGTGTCAATTCTGTTACACCTGAGATGAACTGTTTTAATTCGTTTCCATAGCATGCATGAAGAGTAGCCACAGCAACACCTGCTGACAAAGGATGCCACCTCTTAAGTATTGGGCTGAACACTCGCTTCTCATTAACTGCCAGGCTACCTACATCCTTAGCAAGAATGGCGAGGAGAGGGAGAGCATTTGGCTGATTTTTGGATGCTCTCCTGCTTGAGTCTGCCTTCTCCATTATCTATAAAGCATAAAAAACATATTTCAGCACATATATCTGTGGTAAATTGTAGAAAGAGAGTGACAGAACAGTGATTCAAGACAACTATTGCCATGACTGCACTCAGGATCACAATATTTTAGCAATAACAAGATCATCTATCCACTTGGCTGGAACTTGATCAACTTCTTAGCCAAATTAACCAAACGGGAGGGTAAACATTTATCTTAAGACACAATATCCAATCTCCCACATGAAGCATAAAAGCCTACACTGCCATGCCTGCAGTGCTTAGACCAGGAAAGATTTGTCTCAGGTTTACCACCTTCTACTAAAGGAAAAAGCCAACAGTTCAGACAACGATAACTTACCTGAGCAAAAGCAGTACGTAGTGATGACCTGATGTAAGTATCAATTCTTTCACAGGCAACATTGACTTCATTTCTTCTCCTTCGTCGATACTCATTAGATATATCTTCAACCAAAATCTTAGCAGCTGCTACCCCTAAAGAAACAATGCCCTGCATGGTTTCGACATTTCCATGATCAAAAGTTTCATGATACGCAAGGAGCCTTTTCTCTGCCCACCCCAATATAGAACTTAATGTAGAACTCAAAATTTTGGAATACTCCGTATCCTTAGTTGTCTTTGCATCATTTGAAACTTCTGCAAGCAGACCATCAACAGCAGACAGCAGATCCAAATCCATCTGGCCAGTTGCAACAAATTGGTGGAATAAAACCCAAGTAAAGCAGAGATTATGAAACGTTTGGTTCAATCCAAGAATCCCCCAAGTCTTTTTGATTTGTTCCATCAGCTCATCAAATTCATCAATAATTGAGGATTCATCGTTAGCATCAAAGCAGGACAGCAGGAGCATTTCATAAAGCCGAAGGTTGAAAGGGATTCCATCTGCCCAGTGGCATGAATCAGTGGAAGACCCATCATAGGATCTACATGCAAGAGACATGACAGCACTACGAAGAATCTGCATAGATTCGTTATTCTTCCCAGTCTCTATAGGCCTATCCAAAGCGCCGTGAATAATCTGCCGCAAGCGCTGTGCAGCAGAATTTGACTTATCTAGAGGCATATGGGGATGCAAAAGTAGACCAGCCTCTAGAACCTTCAGGGTTCTCTTCAGCCATTCCTCGTGCTCTTGCAGATCAGGAAAATCTGAAAGCTTAAGCTGCTGCAGTAATTCTAATGGAACTACAACAGAGTCAATCCTTCTTCCAACCTGTAATACAGCAACAAATAGCTTCGCCGTGATTATCTTAACTCTGTGGATCTCTTTCCGTCTTTATACTTTCAATGTAAGTACCCCTCCTCTCAGAAAAATATTAAACATGCATACAAGAATTTAAAAGCATAAGCAATGGTGTGTATCTAAGCACATGGAACGATTAACTAGCTTCAATGAGCACCTCATGGTATTTACATTTCGCCATGTTCTTAAACAGGATAGTTTGAGGATTTTCCTGATAACATTGGTTGATTTTTTAAAACAATTCAAACATTGTCCACATGGAACAACTACAATCCAAGTGCCAGGATGTAAATAATTTCAAAGTCGAAGGCAGTATAGAAGAGTCATGTGGATTTGGACAACAATAAGAATGACAAAAGTTAGTCATATGCAACATCATTTTCAACGGGTGGAAGAGACATTAAAAACTTCAATCAACAAAATTTGAAGAACGCAAATCAGATCGATTAAGTTTTAATGACAGAAGAACCATTCTGAAACTTGAGCTCCACGCAATTGCCCTTTTCGTGAATGAAAGTAAATGGGAAAATTAATTTAAATGAAGATTGGAAACAGATTCAACCGACAAACCCAGATCAATTGCCGTCTCCCATACACACTTACATGCATACACACATCCATCAGTAAGTGTGCATCTGTGAGGATAGGTGCACAAGTGTGAAGTGCATTGGCAAAGAAGTTGCTATCGAATTATTTGAAAAAGACCTGTCCAGCAGAAATTCTGAGTAGCGCTCTCCTAACGCGCGAGTCCATGGCCTCCGAAACCCTCATCTGATTTCTCATGAGCTCCCCGACCGTCAATGGTCGCTTAGACTTCTGCTGACCTGAAGCCGAACTCGAAGCGGAGCCAGGACTCTTCTTGGATCCCGAGCCAGGTGATTTCAAGCCGAATGCCTTCTTGACCTTGCTGGCGGCGGTGGAAGTTAAAGATCGCTGCAAGGCAGGGGAGTTCGGGGAGTTGGTGGAGTGGTGGCTCGGAGAGTCAGAATGGTTAGAGGACGAGTTAGAACCGTTGCTGACAGCCTTGCCAGAGGAAGTGCGGCAAGCAGCGACGAAGATCTCGTATGCGGTTTGCCTGAGCTCGGAATCAGTAAGCTTAGAGGCAAGCTGACCCAGCGGCGATGGAAGGCTATCGGCGACCAGGGCTGATTTAGTGACCGTGATTGTCGGTGGTGATGTCTCTCTCTTGGAGTGGCCCAGTGATAGGTCTCGGAAGAGGTGAGCCATTGCCGGGAGAGAGGAAAGGAGGAAGATGAAAGGAAAAAGAGAGTCAAGAATAGAGACTACATACACGGTTTATGTTTAGAGCGAGAGAACCTTCTTTTAGACTCGTGAGATTTTTCTCTTATTTACTTCTTTCCTTTTGTCCCCATCCCGTAAGGAGTTTTCGTTTCTCGAAATCAATCTCTGCGAGAGAGATAAAGTATAAAAAGAATTACAGTTAACTTGCTGAATATTAAATTAATATTTTTTATTTAAAAATATAAAATATTTTTAATTGAATATCACATTTTAATAAAATAATTACTTATTTTTAAATTGATTAATTTTTTTATATTTACTCCTAATAAATATCTTATAATAAATATAAAATTACTATCAATGAGAGTACTTTAAAAAAAAACAATGATTGCATTTCGAAAAATTAAAAATATTTTACATTTTTAAACATTTAACTCTTCAAAAAATACCTTACATTTTTTAATAGAGTGAGTAATTGTTAAGTTTTTTTTACCAGAATAATTGTTAAATTTTTAAATAAAATTTTTATAAAATAAATTGTAAATATTAATTTAAATAATTATAAATAAAATTATTTATTTCGATCTAAAAGTTATATTTAATGCTTAAATATTTATTTGTAATTGTCTTAATTGATATTTTTAACTAATTTAAAAAAATTATTGAAAACTTGATTGTTATTAATTTAAAATTTTAAAATTTAACTATCATTCTTCCTAACATATATGCTATGAGAAATTTTACTATCACCATTGAGATTACAATGGATGCTGTATTTGAATTTTTATTTTTATTCAATTATTGTTATCATTTAGAATTACTTTTTGAATTGGCTTGAAAAGGCAATGATAATGTTTGCCTATTTGTGTTTGGTATATTAAAAATAATATTGATGGATATAGAAATGAATATGAATATAGAATTTAAAAATGCAAATAATATGTTCATGAAATTAAAAGATTTTTTATTTAATATCAATGTTTAAAATATGAAAAGATTAAATTACTCTCATTCTTTGAAAAAAAAAAAATTGCTCTAACCCAAAATCACTTATCGCCATTGTCCATGGCTAGAACTTGCAGCCATCATCCAAAGCCCACTAAATCGAGGGCAATTATTGCAAGCAACCTAGCAACCTATAATATGTCATCTTTAATATAAAAAAATTTGAAAGAAACCCCAACTTCACTTTCATAAAGCACAGCCTAGTGGAGTAAGGATTGGAAGTCCCTTCAATTGAGAAGTTGACTACACTGCCTACCACGCCTTTCAAGAGGCAAAAAACTCCTTAGCAATCTGTTGTATGTTATTGCATCATCATTGTTCCTCATCCTCACTATTGCAAATCTTTAGGCAAGGACGGCGACATAGAGTTCATGTTCATCCTCATTGTACATCATTGCTGTTGTTGCCGTTTGCAAAGGAAAAGAAGATTGAGAGGAAGAGACTCGCTACTGTCAACAAAGAAAGTTGCCGCCAACTTACCAAAAGGTTAACAGGAGACAATAAATGAAAGAATAACAGAGATGAGTGATGAGAAGGAGATGAGAGATAAAAATAAAATATGAAATTACAAAACATAAGTTTTATTGTAAAAATTAACTCCATCATTTTTAGTGAAAACGACTTTCATCATGCCAAACAAGTTAAAATATTATTTTTTCTAATATTTATTTAACATGACCTAAAAAGGGCAACATAGATTGATAAATTTTTAGATGAACCTAGAGTGTCATGTCATACGTACATGGATTAATTTGAGCATGACAGTTCATAAAATTTTAATACGAGCTGGCAGTTTATTTTCTTGGCATTAACATTTCTCTTTTTTTTGTAATTTATACTGTTTAAATTATTTTAATTCTTTTTTTCATGTGCTCTTTCTTCTTCAAAGGAATCCATCTTCAGCCAGCCGCCAATACCATTCTTCTTCGCCCCTCGTGAAGACGTCGCCAAACGAACTCGTCTTGCTTGTTCTTCTAACTCGCCCTGATCCAACAACTCTAGCTTAGAACGTGCCTCGTCATTCGCAGCTTCTCCTCCTTGAGACCCAGCTTCACCTGCACCTGATCCAGAATCGCAGGTCCGACCGAATGCGCAATCCAAAAAACGAAGTTCCAGTCCTCGATGTTGATGGCCGTGAATGATTCCACCCAACTCTTCTCGATCGACGTTCTTTGAGATGATTCCCGGCCTGTCTTTCAACAAGTGGAACATCAGACCCACCTCCTGGTCGAAGGTGTCCATCGATGGCTCCGTCGGAGTTCGACAATCCAGTCCGTGCGGCTGTGACATCTATTCTGGCTAGAAAATTGAGAGCTCCACATCAGAAACCAAAGACATGCTGCTTTCCAATTTAATTAACTTCGGCAAAGGCTTCGATGATGCAGATCCATCGGTTTTATCAAAATGTGACATTGGCGTCTATGCAGTATGCAGCTTCACCGGGGACGAAGAAGAATGGCGTTGGCGTCTTCCTGTGGGGAAGAAAGAGCAGTTAAAGAAGATAAAAATATATATAAATTAAATAAAAGAAATATTAATGTCGAGTCGTAAGTGCCGATTCAGATAAAAAAATTATAAGGTGTCATGCTCATATTAGTCTGCGAACATGTCAGGTAGCGCTTCCGGTTTATCTAAGAATTTCTTATCTAAATCAAATGAAATTACAATCAGCATTCATAAAAAAAAATATTAATATAAATTAATAATGTATACACCCATCAATATAAAATTCACAGAAGTTGCTTCTTTACAAGTAAATGCTTTATTTACCGGTTAGGGACACTCTCACTTACCTCATATTTCGTGAAATTTTTTATGAAACTTTATTTATATATTTTTATTAATTAAGATTTGTGTTTTTATTGTTTTAATTTTCTATATATTTTAGGTAGGAATTACATAAAAAAGGAATATATTTTCCATCAATATTTATTTATTATCTATTCACAAAATAGAAAAATATCAAACTTCACTTGTTTTATATGATTTTCCATCAAGAATATTTTTTTTACTATCTATTCACGTGAGAGAAAAACATTAAATTTTATTTTAAAACTCTTCATTTATTTTTACTCACTTGCAATTGATACTCACAATTAAATATCTAGCAAAAAGATTGATGGTTTGATGTATCTATATGCGAGGCCATGCAATTTTTATAAAAATTGAGAGACCCTGAGTGGCGTATTTTTAAATTTAATAAATAAATATAACACGACAACATCTGATAGAATCAAAGAGGGGAAAGCTCAATACAAGTCAAATATATATATCAAATTAAAATGCTACTCTTAACTGTTACACACACACACACATATATATAGAGAGAGAGAGAGAGAGAAATGCTGCTCTTAACTTACGGCTTCTCCGTCACTAGATATATATACATACGTAGAGATGTCTAAATAACCTAGTTAATTGGATAATTACCACTGAAAATGAAATATTTTTCAATATCAGTCTCTTAAGAAACGAGTGAAGCGCGTAACGCGTAGATGCTGCGAAGCCTGTAAAATATGAATGGCCATTTGCAGTGCGCCAGCAAACAGACACGTGGATGAATACATTCACACCATAGTAAATAAATATTTTTAGCATGTCTGGGTCCAGATGATATGCAGTCCGTAGACCGCCGAGGAGAATGTAAATTCTACAGCTGTGAACACATGCGAGATGTGTAATATAGTTATGAGGATACAGTGATTCAACTACAGGCCAACATTTTGGGGTCAAAAATAAATTAGGATAGCAACTAACTTTTTTTTTTTTTGGCGAACAACCAACTTGTAATTATTTAAAAGTCGTTGGAAATAATAAACGTATGTGCGAATTGCGAGAATTCGAATGCCTGGCGAATGGGCCGTTATTTTGGGAAAGTCAAAGGCATCTGTACATTATATAGTAGTCCTCCTCCTATGCTTTTTATGAGATACTTCTCACTAACTCATTGAAATTAAAATGGGTTACTTAAAATTATAAAATTTTCTTACAAATAAATCATTTTTCATTTTTCCCTGCATTTTAAAAAGAAGTAATTTGATGTGTCATGCGTGGGACGAGTAGTTTTTTAAAAAATTAAAATGTTGCATTTCTTTTTAGAATTTGATAGAGGGTATTTTTGAAATTATATATTAAAAATTATAAAAATTAAGAAAAAGTGACTTATATAAATGATAAAAAAACTTTTTAAAATGTTACTTATATAAAAAATGAAGAGAGTATGTTGCTGGGGTATTTTCATACTTTAAGAAGGTAAAAACATCAATATGATTTGTTGACCAGTACAGGAAAATATCTGTAACGTTTATTTTTCTGAGCATTAGCAACGGCTTTGCCCCAAGGCTATAACGTTAATATTCGAAACTCTCCGTCCAAAATATATATGTGTATATATATTCGAAACTCTCCTATTGTCTTGCGTATCCCCCTCCCAACAACAAAAAAAAAAACGGTTTTTATGTCCTGCCAAAAAAAAAACCCTGGGGTCATTAAACTGTTAATTGGCCAATAAAAATTAACATGTTAAGGGTAAAGCATAGGGAGAATACTGCAGACAAAATTTCAAGTAAATTATGCTGACGGTTTCGGCTTGTCCTGTCAGACTAGTACAGTGATGTTTTTTAAGAAAAAATTTCAATGAAGATCCTTTGTTCAGACTTAATTTTAGTTAAAACCTCTAAAATTTTAAAATTTACTGCATTTTGAAGAGATTGAAATAAAATTAAAGAAATAGTTAAAATGACCCCATTATCTTTAGTAAAGTTAAGTGAGTGGACAACTCATATAGGGAGATTAATAATTGATGTATGAAAAATAAACAATTGATATATGTAAAATTTGTAATTTTTATTAACAATATAGTACCAATATAAATATGAATAAGTGAAGCTGAGTCCATGAACAATTTGTCTAAAAAAAAAACAATTGACGTAAGATGAACAAGAATTGCAAATTTCACCAATATCAACTATTTTTTTTCCATGTATTAGTTGTTAATTTTTTTTACGAGTTGTTCATGCACCTAATTTTAATAGAAACAATAAAATCATCCCAATCAT